AGGAAGCCCTTTGGATTCTTTCCTCTTCGAAGGTACTAAATCATTATTATAGAAGTCTAGAAATGTTCAAGCTGCTCTGAGAAGAAAGGCGGGGGGAGAGAAGAGGGAGATCAATGAAGATGATATATTACATGTAATGTATGGTCATTCTGTAGACGCGTCGCGCGTTTTATTATGGGGAGGTGGGGCAGAGTCAGGTCGTATTACTGGTATTATCAATTCAACTGGTACTAAAGGGGGTCCCCTTGCTCACATTTTCTAGCGTCGATCTGATCCACCGAGAGAAGTGTAAGTATGTCAGGTCTGCATTATTGTCTACGGAGTTGAAAATGGCACTATTGGACATATATTGTACCTATATATGGCATGATATTGAAAGTATACAGATCTATCTTTAGATCTTGAAGGGCTACGGTGTGTGTATAGTTCTGCATGTTGGATGACAATCCACCTGCATCCGTCGACTGAGACAATGCCAGATACCGACTATTCTTAAATCCTACCCACACGCCAATTGGCCCAGTCCCCCCGGTATGCAGACGTGTCGATGTAACTGAAATGGTGCTTTTCATCCCTTGTTTCTCTCTTGTGGAGGATCTCCCGAACGCCCTTGGTGGCAAATGGCTCTCGGGTGCTTCGAGAGCCAATCGAATTCTCAAGTCTACATCGGACAACGCTTGTGCTGCACATCGTCTGCAGGTTCCGTGATCTAATAGTCAAAACTCCGTATAGAGAGCATGGAGTACGGAGGGCAAGGTACAAAGCAATGGATTGGTACTAGGACAGAGAATCTATTATGTTTTATTTGAATCTAGGGGAGATCCCTAGTCTGTCTTTCCCTATGCCCTTGCTTGTATATCAGACACTCCATGTAACAGATTCATGCACTATATTCCGCACTTAGATTCTTGTACGTACAGACTTCCTCTACTCTGACTTTCCTTCTGGAGCTTCTTGTCACTTACATAAGGATACTCGGAGTGACAGTCACTAAGTCTATTTCGTGATGATTCCCGTCCATTCCGAAACCATTAGAGAATCCAGCGACGCAATAGCCCCCACACTTCTCTCCAGACAGGTCCGATTTGGGTGGAAAAGGGCAATCGCAATGAAGGGGATCTAGGCTGAGGAGGCTTGTAGCACAAGGTTTCGAGACAAACAATAGTACCACCAAAGGTGGCAGTCTCTAAATCTCAAGCAAAACCAACGAGGGATGTCAAGTGGCTGTATCCAGAATTGACGGTAGCGATTAGCGTGGACAGGGTAGAACTGTGCCTTACGATTGATCAATGACAGTATCCCAATTCCCATGTGAATATCCACCCACATGGGTGGTGAAGTCATGGTGGTGAGGTTGGAAGGCTCCAGCTAGCATGATGTAGTTGTTCAAACACCGATAGTAATGGCCAGACTCCAGGCACCGGGCCCTCCAATCCGCCATAGAACACGGTGACATGTGACATCTAAAGATTCTGCTCGATCATGTATGGATCATATGATCAATGTAGACTAGGAGATATGGAGTATACTCAGTTCTATTCAAGGAGCGAAAAGGAGAGAGGGAGATACAATGGAAAGGACCAAGTGGCAGAAAAAATCCGATATATGCGATATAGGTGTGATTCAATGTCCCCCAACACCTAGAGGAAATCATCCCTCATGAAACAAACGCTTCATGACTTCTATTCTAGACCAAAAAAAAAAGAACTAGGAAAAAATGACACAACGCCAAGCCCATGCATCACAAAAAAAAGTAAGCCTATGCTTGGTTTTCCCAACAAATGTCTGCCCCTTAAATATAGGGGCATGACTTCGGGTGGATGCATAACCTTTTTTTTCTATCACAAATCAAACCCAAGGGATATCTTAAACAACAATGACTTTTTGCTCGATACGCAAATGTGGAACGTTTAGTCCAAGAAGGTGAACATGCTTGTATGGATGATGTTCAGGGCACGATCGGCGTCTCGCTCTTCAATGACGCAGGAGATATTGATTTCACTTGCACCTGTGAGGGGGAAAGAAAGATCGAGTTAGCCCCAATCAAGGGTACAAGGGTAGAGCGAGGGGGTATGGGGACTGGGAATCAGCAATAATCCACTCACCTTGCGAGATCATCTCGATATTCACGCTGTTCTCCCCGAGGGTGGTGAACATGCGGCCTGCAACGCCGACCATATTTTTCATCTGCTTGCCGACCAGACTGAGAATGGCCATCTCAGGGATGATATCGACAGTTCCGTACTTCTCAAGGTCATTCAATGCCCCCTGGAGATCATCATTAATGACTTGGTACTCATCCTGTCCGTTTCCATTCAAAAGGGGCATTTCTGAGTGAAGAGCCAAAGACACGTGCACCTCGCTGGTCGAGATCAAATCAATGGATAGGCGCCACTTGTCCAATACGGAGAAAATGCCAGCAAAGAAACCATGAGAGAGCGACCGCTTGTTGGAATGCACGTTGATCACCAGAATGTTATGCTTGATGGTAACTGCGGTCGGCCGCTTCGGTGTCTGCGCAAGACTGGGACTCCGGGTCCGGAACAGACGTGGATCATGTCCCGGTGTGGTTCTCTCCAGTTCGGCCACGGAGTCAGGGAAGATAATGGTGCCCTCGTTCTTTGGGTTCATGACGTTCTTAATGCGAATGGGAATCCTTGCGCGAATCACTTGCTCCATGGTGAATGGATGAATGACTTCGGATCCATAGAAGGTCAATTCAGCGGCTTCGGCAGGGGTGATGGCCGGTAACAGATGAGCCGTTGGCACTTTACGCGGGTCCGCAGTAAATATACCATCTACCTCCTTCCACACCTGCAGCTCCTGCGCACGGGTTCCGACCGCGACAAGGGCGGCACAGAGATCGGTATATCCACGACCAATTTGATCGAGCAAACCACCAGGGATGGTACCGAAGTAACCAGTCATCACAGGTACCCGATGCCCACAGGCCTCGACTTTGCTGCCGAAAGCTGCTGCCAGGGCATTATAAAAGTCCTGATCCAAGCCTTGGGTACCGATGGGGAAATCGATGATTTCAGAGAGATCCACATACTGCGAATCAACCCCGCGGTCTTGTAGTAGAGCGGCCATGAGTAAGCAGCTCAGCTTCTCACCGGTACTCATCACTTTGTCCACACATCGTGAACTAATCTCTCCTAGGGTCTGAGCAGCCTCCAGGAACTTGAGTACCCGTTCACATTCTCCTGTGATGTCTGCAATCACCTGGTCTCTTATTTCTACCGACTGCAATTCTTCCTGGGCAACTTGAACATGCTCCAAACGAACAGCTTCCACCAACGTCAGATATTGCCGCGAACGAGGATTTGCAGCGTCCCGTGCTGCCCGCAACAGCCTGTTTCAAAGATATTGGTATTAGTATCCCGATCGTGATATGGTTGAAGAGTATCGCGATGACTCACCGGTTGGTTGTGCCTTCAGCTTTGGTAGAACTACTTCTCGCAGAGCATACAACAGCAACTCTATTGTCGACGAGGCTTGGTCTATAAAATTGTCAGTCTTCAAGAGGTCGAAAGTCGAAATCGAGAAAATGCGTCATACTCGACCACCTGCTCGATGATACTGCGCGCGAACTTGCCCACGCTAGTACCACCGAATTTCTGCACAACCCAATTGCTGTGAGCCTCGGCGGTCACTGGTAAGTTCGTATCAAGAACGGTGGTAGCCATAATGTCGACCCAAAATAAGTAAAGACAGTGTACAATGTAATGCAAGGGAGTCAGAAGTGGTTTTGGAGGGGAAACCGGCGAAAGCGGAGACTATTGGGACCACTTCCGGCCGCATATTTTTTTTGTTGTGACTCAATTGGCAATAGAGTTATGGGTGTGGAGACCGCCTGCCTGTTTCAGCCAGGAACCAAACGATGTCGGAGGCCCCACCAATCACGCCATCTTCATATGAAAGGCCGCTCATTGGGCTGTCTCCGGATGAATGTTCATCCGGAGTATAAATTGCTCATGTATATCTCTGCATTGCATCCCAACTTTGATTCCCAATCTTGATCATTTCGCCTGCTACTAGTACTACTGGTAACGGAGTGTATTCCTCAACAGAAACTATACCGAGTTTATTGGAGGATCATTAACAGCAGTAACACCGATTGAGCGCATTAGGTATAGTTGGACTGTAAGACCTGTCTGATGCTGGCTTCTTCTTCTGTATCTGAAAGTGTGATAACGCCAAGTTTGTTAGCTAGAGTTGAGTAAGCGTAGTGGACCTGAAAATGCGGTATAATCCAGCCTTCAGCTGAGACACTCTTAATAGTAAACCGATGATCATCAATAAGCACTGCGTATAAGCCTAGGTCTACATTTATAAGCGTCGTCTCGCATCTCGCTGATGAACGCGTAAACAGAGAATTACTCTCCTGTTACTTCTATTTCAGATCAAGAGCTTTGAACAACGGGCTAGACCGGGGTCTATTTAGAGTCCTAAGGACCTGTTGGGCTGGGTGCATATGTAACAGATAGTACCTGTACTCGGGGTAGATCATTATCATGGTCGGCGAGTATAAGTTACAATCACACATATAACACATATAGTTCCCTTCTCACTGGTTGTCAGGATGTGTGTATTACGCGGTCTTATGATGTCTTTCTTACAGGGCTTCTCAGCGGTACTTTAAGCAGTCTTCTTAATAGGTTTCTCAGTAGGCTTTTCAGTTATTCCACCCCAATATCTCTAAGATAGTTTACCCCTTTCCGGTCTGTTCACGGCAGAAAAAGGCGAAAAAAAAACCTACCTCGTGCAATCAACTTTTCTATGTAAAAGTTTTGACTTCTAAAATAAAGCTAAATCGGGGCGTTCCGGATGTACAAAGCAATGCTCAAGTATAAGGCAAATAATCCAGGCTACTCTGGGTGTCTTAAGTGGGCTGAATGCTGTTCTTTTTACATGTAAACCCCGATTTGGAATAAATCACGCGCTGTCCCTTTGAGCTAATCCCTACCTGCTTCAAATGGTGAACTGTGAAATACAGCTTAAATGCATTCAGGTGTCGATCGGTAATACCAGCGAGCGTCGATCAGTCCGATGTACGTTGTACGGGGTGCAATCTTTCCATATTTTGCCTTGTAGAAGACATTCGCGAGATCAGCAGCGACAAGGAGCATAGGTACTTGGAAACATGCCTTAGGTTTATTTTCTGTGCTAGTGTCAATGGGATCACACAAGAAGCATGCTTGGGTTTTATCCCGATCTGAGAGATAGGGTTCCGTTCCACTTGTTAAAGCGAGATATATCACGATCTCTGCTGCGCATTTCTCCAAATCGGCAAGATAGAAAGGATGTGCGACTCTTTTCGCAGCACGCTCAAGACGAAAATTGGGTTCGATCTCCATTTTATTGTAAAGACTTTCGTAGTCACAGAAACTAACAGCAAGAGCCATCTGTACACACACTTGTGTGCATCTCATAGAGGGATCAGCTAAAGTGTCGTTACTGGGCTTAAGAGGCCATCAAATAAGCCAGGAGAGACAGGCTGTGTCATTTTTGAAGGTTCCAATATTATTGATCATGATTCGACGGGAGTTGATAGCTCTGCGAATGTCACCTGCCCCCAGCCTATACCATAAGGGACGAGAATCAGTGTACCATCCGGGGTGGTTATCAAGCTACTCTAGCCATCATTGAGCAAATATCGTGTTATGATAGATACCGCGCACAACACACAAGAACTCTGTCAGATTAATTTTCATTTTTTCCCCGGATATAGACCAATCGGACGTATCGGTCCACGTTTTCTTCATATGCGGCCATTTGGCATAGAATGTCTTTTTTGAGAGTAGGAATATCAGGCGGAAGAGGGTTTCAAAGTAGGGTTGCTTCTTCTAGAGTGAGAGTACAACGCGAATCATCTGGCCAGGCATACTCGACACCAATATGCTGATATTCCTCAATGCTGATACCCCTGGGTATTCTAGAAGGTGGGTATCGCCTTTCTAGCTTTCATCGAACACAGGTGTCGCCATGTAAAAAGCAGGTATTTGCGGGCTCTTCAAATCAATGGACCGAGTAGAATCATCCATAACGGCGAATCTGCAAGGTTTAGACATGATCGTCTCGTAGATCTCACGACCTCCTACAGTGGATCCTTCCCGAGCCTCTTCGGCAATAGAGACATCGGGAAATAGATCTAACTCATTGTAGAATTCCACATATCCTGCAGTAGCACACGCCCTGCCAACTTAATAACGCATCGAGGGGTACTGACGAGCGAGCTGGCGGTACGTATCCTGTCCGACGAAATCTGGGTGTCAGATGCAGGATGGCTGAAGTGCCGGGTCCTCGAGACCCCCAGGAGTGACATTGCTCATGATTAACCGGGCGTTGCGTGCACGGGCAAGCTAAGGAGCTCGTGAAGAGCCGTCGCAGAGATCCCTTGGTCTTGCGCACATAGCGAAGTCGTATTTACAGCGCAAGCCACGAATCACGGAACAGCGTTCAATGGTGGAGGTAATATCTTCTGGAAGTGCTTTCCCTTCTATTGCAGTAAAAAAGTGGTTATAATTGGGTAGAGGAGTCGGAATGCGCGACTCATCGTCCGAGTCGCTTTCACCGTCGGACGAAAAAAATCCTAACATACTGGATATATCCAAATCGAAACAGATGGAATTGACTGGGGAATAGCCTTGTTTTCTTGGTGAGATATTCACCTCATTGTTCACCGGGCTGCAAAGACCGCCTACTTTAATCATGGCGGAACAGCATCGTTTCGGCCCCCACGAAGTATCTTGTACCGAGTGCTCTCTAAGTGCTGATCCCAAACAGAAAGACAGCACAGCCCTTCTTGTTGCCATTTCAGGTAGATGATAGTCGCTGCCAAGATGCTGCAGCTTGGCATTCCGTGACATAACAGAGTCAAAATCTCCCGTTTAATTTCCCTGGCTTATACTTTCAACCCATTTTGACACTCTTTGTCGACGTGAGAAGGTGGCAGTGCCACAATGTTTGGTGCCGAAATTCCTCTCAAAGCCCAAGAACATGATATTGAGGAAACGATAAAGAAGGAACAGTCCTTCTCAGTTTTGAGGTCATGGTCATGGTTTCCAAATTATTCCAACGTGCCCAAGGGGGAGGTAAAACAGATAAAGACAGGTCTCGAGCCTGCTCGCAGATGGATAAAGGGTGTTGTGCTCTGTTCAAGGATTGTTGGTGGAGTGCTTGCTTTGAATATTATTCTCACTGTCATCGCTGCTGGTCTGGCGTATTCAGGGGATAGCGAGGAGACGTTCTCCTTCGCTTCCCTCTATACGGGAAAGTGCTCGACTTCTAAGAATTGGACCACAGGCTTGCACCTCTTGATCAACATCCTCAGTACTGCCCTGTTAGGGGCGAGCAACTACTGCATGCAATGTCTTGCTGCCCCTTCACGAGAACAGGTGGATAAAGCACACAGTCAAAAGACATGGATTCGAATCGGTGTCCCAAATATCATGGACCTTCTTCGCTATCAAACAGGCAAGCGACGCATTCTGGGATCGATTCTACTGATCACCTCGTTGCCTATCCATTTGATGTTTGTGGTTTCATTCTGACCATGTTTCAATGTATTCTAGCTGACTCGAAGTTCTACTAGTTATAATTCGGCTGTCTACTTCTCCATTGGACCAACAGAGTATTCGGTCGTTGCAGCACAGGATAAGCTTATTCAGGAATACGGTAATTCTACAGAATTCGAGCAATGCTTCACCCAGAACGTCGGGATTGATATACAGTCATTCAATGCTGCGATACGTGATGGGACTTTCAACACCCTCTCCAAAGAAGAATGTGTTGATATATTTGCTCAAGACTATGCATCCGGGTACGGATTGGTTGTTCTGGTGACCAAGGATTCACTGCCTCAAAATGATTCCGTTGCCTGGATAGGGACTGGAAATAGCCGAAGTTTGGCGAGTGGCGACAGTCAATACAGCTGGTTGTGTGACCAACAATACCCTTGCACCAAAATCATGGCTGAAGAAAAAGCCCATAACTGGTCCTTACACTCATTAACATGGTCACGTCCTACCATCCATCTGTCGGTGCCTATCCCAGGCGGAATTTATGAGAGCGGAGAATGGTTGGATGTCGGGCACTACGGCGTTCCCGATACCGAGGACTACAACCATCTTGATGATATTCTAGATAAATACCCTTCCCTGGAGGAGTTGCAAGCCAAGCTAGATAATTCTTCTGGCTGGGTTAACAGTTCATTCCCGGGTAGTGTGACGGTACGTAAAGGTGAGCCTCATTGCACATACCCGAGGGTTTTCGGTGAACAGACTTCACAGTCATATTCAATCGATCACTGCATGACTTTGCCAGCCAAGGAAACTTGTCAGCTATTCTTCAGCCCACCAATCTGTCTAGTCGTAATTGGCTGCAACATAATCAAGCTCATCTGCGCGCTGTTAGCGGCGCGTGAGGACAGAAAAGACATTTTCCTCACTACCGGGGATGCGATTGCATCTTTTCTTACCAAGCCGGATCCAACTACTGTGGGAGCCTGTCTGCTGTCCGGGCCTCTAGTTAACAAGAAAGCACACGGATGGCGGAAATACAAGGGCCGTGAACGCAAATATTTGGATCCTTTAGACCCCAAGCAAGAGATTCCGCTTCGCTTGCCTTCACGAAAGCGATGGTGCCAAGCTGCGAGTATATCACGCTGGGTATATACGATTCTTTTGTATGCTATCACCCTTCTTGTATTAATAACAACTTCCACGAACCAGTGACTGACTGCTTTTAGATTCGTGTGCATTCTGATCCCATCCGTCATTGTTCTGCGCCTTGGAATTCTCAACTACAACAAAGTTTCCAAGTCGAAGAACATATGGAAGTCTGGCCTGGGAGAGGCAAGCCCAGCGACTACACTAAGCGGCTTGAGCATTCCTGCTACCGCAGATGGGATATTTTCCATGATTTTCATGGCCAACATACCTCAAATACTGGTCTCACTGGCTTACTTCTTTTATAACGGCCTATTGACCTGCATGCTCGGCGCGGTTGAATACGACAACTACGCCAAAGAGCAAAAGCCTCTCCGCGTATCCTGGCCCCGCGGCGCCCAGCGTTCAACATACTACCTCAGTCTTCCGTACCGATACAGTATCCCGTTGCTGATAGTCTCGGCTGTTCTTCACTGGCTCGTATCCCAGAGTTTTTTCTTCGTTCAGGTGATTCCATTTGACCGGCACGGAGTACCCCAAACACATCTCTCAGACGTCTTTGTCCTTGTTACTTGCGGCTATTCGCCCGTTGCCATCATCTTCGGAATAATTGTTGGTGGTTTGCTCCCCATTGTCGCTTTGGGTCTGGGCTTGCGTCGATTCAGATCGCACATGCCGCTGGCTGGACAGTGTAGTGCAGCAATTAGCGCTGCGTGTCATCCCATGACTACTGCGGTTGATCATGCAGTAAAACCGGTGCAATGGGGCGAAGTCCCAGATAGGGTCTTGTCACATGGCATTTTTCCAAACACAGTAACGACGGATGTTGGGTTTGAAGCTCGGTCGAGGGCTGAAAGTGATGAGCAAAGGCCGTCTTTGGCCACAGAGCTAGATATAGATGATCCCAGACCGGTTAGTCTCTTGCATTGCTCATTTACATCGGAGGATGTTAGTGAGCCAAGCACATCACGTCTCTATCTCTAGCTAGGGTAGGTTTGATATTTATGACGATATGACTTAATTATTTTAGAAATTAGGCCTTGGGATAACGTATAAAGCAATATAATGATACATAGTTTGTATGTACGTCTATATACTAGGGTTTCGCTGCTTTTGAAGCTATTGGAGCATGCTTCATAGATATATCTTCAGAGCAAAGAAAAGACACATTTCTTGGATCGGGGTTAGGTATTGCCTGTCTCTAGTACGTTCATGTCTCTCCGAACCCGAATCGGAGAATGGATATCCCACAGTCCTCATGTTTGAAAAGTAAAGTGGATTTTCCATTCATTGGCCGTTGAAAGTCAAGATAAGCCCTCACAGCTGGGGTGGATGGCTCGCGCGGTTTTTCGATCAGAGCTTGTACTGTGTCTGCACCCAGTTCATCCGCTACGCCTTTGCTCTGATCAAGAAGCTCATCAGAGCCCCCTTCAGGCAGCATATTCAGTATACGTGAGACTTTAACAACAAGAGCCTGGATCTCCTCGACACAGCGACGCTGATAGCGCTTAAAAAGCATTCGCTGATGAGGTGTACAGTCCGGTGCCTTACACGCATAGCCCAAGAATTCCAAGACTGCGTATGATAGACGCATGCGGAAGTTGCCCTGGAGGACGTTGACACCGACATAACACGGGTATACGTGCTTCGGCCCAGCGTACGGCGTCATTGGGGGATCCACCACATAGCCTACCACCGCCTTCTCGTGGGATAAAGGTTGGGTTGCTTGCTCTACTTCTTCCATATCTTGGAGGATGGACGGAGAATTGGAGAGCACCTCGTTGAGATCAGCTGTATCAACCAGTGCGCGAACACGGCTGCAGATGCGAGCACAATGGTGTGAGAAAATACATGCCCGGAGCATTGCATATTCTGATGGTTCGCAATATTTATGGAACAGAAGAAACCATGTCGATGCCTCTTTACATCCTTTGCCAGACATGAGTGCTTGGGTTTGCTGGCACGCTGCTGTTAGCCATTGACACTAATCATGAACGGCTAACTCACAACGTTGCTAAAGATTATGATGAAAAGATTCCGCCCTTTTCGGGTCGTAAATTGCTCCGGGCCACGCAGTCGAATCAACTCTGACAAAACCTGGTTGTGGATGTGCCATCCAGGAGTTGCGACTAGGTCAGTGCCGTTCTGTGAGCCTAAGAGGAGCTGGAGCCAAGAGTCAGCAGATTCCATACTCCTAGTGGCTACATCAGCTTTTACCTCATATAGTCCTAACAGCCATATGGCCAATAATGTATTGTCGCTCTTGCATTGATATGGATCCTGGATAGCCGAACGGATGGCCATAAGCGCAAATCCGTATGCTTTGGCTCGATCCGATCTTGCTTTGGAAGTCCGGGAAATGTTGGCCATATACGCACGTGCAACAGCATTGCAGGCCTGATATAGAGCAGACTTCTCTTCCGCTTTGGAAAGGACATCGTGAAAAGTACTGTAGATGCTTTTCGCCATTTGAAATGAGAGTCTGAAGTTATCTATGACGAATGGTATGAAGTGAGTATTCCATGATTCGGCCAGTGAGTATGTCAGGGGGAAATTTTGGCATGAATGTAGTGGAAATCCGTCAGTTTTTTCCGAATGATGCATATGTCGGATTGTTACTTCGTCCGAAGTATGACTCCCAGATAAAGGAAATGAACTTCCAGGATCGATGACATCGCGCTATGCAGTGTGATTATATCATTCAATGGTTGTTCGTATGTACTACTTACCTGAACGAGTCGTTGCCGAGACGAATAATTGTTGCGAGATGATCTAAGTCCCTCTTCCGCAAAAGGTAGGTGAGCATATCCGTCACATTTCCGACCTGTCGAGACACATCGCCGACACTGAGGTTTTTCTTCATCACATTTCACTCTCCGAATTCTGAACGAGTCAGAGCGCGCGCTTCCCGTATCTGAAAAGGAGATCTTACTTGCAGGTCATACACCCAGACTTAAGCTTGGGGGCCCACTTCCTCCGACGAGTAACCACCTGCGATTTCTGCTCGAGATTTGTCATCGCAGCTCTGAGGACGACAGATCAGCACTCAGGTCAAACCTCTAGCATTCATGGATGAGGTGGCTATCTTGTGGGGATGTCGGGGATTTGGTGGGAGATGGTGGGTCATCCATAAGAGATCAGCATTCAGGGGGTTAAATGGCGGCTTGTGAGTGGCCTGAACTGTGGGATTTACTCTACAACATAGCCAAATCTAACAGGCAAGATTCCGAGTGAGATAATTGAGATTTTCAGGGTCAGGCGGTTTGTCAACATTCACACCCAGCCCTTTCCTAGTGTAACGGTCCGAGACTGGTGAAAGGGTATGTGGATATATATATGGACCGCGCTAGAGGCTGAAGTAGGTACGGAGGTAGAGGTCGACCGGGATAGTTACATAAGGACAGGATCATGTGACATAGGACCTGCCACGGTTCCCAGTTTGATGTTTACCTAACACGCAGGGAAGGAACGGTGGCAGTTCAGGCGAATATGGAAGGAACGATGGACAAGTATCTAAAGTACTTCCTTATACGGACACTCGGACAAAATAGCTAAACTCCATAGTGGGTCTCGGGAAACGGGCACCCTTCGGCTCATTTAGGCATCAAATTTATTCTTCGTCTATACTGTTTGCTCAACTTCAACTTTTCTTTTCTGCATCCCGGATTGCGTGCATATATACCGTTTGCTTTTACAGTCCGTCAAGCAACCCAACAAGATCCCCTCAACAGTGGATGAAAGCAAAAAAAAAAAATCTCCAGAATGACTGACAACATCATCTCGTGCCCTTTTTGTCCCTTCACAGACTCCGATGCTGATTTTGTATCCCAACATATCGAATTCTGTCACCCAGAATCTGAGGAAACCAGTTTCTTACAGGGCAACCAGCGAGAATTCATCAGTCAAAACTCGGCTTCACCGTCAGTGGACGAGGACGGCGTAGACAAATATGTCGACTGTCCACATGGATGTGGTGAGACAATAGCAAGCTCTGAGCTCTCGAGTCACCTGGATCTTCATGTTGCGGAGGACATGGCACTGGATGATATCGGGGCCACAACAGCACCCTCAACCGCAAATGTATATGACCATGGGGATGATCGGTCATTTGAGGAAGACTCCCTCGACATGCTCGATCCTCACAAAGGAGGAAAACGAGGGATGCAACGAGATTCGTCGCGGGTAAACACCGCCAAGCCACCACGGCCTCACAGTCCGCCAAGGACAACCAATGCAGATGGCATAAAGAGATTAGGAGTATTTGTCCCGATCTTCATCTTCAATGATAATGACTAACAGATATTCAGCGCTCCGAACTGGGTCCCCATGCCCACGAGAAAAAAATGCCGTCATGGCTAAAGAAAATGCTAGAAAAAGGCGGCAGCATATCAAAGCAAACCCAAATCACATCAGACGGTAAATTCACACGACGTGAGACGGTAGAAAATGAGACCGACCATCTGATACCCGTCCTTGCTCGACTGTGCGAACAAGACAAATCCGTCCAGCGGGCATTCCTCTGTAGCCCCAAAGTCCGCCATATCTGCAAAATGCGTCGGGAAGGTGGGTTTTGTGGCTACCGCAACATTCAAATGATGGTTTCTTGGCTGAAAAAGTCTCGTGGCTTTGGCCATGAGCACTTTCCAAATAAGGGGCCGACGATTCTTGAGCTGCAGGATATGATTGAATCGGCCTGGGATATGGGGTTCAATAGTTCTGGAAGAGTCGAGACAGGTGGGATCAAAGATACGCGCAAGTTCATTGGGACGCCCGAGGTAAACATTTGATCGATATCAATCATCTTCTATATACTAACGAGTATACAGGCACAAGCGCTTTTCATGAGCCTAGGAATTCCGTGAGTTGCCTATTATACTTTGATTCGATCCCTGCTAACTTTGATATCCAGATGCGAAGCCAGAAGTCTGTCAGAGAGAGATGGTGTACGGGCCTGCGATGCTCTTTACATCGATGTCGCCGACTATTTCCGATCAGCGTGCTCATTAGAAGACCAGACAAAGATCGTCCAGACTGATCTCCCTCCGATATACTTCCAACATCAAGGTACAGCCTCCTAAGAATAGAAAACGTATATAAGTCTCTTTAACTCGAACTAGGTCATTCTATGACGATTGTCGGATTTGAGATACGAGAGAACGGCAGCGCAAATCTCCTCGTATTCGATCCCATGTTCAAGACTTCCCCTGCAATGGAACGTCTAATCGGGGCCTTTGTGAAGCCCTCGGACCCCACTCGCCTTCTCAAAGCATATCGCCGAGGAACGCCCTATCTGCAAAAGTACAAGATTTTCGAGCTTCTCAAGTGAGTAATTATCACGAGGATCATGCTCATTGTTCCAATGCTAATTAGCACTAGGCTAGGTATAAGCAGCCCGAAAGATGAAGCCACGTAGAAGGCATCCGATCCAATCCACATTGCATATCTCTTGTATCATGATTAATAAAGGAACAAAACCAAAGCAAAGTTACTGTAAATGTCTTTTATACATCCCAATGCGGTAACTTACCCCTCCACGATAAGATAGCCGGGACGAAAATTAGTCCGATGGAATTATTTCATCTGGGGAAACCATTTTCAATCTACAATCTACAATATACAATTCAACTTGAAAATCTTTCTCCTTATAAGACAATATGCGCACCTCTCCAAATTTGATCATCACCGGTACCCCTGGCGTGGGAAAGACCGTCCACTGCGAACAACTCGCGCAAGAAATCGGCCTGAAGCACCTGTCCATTAACCAGGTCGCAAAAGACCGTGGGTGTTTCGATGAATATGACGAGGAATTGAAGACCTGGGTAGTCGATGAGGATAAGGTAAGGAGGTTTTCCGCGTCACTGTTCTCTTCGTCTAAAATGCTCCTTTCACCATGCTTCAAACCTCCAAAATCCACATACTAATCCATGCGCGACGTAGCTCCTCGATGCCCTTGAAGACGAAATTCCTAATGGTGGATACTTAATCGACTGGCATGCCTGCGACCTCTTCCCCAAGTCATGGATCGATCTGGTCGTTGTCCTCCGCTGCCCCACCACAGATATTCTATATGACCGACTTTCCTCACGGTATGACAATTGCCCCGGAAACCTCTCATGCGCCTCTAAACTAACATATCTATTTCAAAGTGGATACCACGAGAAAAAGCTGGACGAGAACGTTGACGCAGAAATCTTTGGCGTTTTATCAGAGGAAGCACGGGAGGCATTCGACGAAGAGATCGTGGTAGAATTGAACAGCGAGCAGGATTCAGATGTGGATTCAAACTGCCAGCGAATCGCACAATGGGTCGATTCATGGAAACAATCGCATGCCGAGAATGCGGATTAAGGGAATTTGTCGGAACGTATAAAACATTTGATCTTCGTTTCTCATTCTTCTATGGTCTTTTGCAGGCCGAGTTATATACCCATGACGATTTACTGTTGGCCTTCGGCTAGCCAATGCTGCAACTTCACCAGCGCCTTGCCCCGGTGCGAGACCTTGTTCTGTTCGCGGTGCTCTTAGTACATGGCTTTTTTTTTCTTTTCTTTTTTTGCGGGAAACAAGATCGTTTTTACCTTTTCCTCCTTGTCCATCTCAGCATAGGTCTTGCCGTTATATTCGAAGATAGCGTCCCAGCCTGTCATATATCAGATCTTGATTCTCTGTGAAACTCACTTGGATGTTTACTTACCGAACTTTGGTGGGCCTCTGGGCCGCACAATAGTACCCTGTACACCACAGTTAGATCTACATGTATATAACATATATTGAAAATGACGGTAGCTCTCACCTCAGTTCTCCCCTGGAAAATAATGGGTTCTTCACCGGGACCTCGGCAAAAGGCAAAGGTACACACAGCTTCGCCAGTCCTGTCCTCGAAGCCATCGAGCATCTTGTTCAGACCCTCGTGGCCCACATTCTCCATGAAGTATTTGCTTGATTCTCATCAGTACTATTATCCAGAGTAAGCGTTGAACATAACAAACATACATGTATGGCCCAGGGAGACCCTTGAGCGCATGGAACTCAAGAGCAGTATCTTCGGTCAAGGCAGGTCCATTGATCTATTCCCTCGTAAGCATCAATCTAGGAATCAAGAGTCTAGGGAGAAATTACCGCTTCGGCAGCACGTTTGGCTTTTTCTTTGGCGATCTCTTCGATTGTGCCTTGAATCTCGGGGATATCAACCTCCTGGTTGTCGACTTCAATGACCTGACCGAGGATATCCCGCACCTCGCGGAGCTTGTTTTGGTTTCCGGTGATGAAGTTGAGCTTGGTGAGAGTCATTTTGGCTATGTTGATAGGGGTTGGTATGTGTGTATGAAATTCGAAGGTCGAAGATAAGACTTTGAGATACCCCACTGCGCTACCGCAGACCGCGCCACTCAGCGTTCTCTACGAACACTTCTACGAACACTTATGTTGGGAAAATTGAGAGATGCCACGTAAACGTCTGTGTGATCCGGATTTTACAAAGAGATTCTTGGTACTTTCTCGGCCTTGGAAGGCTGTATCGTAGCCACTGGGGTGCTCACTACTTTGTAGTCTGCGTAGGATTAGTAAATACTTACCAGTCATTACCACGACCTGGTGAGCTGCTGACCTAGGTTATCGATTTCAATGTCCTCCCAGTCTGGCCAGTATATGTATCTTGAATCATTTCCTAAGGCTGTTATACAAGACTTCTGGCGACTGTCAGAATTTGCCCCACGGATTTGGCTCATTCATTATGATGGTTTACATCGAGTATCCAACAAAGATGTATGCTGCACTTAACACATCAGGCTGTTCAATAGAAGAGCGTGGAGCTATAGACCCAAACAAGGATTTCACCTACGCAGCCTCCGTTGAATTTTCCTACGTGCCGCCATGGTGGTCTCTTATCGAGAAGCCTTCATTTTGGGTAAAGGGGATTGAGGATTGAACAAGAGTGTTTGAACATCGTCTAAAGACGTTTCTCATGGCGATGAAGGATTGTGAAGATATAGCATTCTAGAAAGGTTGGTTCAGAGAAGACCAGCGACTTTCCAGTCCTATGTATGAGAGTTGGCAGAGTGGCGATTTCTGAGGTAGATATGCAGCGATGCACAGCTTCGCCTTTGATGAGATTTACTGGCAAGGGATTGGCCCGCGGGGTTTTGGACCTACTCAGAATATTGAGGGAATATGGAAAGAGCAATTGGGCATATTGGACGAGAAGGAAAGGGATAAGATGGAGCTACCAGTTGCTCGAAAGGTGCTGGAGATGAAGACTGGGGCTTTGTCGTGGGATCCAGATGAGTACACTCTGGCATTTCTCGAGAAATTAAAAGGTCAAGAAAAGGCCAGAACCGAAGACAACCTGATAGAGAACAAGGACAGGAAACCTGCTCATGATGGAATCGAGTCAACCCTTTGAACATTGTAGTATTTGGATTGGTCGGTTAGCATAAAGGAAAACTCATTTACAGGAATTTACTGAGCAATCTCTTCTGGTCTATAAGCCAAGGCGTCATATGCAATTGGGAACAAAAGAAAATCATGCGCATCACTGTATCGCAAAGGCCGTGGATAATCCAGGCAAGTCGTAATCCGTAGCTCACAGGAAATCCCAAAGTCTAATATACAACAGGTACAGATCTAATCCTCCATCATTCCGTGGTCAAACTCAAGCCTCTCTTGTTGTGCCATCGCTTGCGCGGACACAATCTCAGCAAGTCGTTTCAACCGCGGGGTTTGGAGCCAGGAGGGTGTATAGGTCTCCAGAGCAGTGATCACACGCGGCTCGGCGATCTCGTACGGGCCACTGTCCTCCATGTCTACCGGAGCCAGGAGGAGCACATCACTCTTCTCTGTGACGCGAGAAGCGACGGCCTTCATAATCTCACCGTTGATGGGCTGTTCGTAATCTGCCACCAGGTACTGATTCAGAAGTTTCTGGATTTGATTCGGGGACAGCCTGCGATAAAGTTAGTCAATCGAGTTCACATGTACTCAAGGCCACTCCCAGGGGTTACTTACATCCAACAGATATCTTGAATGATTTCAATATCATTCAGAGTAGCCTTCTTCAGCTGCAGAAGTTTGGTCGCTTGCTAATAACATGTTAGTATAATTATTCCGTCCATATCAAACAAGAAACCTTACCATCAGGTGCTCTAGCTTCAATGTTCCCTCCGGCATATCATGGCTCTTGCACCACTCCTCGATTCGAGTAATGTTGTAGTTGATTTGCAAACCACGCTTCCAAGACAGGAAGTTACGTCGCATGAGGAGATCGTTGAAAGCAGTGACACCAACTAGACGCAAAAGTTCCGTGACGGTCTGGAGTATGATGGCGTCCTCAAGGTAAAAGGCCTTCATTGCCTTGTAAACACCGTTCAATAGACTGAGCAGGTTGTCCATGCTGTAAGCTGGGTTATTGTTGGAGGGCAGAAGTTTTCCAAGGAAGCGATTCGTTTCGCTGGTGACAAAGCCGGGAAGTGATTGAGACTCGATGATGGCTGGAACAATCATCTTGTACAACTTCTTCTTCAAGACCTTCATCCAAGTGTGATAGATGTTAAATTCCAAGCTCTCAAGGTCGTGCTTGACAATCTCCAGCAGGCGGTCATACTCGTAGTTCTCGGTCTTTTGTGTTTCATACCAATCCTCGGCCAGGAAGACAAAGGATAGCATCTCGTGCACGTTGGATAACCAGAAAGCACCGGGGTTGATCGCGTCGTCCCCATCATGCTGCATAACTTCTTGCTGGATGGACTGCATAACGTTCGCCAAGAATCGCTCTGACTCCTTAACAAATCCGTTGTTCCACATCTCCGACGTAACAAGGTTGATCAGATATGCAGGGAACAGGACTTCCTTTTCAGTCGGTGGCGGTGTCGAAGTTGGGAGCGGAATCTTCAAGTTGCGAATAAGACCCATAGCGACTTCCTCGTTCAATTCCTCCTCTTCAGAAAGCAAATTCTCGAGCTCCACCTCGACCGACTCTAGGCCAGGAGAGATTGCCGCAATCTGGCGGGCAGCCATAGATCCAGGGGTAACCGCCATCGAAACAGGCCGAGGGTTATATGCACCGCTGAAGCGGTCCGTCTCGATCCGTTCGGCACCCGCACTGCGCCTCTTGGGTTTAGGCTTTTTCGAAGATACAAGGTTGATCAAGCCGGGGGAGGGGCCGGGATTGTGCCACCGTTGGCCAGACCATCGCCGTTCATACCGTTCAAAGGCACAGATCTCTTGGCAATCTCGAGCTGTTCCTCAAGATCGGAAATCCGCTGCCGGAGACCGTTCTTGTCCTTCTCATGCTCGGCATCCAAGACCTTGAGACGCTCCAACTCCTCGTGGACGGTTTGAAGAGCATCGCGAGAGATTCTCTCCTCTTCCTGAAGGCGCTTGATGGTAGCCTGGGCTTCAGTGTGGCTTTGCTGAAGCTTACTCATCTCCTCCTCAATTGCCTCTAACCGGGCTGCAGTGATACCAGCCTGGTTTGCTTCAACCTGGAGTTCTTTCGTGCGAGCCTCCAAGGCATTGTGTCGAGTTCTCCATGACTTCAATTGGGCATCATAGTTGTCCAACTGTGAGACCAAGGTTTTATTTTCAAGCTTGAGGGTTTGCAAGTACTGGGTCAACTCAACCACCTTGTTCTCCAACTTGTAAGAGATCTGCTTGAGATCTCGGGCATCCTCGCGAAGTCTCTTATAAGCATTTCTTGCCTCTTTACCTCTCCAGAGGTTTTGGATAGTGATAACCTTGCGACGATACTCTCTCCAGGCTCGGATTTGACGCCAGGAGCGGAAAGCACGTTGAATGACCTTGGCCGCATTTCCGTTGATAGAGTCCATGATGTTGCGTCGACACAGGAATCCCTTGGCAATAGACTCGAACAGAATGAAGTTTTTGCGGATTTGAGTGTACCGCTTCCTCTCCTTCTGGCCACGCCAGACCCGCTGGATCGTAGTGGCAGCTTTAGTTCGGCGAATCTCGTGGGCATGTTGCCGTGCCAAGAAGCCCCGAATGAAGGCCTGGGTGGTGAGGATTGCTTCACGGGCATCAAGGTAGCGGCGGCGGTAATACTTGGCTCGCAAATTCTTCTGAATCATAATGGCGCATTCATTCAACCTAGACGTTCGGAGATTTTCCAGGAATGCAAGCATACCAGCCCGGAAGAATATCTTAGTCAGACCAAGTTGATACTTATCTTGCTTCTCATCTCCCAGGGCCTTTCGGAGGATTGCATGGCACATATCCCGAATCTCCGAGGTCCATTGCGAGGAATGGCACAACATGTAGTAACGAACGGCGAATTCCTCGTAAGTCCATCGGGTTGGGTAGCCAGCGGTACTAATACGGACGGTTTCTAGGACACCACAAGCTCTCAGCTGACTGAGAACCATGGGACCTTCGAATTTCCATGCCTCCTTTGCCTCATTGGGCTTGATGCAACGGATGTAATGAACTTCTGTACTGTTGATGGTGTGCATCAATTCAATCAGCGAAGACTTGAAGATTCCTCCAAGCGTGGGTTTCCGGTTAACTGCAACGCCAATCCGGCGCCCTGGAGCTGCTGCAACTGGCTTGGATGACATAGCAGCTGAATCCTTTTCACGGACCGCCGCAGCAGTGTCCAAAATCTCCTTGATGAAAGGATTGGAGGAATTACGCAACACTTCCAAATGCTCATCTGGCACAGTGTCACGGTTCTTTTCGATGAATCCATCAGACTCATAAGTGACATCGACCGCGTAGTGACAGACGGTGAATGCAGATTTGCCGAAGCGAGGTTTCTTGTAGAACTTTTGCTTGTCAGCCGCAAAGTGGTGGTGCAGCTTGGTGACGAACTGCTCATCCGAACCCATAGGAAGTCGGGACTCTTCATCCAAAAGCGCCAGCACACCGAGCTTCGCTTCGATAAGATCGATACAAGGTTGGTTATCCGAAAAGTCAATGAATGTCCAGTCAATCTCTTCTCTGACATATTCTTCCTGCTCGAGCTTAAACACATGCTGGTTGAATTCTTGTTGCAACTTCTCGTTGGCATAATTGATGCAGAATTGTTCGAAAGAGTTCTTAGCAAAATGTTCGAATCCGTAGATATCAAGAACACCAATAAAGCATTTGAACTGCTCAAGCACTTCATCGGTGGCAAGGCGGCGGTTGATCTTGTCCACGAGCCAATCAAATAGACTTGAATAGATAAACTTGGCAACGGAGTCTCGGACAACCAGAGCCTGTTGTTGTGTCAGATTGGAGGTGATTTTCTCGCCACGTGTGATAAGTTGCTTCTTCACGATCCATTTTGCAAACTCGGTAGGGTCGATTCCAAGCATCTCACATGCGCGGAGGAGTGCAGGCTCGGTCGACGAGACTGATGAATCCGTGCGAGTAGCTGTGATCTTGACATTACCGAGGTGTAGCAAAGCGGCCAGAACGCGGAAAATGCCTGTCTGGTCTTCCTTGGACACGCCAATCACAGCCAGCGACTTCCTGGTCGCTTCAAATTCGGCCTTATCGTCAACACCGTCGATCACCGGAGTGCCGCCCTGGTTCAAATACTCAAAGTCTTCGGCAGCCAAGAGACCCAGCTCCTGTTTCTCCGCGTCGGAAGCACCGGCTACCAGCTGGTAGAAAATGTGATAGTTGCGCTCTTTAAGAGGCTGGAAGACGAGTCTCGACCGCTCAAGGAGATACGTTCTGATCTTAGCTCCGATGATATTCGTTCGGTCATCGAACATGATCTCGATATATTTGCCGAAACGGGAGGAGTTGTCGTTGCGAGTGGTCTTGGCGTTACCAAATGCTTCCATGACCGGGTTAGTAGCTAGAATCTGTTCCTCGGTTTCACTGATTGCATCTGCGCGGCTGGTGGTATATTTTCCAGGCTGATCGGAAGACTCGCGGGTCGCAAAATAACGCATGATATATTTGGCGCTCACGGTCTTACCGGCTCCAGATTCACCAGAGACCACAATTGTCTGATTCTTTCCATCGCGAAGCATGTCACTGTGTCAGGTGTGAGCGAAATCGAATCTAAAGAGGCAAGGGTCGGACGATTCTTACGCGAAAGCTTCCTCCGCAATGGCGAACAGGTGAGGCGCCTGTGAGGCACGTTGTTTTCCAGCATAAACCTGTACCATCTGCGGTACGTACAGCGAGTCGACTCGGGCAAATGGATTGGTTGCGATCAAGACGATACCACTGTAGGTATATATTTCCTTCTGAGCGTAGCGGAGTTTAATGGCCTGGAGGACTTCAAAGGGCCGTTAGCTGAGGGCGACACGCATCACCTGGAGCAAAACAAACCAGCTGGCTCATTCAAATGAGACAAATTCGTCAAATCTTCGCTTGCTTCAAGCATAGCAGGGTTCATAAGCGGAGGTAGCTTGGGGTTGTTATCGACCTGCAACTCGGACTGCGTGGTCTCCACGGTTCTTGTCTGGCCCGATCAAAACAGTGTCAGTCGGCCAACCTCAATAACTAAAGACACGAGATTGCGCGTCCAGAGTCCAGCGACCCAAAACACCTACCTCTCCATTTTCCAACTCAAAGATAAGCTGCACTTTCTCTCCATCCTCCAGCTTCTCCTTCACCTCGGATGCTAGCCATCCTTCTGTCGGGTCGGGCTGCCAGGCCCGTGTGCCGACCTCGTAGATGTGCGCCATGGGAAATGTAGGTCGTTAATCGTTTTGGATGCAATAAAGGCGGGATATTTGCAGAAGCTCCGGGAATGGGTGCGAGGTGTATCGAAAAGGCTCGGGGTCCAAAGACAAGGGGGACTTCTCAACCCCTCATCTCATACTCCGAAAGAATAGAATAAAAGATTGAAGATAAGAAATAGATGGAGTGGAAAGAAAACCCTTGAGACTAACTGGCCATTTAGCGAGAGCCCCTGAAGGAGCTTAGGGAATATACTGGGGGGCGCCACACCCCCACAGCCTGTCACCGCCCATTGTACGCAGTAAGGTACGATGTACGGAGTACATTGTGCCTATTTACTATTTACGATGTACTATTCACTAAGATTATTTATTCTTAACTTATTACTTATTTCATTAGTGAAAGGATAAAATATATATAAAAAAAAAAGCCTTGTTTATCCGAAACTTTTTAATACATGTAGGTCTTGTCTCTGGTATGGCTTCCTGATTGCTCGAATAAGCATACCCAAAAGACCTATATGTACTTATGTACATTTCATTAAGACAGAGTGTCTCAGTTATGGGGTGCAAGTCCTTACAGCGTTGGACGCAAGAATTACACACCGATTATGTCAAGTATTGATTGAGTATTAGAAGATAGAGAGGTCACGCAGGGGGGCACAAAAAGGCAGAAAGCAAAGCAAAGTATCAGAGAGTACGAATAGTCTCATGTTGGGCATTCACCACCGGCAACTTTTTTTTCGTTTAGTTTTGCTTGCACTCGGCGGCCTCCTTCTTGGGCTTGGAAGTACCATCCTAGAATGAATTAGCAAGTTGATCTAAATCAGTGAGTAGGTGTGTGTCATACCTCTTCGTCTGTATCCTCCTCATCCACCTCACGGTCCGAACCGAGATCCTCCTCGTCCTCATCCTCGTCATCCTCGTCATCGTCATCCTCGAACTCATCATCATCCATATCCTCGCCGAGCTCCTCGAACTGGAGAGCTTCACCGGTGAACCAGTCAATGGCACGGGGAATGAGCTTCTCCTTAATATCCTCACCGAGCTGGTAATCGAGCTCCAGACGCTCTTCAATGTCGCTGGCGACTGAATCGTCATCCTCGGCGGGTGGCTGTGGGGGCGAGAAAAAGTTGAAGAAGGACTCGGTGGGCACACTGATCTTAACAACGCGGGTCTGCTTGGTGTCTAAAAGAGGGTCAATTATCGGTTTCAGCATAGCATACCGATGTTCGACTTCACTTACTCTTGTTGCGCTGCTTCTTGCTCTCCAGGCGGAGGGTCAGGTCTTTGTCCTCCTTCCAGTCAATCTGGGATCCATCGGCGTGGTCGTAAATGAAATCGCCACCGTATCCACTCTCATCCTTGTAGAAGTATGACTTGGTGAGAGTTTTGTTGGTGAAGAACTCGTTCTCGGAGAATTCGAAGATGAGGCGGAATCCGGGTCGGTCAAGGTACTCCATGCGAATGTCGGTGAGGTGCTTGAGAGCTTCCTCATCGCGCTCGGTAATCATCTCAGCAAGTGAGATCTGGTTCTTCATGGCAGAGAGCCAGAACTCGGGAATTCCGTTCATGGCCTCGGCCTCCTCCTTCTTGGTCTCCTTGGTCTCCTCATCGTCACTCTCCTCATCCTCCTTCCCGGCCTCAATTTCGGCCTCAGTCGGCTCAACACCGCCGTTGACGATAGTAGAACGACGCTGGTACAGGGGCGTGAACTTGCCAAAGTACTTCTTCTCGAGTTCCAGAACCTCCTCCTGGAACTGAGCCTCCAACTTGGAGTGCTCCTTCTGGATACCCTTCAGGCCTGCGACACGGCGGCGGACGGAGGGGGGCAGGGATTCGATGTAGCCTGATGAGCGACCGACAAGTTGACCCAGCTTGCCTTGAATCATAGAGACAAGAGCAGGGTTGCGGGCGAAGAGCGAGGCAGCAGCGGCTTTGTCAAGGGATTCTAGAAAAAACCAACGGTCAAAGAGATGTCGGTGAAGATTTAAAAAAAAAACTTACCCTCCTCGATGCTGGATACACCAGGCTGCTGAGCGTGAGAAGAGATGGGAGCATTGTTGGCCGGTGTGTTTTGCGGGGTGCTTTCTGCAAGTCAGTATATATTTTTTTTTTTTTTTGCTTTTGATCAAGAGAAAAATAGAACTGGGGGATCCTTACGGTGCAACCGGGAAGTCCGCCTTCTTATTTCTGATGGGCTCAGACATGGTGAATGAATAGGTAGAATGGGAGGGAGGGGGATGAGGTTGAGAGAAGGAAGAAGAATTTGATATGCCGTTTAGTTTTGGGGGAGAGAGTCTGGAAGATGGTGGGATCCTTAGCGCCCTGTGGCCGAGGGGCTTGGCGGAAACGGTTCTGGTTGAGCCTGCAAAGACTGCAAATTCTCCCCAACAATACATTAGAATACCTTTTTAAAATACCTTTTTGATCTATCGAATCTATTTTTTTTTCTCACATTTGTTTTCTGTTCTTCTCTTCAAATGTCCGTATATATTGATGTTTCGGTCATCGATTTCGATCTGATCGCTCCCGGTGGCGCATCCTGGACCATTACCCCTCTCTCCAATTCCAATTTCTGCTAGATCAAACTGAGAAAGATTCCTATATCACTATGATTCTGGGCCCTTTGTTCTTTTGGTATATGTACCGTTTCTTTTAATTGCTTTAGGGGGTAATAAATAGTAGAAATTGTAGCATGAGATTCGCCTCTATGGATAGACGGCAAGATATATTTATAGAAACAGGTATTGTATACTCCGTACGGGCTGTTTTGCCTCGCGGCATAAAATTCGATGACTTCAAGATACAGATAGGGCGATGTACAAAGTACTTTCATTACAGGGATGTAAGTTGCAACTCTAATCAGTCACTTGAATCAAGTCGTCTGGAATTGAGCCTTCAGGGCCCTTGAGTCGCGCCATGTCGATCTTTCCGTATCTCCCGAGGTCAGATCGAAATCCCTGAGATGATTGTTTAGCCAATAAGACGTCGGTGGAAGTCCAAAAATGAGATGCCAAGACACTTCGAGTCTTCTAGATTGTTATGGAACCCTGTCAATATATACAGAGTACATGGCATAAAGAAGCCATTATGATATACAACTTGATATTGCGGGAACTTTCCAAGTTGGGTCAGTGATTATCTAATCCAACGCCATATCGGGTAGTCACATGGAGATAGGTTGCTCTCCGCTGTGGGACACCGATAAGCTTCCAAGGTTCAGATCTCACACTCAGCTTTTGTGGGAACCCGCGCTCCGTGGTAAATGCCATCCTTCGATCCTGTGTCGGTAAAACGCAATTTGACCAAAGTACCATAACATGACCACTAGAGAAGCTTTTGGCGAACTAGCCGAGCTGACCTCGCTCTTAAACATGGGAAGCCGCGCGCAGTCTCCCTCGGGCATTGGTCCCGTGGACCTCTCCATGCCTCGAGCTGGACTGCGACGCGATTCCATGCGAAGCAGGTTGCTATATCCCCTGCCTTGCTATCTCGGCCCTTCAAATTTTGGCTGACCATTCTCTAGCATGAGCGTCGTGTCGGATGTGGAGATGGCCCGTAATGAGGTATGCCAAGTTTTCTATTTCTCACGTGCAGGCTTTGGTCGCAGGGACTGACTCGCACTAGGTCTTCGATGGCCCAATCTCGGAAAGCATTCCTTCTAGCGTCGTTTCGTTCGCGCACCGCCGCGATCGAGCAGGCTCTACAGTAAGCTTTACATACTTCCAGGATGAGGAAGACTTCGCAGAATGGTCAAACGAAGATGCAGTGGACGAGCAAAGCGAGATTGATGAAGAATCTCTACATGGGATCGGGGATGCAGATATTGAGTCAGCCAGGGGATCCTTTGTGTCTAAGCGCATGTCAACCTCTCGGGACTCGGTCGAACACCCACTTCTTTCTCGCTACCTGTCGGCCAGCTCGTATGGCCGAGACCGAAGATCCGGTAGTCGTTTGAACCAGAAAGTCTATATTGCGTCAGAGGATTTGACGGCTGTCTTTGCTGGCTTTTCCACGAGCTCGGGAGGGTTTGCTGCTTATATTGCCCTTTGCATCTTGACCGGCGGATTTGCTTGGCTTCTCTTCCGATGGCTGCCCCGATGGCGGGTGAAGTTGATCGGGAAGGCAACCCCGCTAGGGAAATGTGAATGGGTGGCGATCGAGGTGAGATTCTGACCTTTCTACCCATACAATAACCGTCTGACCCATGATAGGACCAATGGAACCAATTCACCATCCACCAAGTTGGCAGCCAACCTTATGGCCGTCCACTCTCCACGGTTTTCGCTGACTCACCAAATCACACTTATGACGAAGATAATGACCCGAATATTGCCTCTCTACACTTCATCGACTATCGATATCTGAAGTTCTTCTATCATCCAATTGAGGATAAGTTTGCTTTGATCAATGGCTGGAAAGATCCCTCGTGGAATAATGCCAAGGTCATGCGAATCGGATTGGATGCCGATGAACGGGACAGCAGGGAACAGATATTTGGAAACAACGCCATCGAAATTGACCAGAAGACAATTCCTCAGCTTCTCGTCGACGAGGTTAGTTCTCCTTCTAATCCTTACGTCGATATATCTGACTGTGTACAGGCCTTTCATCCTTTCTATATATTCCAAATTGCAAGTCTCGTTCTGTGGTCCTTGGATGAGTATTACTACTACGCCATCTGTATCTTTCTCATATCGTTTTTCAGCATAGCAACGACCGTGCTGGAGACGAAATCAGTGCGTTCAGCCTTGCAATTGGACTAATATCACGAAATCACGAAACTAATGCTGCTACAGACAATGAGTCGGCTCAGGGAGATATCTCTCTTTGAGTGTGATGTTCGCGTTCTAAGAAATGGATTCTGTGAGTTCCTCTCATGTACCATCACATCATTACTGGCTGAGGTAAACTGATCGTATTCATAGGGCGATCCGTGTCCTCCCAAGAGCTGGTCCCTGGCGATGTGTATGAATTCTCCGATCCATCACTTAACCAGGTACCGTGTGACTGCATCTTGTTGTCAGGAGATTGCATCGTGAATGAGAGCATGCTCACTGGTTCGTACAAAACCTATATGTTTATCGATACATCTAACTCGAATAGGTGAATCTGTCCCGGTGTCTAAAACACCCCTCACCGATGACGCCCTCAAATATCTCGATCTCAGTACCCCTTCTATCCACCCCCATGTTGCTAAACACTTCCTTTTCAGTGGAACCAAAGTAATTCGGGCCAGACGGCCCCAGAATGTTGACGATGATGAAGCAGTGGCATTGGCAGTTGTGATGAGAACTGGCTTTTTGACAACCAAGGGAGCTTTAGTTCGATCGATGCTTTTCCCAAAGCCCTCTGGATTCAAATTCTATCGGGATTCGTTCCGCTACATCGCCGTGATGGGAATTGTCGCTCTTCTCGGATTCATTGCTTCATTCGTTAATTTTGTCCGACTGGGGGTAAGTCAATTCTAGGAAGACGATTTTGACCGCTGATCTAACAAAATACAGATGGCTTGGCATTTGATCATAATTCGAGCCCTCGATCTGATTACGATTGTTGTACCACCAGCTCTCCCAGCGACACTTACCATTGGAACCAATTTTGCGCTTTCGCGACTGAAAAAACAGAGCATATTCTGTATCAGCCCACAGAAGTGAGTGACTGAAACTGGAAGATGTCTCAAATCAAAGGCTAATACATGATGCTAGGGTCAACGTGGGAGGAAAGCTGGACATTGTTTGTTTTGATAAAACTGGAACTCTCACAGAAGATGGGCTGGATGTGCTAGGAGCGCGTATAGTCACCCGCGGTAAAAGGTTTGTCCTTTTCTAAGTATGATTCTTAGCTTGGCGCTGAAGAAGAATTTATAGATTTTCAGAGTTGCTCTCTGAGACATCTGGCGGGTTTCTTCGTCCTTCCCCAAATGCTAACTCTGCATACGATATTGAAAAGCAAAGAAAGCTTATGTATGCCATGGCTACGTGTCATTCCCTCAGGGTAGTGGACGATGAGTTGTTGGGAGATCCTCTTGATGTGAAGATGTTCCAATTTACCAACTGGATGTTTGAGGAGGGTGGAAATCTTGTTTCCGACCAGACAAGTCCCAAATATGAGACAATCGCACCGTCAGTCGCTAAGTCCCCTCAGCGACAGGCCGACGATGAACACGATTCAAACGTGAGTTGATCTTATCCTGGCCATCGCTTGATATCTAACCATATCTAGAACGCTATCGAGCTAGGAGTACTGCGTAGTTTCGAATTTGTCTCCAATCTTCGCCGCGCAAGTGTCGTCGTCAGGACGTTTGGCGACAATGGAGCAAGTTTCTTTGTCAAGGGTGCCCCAGAAAGCATCAAGGACATATGTATTCCTGGATCACGTCAGTCTTCTCCCTCTCTGCTTAGGTCTGCGTGCTGATAACATCCTTTTGCAGTTCCTTCGGATTATGAAGATCTCCTGAATTACTACACCCACAAAGGATACCGGGTGATTGCCTGTGCTTCCAAATACGAACGAAAGCTGAGCTGGATGAAAGTCCAAAAACTGACGCGGACGGATGTTGAATCTAACCTGGAATTCCTGGGCTTCATCATATTCGAGAACAAGTTGAAACCCAGTACTGCTGGTGTAATTTCCGAGTTGAACGAAGCGGGAATTCGCAATGTAATGTGCACCGGTGATAACATCTTGACTGCCATCAGTGTTGCTCGTGAATGCAACATGCTTGGACGCGATGAGCCATGTTTTATCCCGCACTTCGTTGAAGGTTTGTTATACCACCTCCGGACTATATCCAGTGCAGTATTAACGATACACAGCGCCTGGTCTTTCATCCAAAATATCTCTCAAATGGGAATGTGTGGACAATTCTGACCTCAGGTTGGATCCAAGAACACTCTTGGTAAAGTACCTTTGTGCCTTCATCCAATTACTACTCACTAATAAACCACAGCCCATAAACTCCGCGGAGACCGACCTGTCAATTCCAGACAACACTATCGCCGAGCGTGAATACTCTGTCGCTGTCACAGGTGATGCGTTTAGGTGGTTGGTCGACTTCGGGAATGAAGATGTACTTAATAAGGTAAGCGGCCGTTATACTGATTGTTTCGATTCTTTATTATGGCTCGAACTGATGTGTGCCGTATAGGTACTTGTATGCGGCAAAGTATTTGCCCGTATGTCCCCAGATGAGAAGCACGAACTGGTTGAGAAACTTCAATCGATTGATTACTGCTGTGGATTTTGTGGCGATGGTGCCAATGATTGTGGCGCTCTGAAGGCTGCAGATGTTGGCATCTCATTGTCAGATGCCGAGGCGTCCGTTGCCGCACCCTTTACTAGCCGTCTATTTGAAATTTCCTGTGTTCCGACAGTGATTAAAGAGGGCCGAGCTGCTTTGGTGACAAGCTTCTCTTGTTTCAAGTTCATGAGTCTCTATTCCGCGATTCAGTTCTCTTCGGTCAGCTTCCTGTACACGTCGGGGTCGAATCTCGGTGATTTCCAGGTAAGTGGGCTACATTACCAAAGGTTTCGATGGATCGCTAATGGTTTCAAGTTCCTCTTTATCGATCTCGTGCTCATTATGCCCATTGCAGTCTTCAGTGAGTGATCTGTTTACTTTAAAGTCGAGTCTATGAGCTAACTTTCTTCTAGTGGGCTGGGCTGATCCTGCTCCCACGCTGTCTCGGAAGCGGCCAACTGCTGATCTTGTCTCTCGTAAGGTATTGACACCTTTGCTTGGGCATATCTTGCTAGTTGTGCTGTCACAGTTTGCGGTTTTCCAGACCGTTCAGTTACAGCCATGGTCAGTAACCGTCACGACATACCGAGTAAAATTATCCTAACAAATGATGCAGGTTTTTGCCGCCACAACTGGACCGGGAAAAGAGCAACATTACTAACTCAGAGAATTCGGCTTTGTTCTTGTTCTCCTGTTTCCAGTATATCTTCATCAGCATAGTTCTGAGTGCGGGTCCGCCCTTCCGGAAGCCAATGACTCAGAATGGTAAGGAATTGCACCACCCACTTCCTTTTCTTGCTCATATAGATACTGACTGTGACTGTTCAGTGCCGTACTTATGTACGATCATCGTCAACCTCCTAATCTCGGGCTATATGCTCTTCAGACCATCGAACTGGGTTTCAGAGGTGATGCAACTGACTTTCATGTCTGATCCTTTCAAAAGCTGGTTACTCGCGCTGGCATTCGGGATCTTTGTTCTGTCCTGGACAGCAGAGAAGAACATATTTCCACGCGTGGCACGAATGCTTGGACATGCCCGTGCCCGCTTGCAGCCAACCTACCGCAAGAAGCGCAAGATGTATAAAGTGCTACTGGAGGCGCTGCGCCTGTGAAACGCTTTCAAAGCACTCACATTGTACGTTATCAAAAACATATAGACCTGTAGATAGTCATAATCGTTGGATATTATGAGCTAGTCAATCGTCTAATGAGGTATTGCCTCGGCCACTTGAGCCACAGAGTTACCGTTTCAGAAAATTGAAAAAGAAAGGGTATGATACAATTCGGCTGGTAAATGGCTATCGTGAACCTAACACTTGTGGCTTTTGGCATGCACTCGGCAACACCGGTTCCCTGCTCCTCTATTCCCACTCCAAGTACGTAGCACGCAATGCGGCCCAACCATCACCGCTGCCCCAAGGGAGAAAGCGGTTGCGCAAGAAAAAACGAAATCGACGATTGTAACCAGATCAGTGGTCCCAAGGGTGCTTCCAGCCCAACAGAGCGGGACCATCCTTCTTGGCCCGGTACATGAGCTACCCAGAAGAAAATTGTCAGCACAGCCTCGCTATATCGAAAAGGCGGGGATCCTTACGAAGAACCACATGCTAGCGCCCAATGCAGTCGCAGTGAAGCGGTAGAGCGGTCGGACCGGGTGGATGTGGATAGGGTGGGAGGAGTTGCCCGCCATGACTGTACGGATTGGAAAGCAATTAGTTTCCGCGGAATCACAGTTGTAGAGAAAGGTACAGGTAAGACGTACTGTATGCTGAAATTGACTGTTGTTGGTTCACAGGACACCAATCTCGAATCGGATCTGAAGACGGAGGGTTCTGCGGTTCAACGGGGACGGAGAGGTTAGTGGCACGTGACCCGTGACGGCACTCGACTTCCACCGCAGTGCAGTGTTTGGATTGTTCGGCAGGACAATCAGCAGAACAATCATTTGATTCACTGTTGGAGAGTCGTCTGACTTTCGTTTCAATTGTGTTTTGATAGGGCTGGCTCCGATTCAGGTTTATATTGAGCCTATTGCATGGCCGAGCTCCGTACACCAAGCCTTGAACAATGCGAAATCGTCACACGTGCTTTTTGCTATGATATGGACTCTTCTTTTGACACATTCGACGCCCTTGTCTCTCTCCGAGAATACTACCGCTAATTTACCTTGACACTTTTCCACAATCCTCTGTCTCCGAAGACTGCTCGAACCTTCCGTCTATCTTGACGCAACATCAAACTAAACCATACCAAATACCTTGACGACGGTCGTCAATCCATTGTGACCTAATATACGGATAGTGCGATCGACCTCCCGCCACCAGGAGGACCAGCGCCAGCACCGATTCAGCATGGAGATAAAATCCCTGGAAAAGGACGAAAATGGCCAGGCTCGTTTCTCTGGTTGTTCGAACATTCGTGATTATGAATTTCTCGACAAGCTTGGCGAAGGAACATTCGGGTGAGTTTGGCAGCGCTATCATCCAAAAGAAACCGGCTGACTGGTGAATAGCGAGGTTTACAAAGCAAGGTCTAAGAAGGACACGAAGATTGTGGCCTTAAAAAAGATCCTAATGCACCACGAGAAGGAAGGCGTGAGTCTACTGGTCGTTTGTTGTTTGTTTGCCATAAAATTAACCTTGTTGCTAGTTTCCCATTACCGCCATCCGAGAGATCAAATTGATGAAGGCGCTTTCACACCCAAACATCTTGCGGCTCAAGGAAATGTCAATTGAGCGAGGCAAAGGCGAGGGACGTAAAAAGCCGAGCATGTATATGGTATTTCCGTACATGGAACATGACTTATCAGGACTCCTGGAGAACCCGGCAGTTCATTTCACAGAACCACAGATTAAATGCTACTTGATGCAACTCCTCGAGGGGCTTAAGTTCATGCATGCAGTACGATTGTCTTGAAACACCCATCCATGCAACATTTGTCTAACAAGATCGCAGAACCGCATTCTACATCGTGATATGAAAGGTGGGTGTTGAATAGTGACATGCCACAATTCTGAGCTGACAAAATGAATAGCGGCAAACCTTCTAATTAGTAACGGAGGAATTCTCCAAATCGCTGACTTTGGTCTTGCTCGACCCTACGATGATGCCCCTCCACTACCCGGAAAAGGAGGAGGAGAGTCCAAAAGAGAATATACCGCGCTTGTTGTCACAAGATGGTACCGCCCTCCAGAGTTGTTGTTACAGCTACGAAAATACACTACGGCCATCGACTTGTGGGGAGTTGGGTGAGTCCTCCATTTCTGTCGGCCATGTTTATCATCTTCTAATGTCTCATAGCTGTGTCTTTGGTGAAATGTTCAAGGGCAAACCGATCCTCGCTGGAAACAGCGATCTTAACCAAGCAGAACTGATATTCAGTCTTGTGGGCACTCCTACTGAGGAGAATATGCCCGGATGGAGTCAACTTCCGGGTTGTGAGGGCGTGAAAAACTTCGGCATCAAGCGCGGGAACCTCCATAATTTCTTCAAGGAGTATGTTACTCTTCTCTCAAGAAGCCTCAGACCCCTAACTAACCATGCAAAAGCCTCAACCCAGCAGCTATATCTTTATTAGGCGAACTCCTCAAACTAGACTGGAGAAAGCGCATCAATGCTATGGATGCATTGAAACACCCTTACTTTACCACCCACCCACTCCCAGCACGACCCGGCGAAATCCCTCAATTCGCAGACTCCCACGAACTCGACCGAAAGAAGTTCCGCAGCCAGCGGGTACCAATGCCCCCTGTGCCCCCACCCGCTTCCGAGAAAAGCAATGGTGGCTGGCCAACCTCTGGTTCTCGCGGACCAGACTCCCGCCATAGCCGCGTCCCCGGTGCCGCCCGTGGCGGCAGACCCGTTGCACCCGGAACCCATGGGGGCCATGGGCACCATGGAAACCCGCAACGTCGCGGGCCCTTCCCGCCTACACAAAGAGATACCGGATTACCTCCGCGTCCTCCCATACCGACCAACCCGCCATGGGATGGGTCGCAATCGAATAGACCTGACGGGCGGGATGATCGCCGAAATCAATTCGGACAAGGAGGTCGTGCAGGGGCCAGATCGGGGAATCTGGACTCTTATGTTCCGAATTATAGCAGCAATGACCGCGGCAGTGACCGTGGTAGTGACCGCGGGCACGATCGCTCACGAGACTCTGGCGAGCACGCCTCGCATTCAAGTGCCGATTGGCGCTCAACAAGTCGGCGTGATTACCGCCGGGAACCTCCTTCAAGGAGAAGAAGCCGCAGTCCGGGCCTTAGAGACGGGAGTCGAGGTTAGGGTCATGATATTTCAGCGATTTCTCACTTAATGCATTCTACATGGCCAGTCAATCCTTGTGGACAGATGGCAGATGGGAATTGAAATGAAAATGGAAACGAAAACATTCATGTCATAGCTTTTCTCTAGTAAATGGTGCATGGTATTCACAAAATGTACACTCAACGGCTTTTATATCAGTCGTATCCAACTCAATATACTCATGAATTGGCAATTGCAATCTTGTGATTTCCTGAAACCTCGTTGAGAGTGTCCCATTGCAATTGAGCTTGAGTTCTAAGACTCATCTATTTTAAGTTGATTAAAGCATCACAGCCCGGAGGCTAGCTTGGTTTTTTTTTTAGGGTCGGTTGTTTAGTACAACACACGGGTCATGATACGAGCTGGAGGGATTATTAGCTTCAAGCTCACGCGAAAGAGGAAGGATATGATCTCACAAGGAAGGCTCTCGAGTTGGGTATACAAATCCTTGAGCGTGGCGATGTCCACATTGCTGATATCGGCCATAAGATAGGCAACCTATAATGGTTAGTTTCTGCTTTTTTCTCTTACTCCTTTGTATAGAAAGCACGAATAAACCTACATCGCCTCTGCTATCGGTCATTTGCTTGTCGACGTTGTGATCACCAATAATCTCGTTGACTGTGGCATTGTCAGTTATAAGATCAAGTAATTTGAATCAAAGCTACTATACCTTTCCTCAACACTCCAGGAATGTTCTTGTGGATGTAGATAACCTAGGAATAATCAGTATCAATGAAAAACCGGATGAGTGCATTCGAAAACTTACACGAGCGTGGTCAGACTCATCCATTGTCAATGAACGGAGGACAACCTCGGGCATGTTGACAGCACCGAGGGTGGAACCCTCGTTGGCATATCGGACCAGAGCCTGGGCAACTTCGACACCGATAGCCTTCTGAGCCTCTTCGGTACTTCCACCGATATGGGGGGTCAGAATAAGGTTCTTAAGGGAGCGCAGATCAGCTCCCCAGGAGTTCAGCTCGCTGTTGAAGTAGTCGCCGTTTCCAGCGGGCTCATTGGGGTACACATCGAGAGCGGCACCAGCAACCTTACCGCTGCGCATGGCGTCGATAAGAGCGGGGATATCCACAACGGTTCCTCGGCTGGCGTTGATCAGGTAGCTTCCCTTCTTCATCTTTTCGAACTGGGGCTCTCCAATCATGCCCTTGGTCTCGGCAATCTCGGGAACGTGGCAGGTAATGAAATCGGCTTCGCCCAAGAGCTCATCCAAGGTGGCCACCTGGCGAGCGGTACCCAATGACATAATGTTGAGCACGTCGTAGTAGATAACGGACATTCCCATTGCCTCAGCCAATACGGACAGCTGGGCACCGATGTGACCATATCCAATGATACCTGAGCGGTCAGCACAAACCCCGGAAATAACGGGACTAGTTGGAAGAACGTCACATACCGATGGTCTTTCCACGAATCTCCCAGCAACCATTGCTCACTTTGTTCCAGGTACCAGCGTGCATCTCGTTGGAGCGATCGCCCAATTGACGGGCAAGCATGACCATCTCACCAATGACCAACTCGGCGACACTGCGAGAGTTGCTGAAGGGGGAGTTGAAGACGGCAATACCCTGCTCAGCGGCATATTGGAGGTCGACCTGGTTGGTACCGATACAGAAGCAACCAATGACGATAAGGTTCTTAGCTTCCTTCAAGACCCGTGCGGTGAGTCTGGTCTTTGAGCGAATACCGATGACGTGGACATCACTGTAATACAAAATAATTCATGAGCTTCGTGAGTCACTGGAAGGTGATTTTGAATGGGACCCACCGAATCTTCTCAATGAGCTGATCTTCTGAGAGGGAAGACTTGAGGAATTCGACCTGGTAGCCTTGCTTGGAAAGAATATCACGGCCTGTCTGGTTGACATTCTCCAGAAGCAGGACCTTGATATCTTCTGTGGCGAAAGGCTTCAGAGGCTTAGCATTGACTGGAACCGTACGGTTCAGGACAGAGCTGTGGCTGGATGGGGAATTGAAGGAGGCGCTAGGGGAGGTAGCGAGGAAGGCCGCTTCATCCTGACGAGGACGGATATCTCTTGCGATTGACATGATTGTGTGTGTGTGTGTGTAGAGGGGAAGAGGAACAATGAAGAACAATGAGGATGTGAACGGGGTGGACCACATGGCCCCAGGTATGACTCTTAATAGAATTTAGTAAGCCCCCCCCCAAGGTCTCCGGAACCGGACTCGGTCTGGTTTCGAGAATTTATCAATTTCAGCATACACAGCATACAGTATAAGTGTGATTAGTATATTGAGCTAGTAATTCTATTGATATAGATAAATGTTGAGATCTAGTGCCTTCACATTCTTTGTCTATTCGATCTACTCAGTTTCTGGAGGGGCATCGCGGGGCGTTTTTTTTTTTTTTTTTTTTTCCAACGCTCTGGCCAATCACATGAGGATCACATGTCGACTGAGCTTATCTGCTTTGGGCAATTGCGTGCTTGACGGTCTACTATACGGCTACGGAGTATATTGTAGCTATCAAACTACATGTGTAGTCCTAGAGTCAAGGTCAAAAGCCAAAAGCCGAAACCTGGGGCATCACATGGTCGCGTACGCGGCCGACCATTCTTCTTATGCCTATGAATCATAAACTAAACCATCGTAATTTGTAATTTATATTTCAAGGTACATGGGATATCTCCTTAAACCTGAAGATCTTGCATCTTTTTGGTGGCATCATCGGTGCCCTTGGTGGCCTTGCCCTTGGCCTTGGTGGATGTGCTGCCCTTGGGGAGTTCCTTGGTGTAAGGAAGGAACTCAGGAGCACCAGGAATGTATTTCCGCAGGACCTCGGGGACCTCGATACCCTAAAAGATAGTGAGCTGCTGTCTTAAGAACCGATCGATCTTCGCCACTTACATCTTCTTTCTGGTAGTTCTCGAGGATACAGCAGAGGGTGCGCTCCGTTGCGCACAGGGTGGAGTTCAGTGCGTGGACGTAAGTCTTCTTGATATCGGTGGTCTTCTTCGCGCCGTACCGGATCTCCAGAGCTCGGGACTGGTAGTCGGTGCAGTTGGAGCAAGAAACGAGCTCCTTGTACTCCTGCTGGAATGGGAACCAAGCCTCCAAATCGTATTTTTTGGATGCTGCGTTGTTCAAGGCGCCGGAGACAATGGCGACAATGTTGTAAGGAAGTTTCAGGGACTGGTAGAATTCTTCGGAAGTGCTGATCATGTCCTCAAATGCTTGCCATGAATCCTCGGGCTTCGTAAGAACGAACTGCTCGATCTGCATGGGGTTAGAACTTGAGTATCCAGGACGCTTGGATCTATCCAAACCTTTTCGAATTGGTGAACACGGAAGATGCCCCAGGCATCTTTACCGTGAGATCCAGCCTCCTTGCGGTAACATGTGCTGTAACCGGCGTACCTGTTTCCTTTGTTAGCAAAATAGACTTGATCCTAGGTGACCAAGAAATCTTACTTGATGGGCAGGTCCTTGTCCTGGAGCCACTCGCTGTCGTGCAGAGCAGACAATGGTTGTTCGGAGGTAGCAATGAGGTACTTGTCGGTCGACTTATCCTCGCTCTCAGTAACCTTATACAACTCCTCGTCAAATTGTTCGAGCTGCGCAGTCTTCGCCATGAGATCCTTGAGCATGAACTGAGGGGGCTGGTTAGGGGTGTAGCCCTTGTTGAAAAGGAACTCCAGGCCATAGTTGACCAGAGCCAAGTTGAGGAAAAGACCGTAGCCCGTCAAGCAGTATCCGCGGTGTCCAACGATCTTGACACCACGCTCTGGGTCATATCCATCGAGACGAGTCAGCACTTCGTGGTGGGAGAGGCAGCCCGGCTTCTGCATTTCGGCGTTCTCGGGTGTCCATGTCTTGATGAGCTTGTTGTCCGCCTGTAGACCGAATTCCCTCGTTAGTCTCGCAGCGCGTGCAAATGCTAGGCAACTAAGAGACCCTTACCTCATCGTTGCTCACAGGCACGGATTCGTGGACGTAGTTTCCAATCGTGCGAATCTTTCGATCGCGCTGAAGTTCCTTGGCGATAGCAGCTTCCTCAAGTTCCTTCTTCTTTGTCTCGAGTTCGGCCTTTTGTGCGAGCAACTCGGTTGCGTCTTCCTTGTTCTAAGAACGAATAAGCATCCCCGTATAATTTAGACTGGCGGGTAAATGCCTACCTTCTTCTTCATTCCAATTGCCTTCTGGACTCCATTGATCTGAGAGCCCATCTGTGTGACCTCATACCGAGCTATTTCTGTCAGTAAGATTTCGCTAATCTCGAAAAGAAAAGACCCATACCGCGTCGTGCCTCTTCATAGAGCGCGACAACTTCATCAACGGTCTCCTCCGGGGCAAATCGCTTCTGCTGGCTCTCCTTGATCTTCTTGATATCACCACCGCGTTCAGTAACAAAGTCGGCAAGGTCCAGCATATTGGCGATTGGAGTTCAAAGGTTCAGGGGAATCCAAGTGGTAGAGGAGTGACTCAAATTGTGGAGGGGTAAAAACGAGGAAAATCAAAGTGCGTGGATACACGCACTTGGGCCTCGAGGGGTCGCATTACTTAATCGATAAGGGTGCTCCAACGTGCCCCAATATATTTACTTCCAAATAGGCTGGTTATGGCCACGGATATTCCTATAGATCAATATAATTCGATACTTTGCCAAGTTATAGAAGCCTCTTTAAATTGAGATTCATTACTCTATGCATGGTACCGATCCATGTTCCCTGATCCGACCCTAAAACTCATTATTCATGCAATAACCCAAATGTTCCACCAGAAAGACACAGTAGACGAAGGAAATAGAGCCAAAAGAAGAGGGCCCCCGAAAAGAAGCCATCAAGTTGGTGTTATCAAATTGGCGTTATTGATCTCTAAGTCAACAATCGAGTCAGCAAACAACACATCCGTAGATCTGAATTGAGTGGACATCGAAAGAGCAAGGTATAGTGTTGTCAGCTCCAATGAAAGAGATGTTTCATGTTTCTTGACTCAGAGATCCAGAGATCCAGAGATGGCTTCGCTTACCATCCCCGGGGGAGAATCACACGCGTTCCAGTAGTAGACATCCGTATTACATCAAAGCGCACTTGTTGTTACCGGTTGGTTGTGAGGGGTTTTGAGACTTCTCAACCTCTCCTATCATGAGATCGAAGGCTTTCGAGACATTGAAATCAAGGAAAGCGCTGGCCTCGGTGAAAGCACAGTTGAGCTCCTCCGCTAATTGCCGTCCGTCATCGAGGGTGACTTGGCGGTGATCGGGCTTGAGATCACTCTTGTTTCCTACTATCACAAGCGGTACGTCATCCGCCCCCTAGAGAAAAGATTAGATGCTGGTTTGTGTGCGCCAGTCGTGGGAAGGGACTGACAAGGTGGTTCAGGATCTTGTCGCGAATCACCCGCACCATGTCAAATGACTGGCGCGACGTCACTGAATAGACAATAATATATCCATGAATTCCAATGAAATGTTTGGAGTTCAAGATACTATATTCGTCCTGTAGAATGGCCTCAGTAAACAATCAGTATCTCGCACAGAGGTTGCCTACCTGTCCCGCAGTGTCGACGATCTCAGTTGCATAGTCCTGCCCGTTGTGCTTGATAATCCGGCTGAATGTGTTCTCAATTGTAGGGTAATAGCTTTCCACAAAGTGGTGCTCGACAAATCGAACCGTGAGGGATGATTTACCTAATGACAGATGAGTGTTAATTCTTCGCAATTAGAGCGATGTGGAATATGAACTATGGGCTCTTACCCACGGAGCGACTGCCAACGATTGCGATCTTCCTCTGCTTAGGCGCGGAAGGCATCTTGTGCGGTGTGGTAAGACTAAGCTATACCACCAATGTGAATAATAGATAAAGATGGTAATACAGTCAAATAGTCGGGGTCTTTTGATTGATGAAACTGGATCAACAAATTATTCAGAAACAAAATGGGACCTGTCCAGAAATGAGGTCGTCGGGGGGTGGCAAATCCCTCGAAGCATGCGGAGCTCCAACTCCTTGTAAGCTGCAAACAATGCAAACGGCGGTTTCTCCAACTCCAGGACTGGGCATTCTACAAGATAGCCTGTGCGTTCTGTGACGGCAATTCTTTATAAAGTGCTGTGTGGAACAGGTATTTACTAAATCTCACTTTTCTTAATTGAGGTCTGGTTCGACCTGAGATCATTATTTCATGGCTATCTCAATAATCAGTGGTGGACATCTGCCCAGGTGGATATGCATGTGGACCATTCTAGCGTAAATGGCTCAATGAAAAGCGAGAAGGAAAAGGGGTATCAAAGGCTGCCAACAGACCAAGAAATTCACGCCACCGACTCTAGAAATAGGCCGATAGAAAAGACCGAGCGCGCAATTGTCTGCCGTCAAGCAACGCATGTATGGCACGGGACGCGCATCATTACTCCGCCAGTCGAACCCGAGTGATAAGTTCTTGTAATCTAGACAGGAACCCGGTCGCTGGTTGTCCCTGGGTTGGAAAATTGGAGATATCTTGTTCAATCTTCTGATGGTATTGCAGGAATTCCTCGACGGTAGATATCACTGCTGCTAATCCGTTGGGGGGCGAGTGAGCTCTTGATTTTGGACCGAGTATCAGAATCCAAACTGAGTGTTAGTAAAAGTACGGCCAAATATCCTACAGCAACATTGTGGTGTACTTCCAAGACCGAGTGAGCCTAAGCAGATCAGTCAGTCTAATGCGTCGGCAAACAAGGAATCCAAAAAGTGAAAAACATACCGAGGAGATGGAATCGACATGAGTCATGAATAAATGCAAAAGTTCATCGAGGAAAGGCCTCGGGGAACCAGCAGAGCGAAGAAAAATTGATCGTGATGCTTCGCTCTGTTCAGTCAGGTTGATAAGTGCTCCAAGCGCCAGTATCACGCTGTCCAGAGAATTATTCGCTTGTCTAAGCGCATCTTCAGTCAAATCACCAAAGTTTGCAGAGACAATGTGGACCAGCCCCCCAACCACCTCCGGGTTTGCGAATCTATCACAAAGCAGGGGGTTGCTGTTGGTGATGTTTAAGATAAGTCGAATGTAGAGGGGTTGTATTTGGCTGACAATGTCTGGCTCCAAACTGAGCAGGCTATGCAGCTCAGAGAGCGGGTCTAGGATATCCCAATGCTCTTTTGTGAACGACTCTGCCAACGCAGTAGAAGCTTCCAGGATTGAAAAGCCCATGCACAGGATCTGGGAGCTTTCCGGGTGTATTTTTTCCAACGAAACACAACGTTGGCTTTCGGACACGAGCGCTTGAACCAAAGGTTTCAGAAGAGACGTGGAAAGGCTAGGACTCTCGCCTTTGGTTTGCATTGTGGAGATTGTCGATTTTAGGCAATACAATGCCAAAGTGCATGGGGATAATTTTGGCAACGCAGTATCAGGAAACAGCATAGCAGCTATTTGTGGAATAGTGTTCTGCAGTGTCTTTTGCAAAGGCCGAGAAAGACCGCCATCTTGAGCTTTTGCGGCCACTAGTATATCGTCTTGTATGCTCAATAAGGCAGGCGATGCATCGAGGAGTCTAGGCCAGGCGGAAGTTGCAAGGACATAAGACATGTGTCCATCCGATGATCCGAGCGCGTAGGCACAGAAAGCTAAAATAGTGGGGACCACCTGAAGGTCCATGGACAGACAATCGACAAGCCTTTTGTCAAAATTGCATTCAATAAACCGCCGCTTGAGCCCCGTATCCAGAAGTTTACCACATAGTTGAAGGAAGGCATTGCATTGACCCGTCAACGAATTTTGTGGATCTTCGATATCCTCAAAGATGGATTCGACAGCGCCTCGATAACGAGCATTTCCCCCAGCTTGTCTGAGTTCATGAATGCTTCGAACAGATCCATCCTCATTGATCTCCTCATTTGGCACAATCAAACGGGCACTCGAAGTAGCTTCGTAATTTAACTGACGTTGCACAGACTGAGAGCGGTGCTTCGGGCCAGAAGAAGCATGCTCCGTCGAAGAATCCTCTGGCATAATCATGTCATCCAAAAAGGAGCGCTGGCGTGCATAAGTGACTCGGGAGCCTCGTAAATGAGATGGGGCTGAGGCAGGGGAGCCTTGAGTGTGGGTTTCAACAGGACGCTCATTCACAGCCGCACTTGGCGAAGCTCGGCCGGGAGATGTTGGATTCGGAGATGGCTGGCTACCAGCAGAGCTCTCTGTTGAGGTTTCAACCGCTGAAGAACTTTCAGCTGGGTTTTCGGTGATCCCAAGTGAGTCAATCAATCTCTTTCGACCAGGGGTAATGTTCGCTTTGGTGGCATAGCCCTGATTGATTTCCGGCGAACTTTTTCGCACGGACTCTGCATCTTCGTTCCCCAGACTCTCCTTGTTTGACACTTCCATTTCATGATCGAGAGCAGATACCTTAGTCTGGCTCCGCACAGACCTCCCAGCCTTTGTCGATCTCACAGAGCTTGTCCCATGATCAGCTTCTGGCTTTTTGACCAATGGCCTCCGGACATCCGGGGACCTTGTCCCCATTTGTTGTGACATGTTACGATGTTCATTGTCTGTTTCGCTTGGCTTCATCGATCGCCTGGTCGTAGGAACGGCCTTACTTTCATCAGGGCTATATCGCCTTCGCTTTCTCTGAATCATGGACATCTGCTCATCGTCTGAAGAAGGGAAGTCATACACGTTGGATTCTGTGATAGGTTTTGATTGTGGAAGCGCTCGAGTCCTAGTCGTTTCCACCGATCCAGACGGTTTATCTCCATTCTTGTCGCGTTGCAATCCGGCGTAGAATGGCCGTGAGAGACGCGACGGCCTTGGCACAGGCATTTCTTTGGTTGTTCTAGAGGTAGATAAGCGGACAGGATTTTCGGTAATCGATGGAGGTTGACTTTTGGCAGCGAAGCCATAGGTTACGAGTCGTCGATTCCGAGGGTGTGAATTGTCCATCTTGAATTCACAGGGTCCAGAGGCGCACGCGCACGCGATCAATTAGACCAGAAAATCCAATCTCCAAAGGGCAATGCCGAGCAATTGGATTGAATCGACTAGATTGAAGCCATGCCCTTAGCTTATGCACAAAGGATGTGGCGCAGTCATCAAAGAGGCCAATTACTTAAGAAGAGAGATAAGTGAACGGAAGTCCGATAAGAGGCGGAGGGGGTGAGATGGGGCAGAATCACCCACTGCGGTATAGCTTCCCTTACGATACAGAAGGGAAAAAAAGAGATAAGAGAAAAACCCAGGCCTACATACTTCCCCGCTCTTGGCTTTGAAGGCATTAGGTCTCTTCTTATACCCCTCTCTCTCTCTAGACACTTGGATTTAAAAAGGTACTCCATTCTACTCTCGGTGATCTTTCGCTTCCAACTCTCTAACCTCTCTTCTCTTTTTTTTTCTTTAGTCTTACGACCCACTCTCACACACACATCTTCGGACCCAACAAAATCATGGCTACCAAAGAGACAGGTCCTTCTCCTGCGCAGGGTGTTGGTCCTCTGTATCGTCCCGATGGTGAGAAGCCTACCGCAACTGTCTCAAAGGAAGTCTCCTACGACAATGTCCACGTGCTACCTCAAACACCCCAGTTGATTGCTCTCTTGACGTGAGGACCCATTCTCTGCATTGAAGGTAACCCTAAACTCATATTTTGTACCACAAATAGGATGATCAGAGACAAGAGAACAAGCCGTGCCGATTTCATCTTCTATTCTAACCGCATTATTCGGTTGTTGGTGGAGGAAGGCTTGAACCACCTCCCCGTTGTGGAGCAGTCCATTACTACCCCCGTTGGACGGTCCTACCTGGGTGTCAAGTTTGAAGGAAAGATCTGTGGTGTGTCTATTATGCGTGCCGGTGAAGCCATGGAGCAAGGATTGCGCGACTGCTGCCGATCCGTTCGCATTGGAAAAATTCTCATCCAGCGCGACGAGGAGACTTGCATGCCCAAACTGTTTTACGATAAACTCCCTACTGACATTGCTAATCGCTGGGTCCTTCTTCTTGACCCTATGTTTGCAACCGGTGAGTTGAGATTGTTCCGCAATGCCTCTTGCCACTCAGCTGATCTTCTTTCATTAGGTGGTTCTGCAACTCTGGCTGTCGAGACACTGATTGAGAGAGGTGTTCCTGAGGAACGCATCCTTTTCCTCAACCTCATTGCTAGCCCGTCTGGTGTTGCTGAGTTTGCGGAGAGATTCCCTAAGCTCCGGGTCGTGACCTCTTTCATTGATCAAGGATTGGACGAGAAGAAGTGAGAATATTGCACCCCTTAAATGTTGTGAATGCCATATGCTGACTGATTGATAGGTATATTATCCCTGGCCTGGGAGATTTCGGCGACAGATATTACTCTATGTAAAATGGCTGTTTCCTACCATGTCGAAAGGAACATCGGTGGTTAAATGATCACCTGGAAATTCTGAGAAACTCAGTATTCCCATTATCCATCCATTGCTCGGTCTGTTTCAGATGCCACAAGGCACTTCCACGTCGCCATACAAGTCACCTATTCAGAGTTGACGTGATGGCCGGTAGTGGGAGTAGAGGTCTAGATGGTTGGTCTAGATAAGTGAGACACTTCTTGGGGTTTGGGATATATGATAAGCATATGCAACAAGAATATGCAGCAAGAATGTCAAATACCATGTACATACAAGAATCTCACTCAATTATTGTTGATATGTCTTAATGCGCCGTTCGCCGTCATCCCATCAGTAGTCATCATCATAGCCATCGCCCTGCCCCGTCTCTTCTGGAATACCCTGCCTGCTGATCCCTCTTTGTCCCAACTGGCTCGGGTTCGGCGCGTCATACTGGTTGGCAGTATCCTTCGCAACTGCATCACATGCATCTACCCAATCCGAATATACATCCACGGGAGCAGAGAGATCTTTGAAAAGAATTTGTGTTAGTTGGAAGAGTTGGGACTGATGATATGAGATAATTATCAACTCACAATTGATACCAGTTTGGAACTTTTGGCCACAAACTTTGCACGATAGATCGCCTAGGCCAAGCTTCTTGTCTAACTTGACGATCACAGAGTTCTCATGGTTGCAAAAGAGGCAAGAGAAGGTGGTAGCAAGAGGTTCCCGCTATTTGGTATGGTCAGTGCCCCGGTACTAAGCTTGGCGACTTCTGATTCACTTACCTTTTTGGGCCCTTGGGGCTTTGAGCTTGACTTCTTGCGCTTGCCCTGTAGAAATCAACATCTATCCACGGTCGGGATGATCGGGACAGTCAGGTAAGGGGGTTTGGATGGCACATACCATGTTTTTATTAACCTGCGACACAGGATTTGAAATATAAGAAGGGATGAGAAGAAAGGTGAAGCAATAAGTGTCAACTCGCGCAGTGAGCAGGAGTAGGCCCGCGGTATGAATGCCAAGGCTACTTGCCTAATTTAGAATCGGAACAATAAGCCCCCATATTCCGATATGTGATGTCAGTTGGTGGCGACTCCCACTACGATCTACATTGTACAATACACACTACACTATGATATTGTATGAAAGTCTATATTGTGTGATTTGAGATATTGGAGGGATTTCACTATTGACTGAGGAAAGAGGATCTATTTTGGCAAATGCTTTACCAATGCGACACATACAGGTATAGTTGTAGATGAAATTCACAAGGAACATTTTAGCGCCAATAGTCCAAGGCCTATTGTAACGACGAAGGATCTACGACATCCAATGGATTTAATACCCCATGTAATCTGACAGACGCAGTCGGGACTGTATGATGACATAATGACAGTCATGTGCCCAAGTGGACCTTTTTTTTTAATGTTCGATCACATGATCGTAGTGTATGACATAATCAGCTAGGGCCCGCGCACTCGCTTAGCCGAGTTTTCTGTGGGTTTTCAACCCTCCCAGTCGAGTGTCGAAACCCTCTGAGCGCGCGGTGCGATACCTTTGTCTGTCTTCCAACAACACACAGATACGACTCGCAATCATGGCTGTTGGAAAGTAAGCGCCCTATTCTTCATCCTTTTCCTACTTTCCATTTATCGAATTACTTGCGCATCTACGGCATCCATTGAATTCACGAACGGACGGCTAATCCTCATCGTTCAGGAACAAGCGTTTATCTAAGGGTAAGAAGGGTATCAAGAAGCGCACAGTCGACCCCTTCACTCGCAAGGACGAGTACTCCGTGAAGGTGTGTTGTATTCCTCTCACTAATCCCTTGTGCACCATGCTAATCGTTCTCCATAGGCTCCTTCCACCTTCCAGACCCGCGAGTATGCAACACCACCCGAATCGAACATGGCGAATTCTTTTGAGTTGGATTGACTAACGGAATTATCAGTGTCGGCAAGACTCTGGTCAACCGCACCAGCGGTTTGAAGAACGCCAACGACTCCCTCAAGGGCCGTATCTTCGAGGTCTCCCTCGCCGACCTCCAGAACGATGAGGACCACGCCTTCCGCAAGGTCAAGCTCCGCGTCGACGAGATCCAGGGCAAGAACTGCCTGACCAACTTCCACGGTCTCGACTTCACCACCGACAAGCTCCGTTCTCTTGTCCGCAAGTGGCAGAGTCTGATTGAGGCCAACATCACCGTGAAGACCACTGACGACTACCTCCTCCGCCTGTTCGCCATTGCCTTCACCAAGAGACGCCCCAACCAGATCAAGAAGACCACCTACGCCGCTTCCTCCCAGATCCGTGCCATTCGCAAGAAGATGGTCGAGATCATCCAGCGCGAGGCTTCTACTTGCACTCTGTCTCAGCTCACCCACAAGCTCATCCCCGAGGTTATTGGACGTGAGATCGAGAAGTCCACCCAGGGCATCTACCCCCTGCAGAATGTTCGTTTGATCCCCCGATATTGGAGACGGGTACATATGGGTTACTAACACAGATCTCTTCTACAGGTCCACATTCGCAAGGTTAAGCTCCTGAAGTCCCCCAAGTTCGATCTCGGTGCTCTCCTTGCTCTGCACGGCGAGTCCGCGACTGACGACAAGGGCCAGAAGGTTGAGCGTGAGTTCAAGGAGACCGTTCTCGAGAATGTTTAAAGGTTATGTCAATGAAGTGGTGTCACGTACTGGTCAGCCGGGACAAATCATTGTCTTCTGGTCATAGGAAAAGAAAAAAGTTCAAACGTGTATGACAGATTCGAACTGGCGTGGAACTTTTAGCTACGCGTTGCCAGTCTTAGACATGATCCCAAAAATTCGAGGGTAGTAGTTCATTCATGTTCAATAATCTTTCTGCTACCGCGTAGCAAGGTGTATTGTGTAGACCCACCTGGTTGTTCGGGAGTGTAATGCTTGGTGCATCTAAATGACCTTATTTCTTCGTCAGTACTTCACTCGCCCCCATCATACATACTCGTCTAATGTGGTTTTTTTGATTTTTTTTTTTATTTTTTCTTTTTTTTTCAATGAGAGACCGTACTCCAATGTCCTAGGTTGCCAATCTCTGAGAGATGAATGCGCTACGAAATAAAACCCTGCCGTCTATAATTTGGGTGTTCGAGGTCCTAGGCCTAAAGAGAAAGAGATGCACTAAAGTGGATATAATGGATAAAACATTAGAGAGATTCATTGGTAGCCTTGTGACCACAGTGATTGCATGTCAATACGTTTTGATAGGACGACTGTCTCCTTGGTGACTCCGCTCTGTCTCTTCTCTGCCGTGAAATTCCCCGCTAGACTCGAAGGAACTTAGTCCCGGGTGTTATCAAAGTGTTTCCTGGGGAGTTGAAGGCAATCTTGAAATGAATCCAGTCCTTGAGGTATAATGAATAATTGTTGCAGAGTGAAATTGCTTGTATACAGGATCGATTGATGTGTTGTTCCCAGGTTGCGTGCCAAGTATAAGTTCAGCAGATCATGTACTATCTGAGAATACCCCTCAAGCTTCGGTATCCTTTCTGATGTCAAGCCCCTACCTGGCCACGGCTGTTTCCTGAATTTGAAGTACGAAATAGGTGGTTCAAATTCCAAGGTCATGAATACAGGTGGCCTGCATGTTCATGTTGATGAGGACATGCCTGTCCGGTAGGAACTCCTAAACATGTAGCAAGAATGGGAGGAACACTTGAGTTGAGTACAAAGGTTGCTTAAAATTGGAAGTCAAAATCTTTATACAGCATACTTCTGTTCGAACTTGGTCTTCTCGTATAGGCTCGTTAGGGACATTGAGGGAAAAGATCTTCATTGGGTGACAGTTGTCAATGAGTTACATAAGTACCTTTGCAGGACGCCTAAATGAGATGAATATGACACCGGGGGAAGAGAAATGACATAATTCTTAGACATTGAGACTAGAGTTGTCATTTTATAATGCTGGTGGAGCTCTACATATTCTATACATAATAAAGCATTGGGTTGCAGAACAATATATAATCGGTAGATCTCAGCGGATGGAATTATCGTACATATGGAAAATACAGACGCAAGTAGGTTGCAGCAGGCCAAGTCACTGTTTATCATATGTATTAATCAACTGTCTTATACTGTTTGCCAAGTTGACATGCTAGTTACCCTCCAAGTATGAAGTATATAGCAATGGTTCCATATTTCGGGGCAATTTCTCGACTCTTGACAATTGGCAAGGGGAACAAGAGGTAGATGTCTTCCTCCAATACTAATGTATCTCGCCTACGTCTTCATACATGTCTATATACGTGATGTAGGTCTTCCGTAAGAGGAAATAAGGTTGTCCCCGCATTCCCTTCGGGGTATGAGGTCACGGGTCCTACGCCCCCCTCTTGATTGCATGTCATTCACTTTCCCCTGTCTTTTCTGCTTTTCCTCTTTTCCATATCTTGAGCAATTCATCAACTCTGACAGCAGACATCTACATTGAAATCAGTAAGTACCTATAAGAAGATATCTTGGCATTGACCCATGTATACTTGCCATCTCTCAATTCACCGGCCATTTTATTGACTCAACAAACCTAACTCCTAGTGACTCGTTCACACAAATCCAACGACCGCGAGCACCAAACCGAAGGCATGACGGGTATCCGTGACAATATACCACGCTACTTTGCAAAGTCGGGCCCAACTGACGCTGACCCTCGCAAGACAAAGAAAGACGGAGGTGGCAAAGGCAATTGGTAAGCAATCCATCCCAGGACCGTCTGTTTTCATCGAGCGAATACTTACACTATCACAGGGGCCGATCGGGGGATGAAATGCAGGACACTGACTACTCCTTTGCCAATGCTAGACGTCGATCCAACAGTAGCACCCAGGGTCTGGCCGATTTCAACACCAAGTTCGAGACTTTTGAACCAGAGCCTGTCTTCGAGGAAGAACTTCTTGAGGACAAGGACATGGGTGCGAATGGTAATGCCGTGACCAAGGTCGAGAGTGCTAGCAGCAGTGATAGCGTGGCTGATCACGAGGGAAGGAAGTATTAGGTAGACTCGGCAATGGCTGTGGAGATGTGATCACTCCAATCCAATATCTGGATGCTAAGTAAGCCGGAGCATGAACAAGGTAACCTCAAGGGCCATGACTCGGTGACCTGGGGAACCAATATCTATTGTATGACAGTATGAGAAAACAACCTGAATCAAAATAATTTTCATATTTCACCGAGACCGAGAGTCTGTGATCAAATACAACGTAGATTTGAGGTTTATTGAAGGCCTTAAACACTACAACATTGAAAGATCTCTTGAGATTTCATACATACAACATATTATGACCCATTGGCCACTGGATAACAGAGGAACAATATCGAAAACGCCATTTCAACCCCAACCCGCCTCAATTGTCGAGGAAATTCAATCGTTTGCTCCAGCACCTTCACCGTCAATCATAGGTCTATTTGGGGGGTGATATGTGGACCTCTGCAGTTTCCCGGAGGTTCTGGAACCAGAAATCAAGTTTTCCGACCTCAATGCACTCGCGCAAAATGTCATTTTCGGTCTTAAGATCGGACGCCACACGAGACTTTTGCTCTGGGCGGAATCGTGAGACAAGAATTTCGGAATCGGAATCAGTCATCAGGGCCTCCGCGGGAGAGAGGGGCGTGTAGAGAGAGTTCAAACCAGCATTTCGGGGTTCTAGACATACCACGTTAGATCGAGAGTCAATGGTGTTTATGTTTGGAACAGACTCACCTGCCAAGCATGCAGTTAGTGATCGGTAGAGTGCTGTGTCGGCAACCGAATTGTGTGCATTGCCGTTGAGCCCCTCGGCAGCTTTGCCCCGAGCTACCCAATCATCTTTGATCAAGCACCGTCGCCAGATCAACCTCTGCAAAGCCGCGAGGTACGATGGGTCTCGCTGGCCATATCGTCCAAAGTCAAGAACCTGCAAGGCAAGATGGAACTCGCTTCGTACAAACTCGCTCTCTCCATCATCTGCGAGCTGAGCAGGACCCATCAGCGTCAAGATATCAATCAGACCATCGGCACCGACAACCTGCCGGTCGATCAAGGTGGAGAGTGCGTCGCTCAATATTTCATGAAGCGAGGGCCGATCTTCAAAGATATGATCTCCGTATTGACCGACCGCTAGTTCGACTTCGGCCTTTCGGTCAATAGCGCCTTGCAGGATAGGTTCGATATGCCCGTAAACAATGTCTTGGATCCCATCGACCTCAACGTAGTCATCAAGGCGTTTCACATCCTCTTGCAGAGTAGGATTCACAACGGGAGAATCCATTCGCTCCTGCGTCGCTAGTTTGCCTAGCTTGGCCAGAGAGATTTCTACCCGGTGGCTCCACAAGTCCTTTTCACCAAGCGCTAGATTTTCCAATGAAGCTGCGGCAGTGTTATAGTCATCTTCGCCGGTGACGTCGTTAATCCAGCTCAGGCGAGCATATGCGGGATTACTTCGAAGGTACCGAGTGATGGCAGTTTGGTATTTTCGCATGGTAAACAGAATTCCTGGATAACCCATCGCGATTTGCCGGGAGAAATATGCATCCGCCCATTGGTCACCAAATTTGTCGAAGTACTTGGCGATCAATTGGTCGGCGTCGATTTCAGTTTGCTTGGAAACATCACTTGGGGGTTCTGTGCGCGGATGTTGGTTTGCTTTTTGGTCTTGAAGCTCGATGATCAACTCGACCAGCGCTCCCATGTCTCCAAAGCTTTCTGCCAACTCGACAGCATCGGCGAGATGGTCGATACCAGCCAGCTTGAAGAGTTGCCATTTGCGATCTTCGACGTGGGTCTGCTCGATCGAGACACTCTCATCCATTAATTTGGGGTCTCCTTGTGCAGAGAGCCAACGAGTTCGTTCGCGATGCATTTGACCAATCACACGAAGGTGTCGGTAGCTGTTTTTCGCAACTTGATTTAATACGTGTGCGTCAGGGGTATCTGCAGCCGATGCGGGTGTTTTCCATGACCGGCAACTATCCAGTTCTAAATCGAGTAGATGCCCTGCTGCAGAGTAGCCAACACCTCTCGATGTCCAGAACTCGGGAAGATCTTCATATCCATCGGAAAGCACACCGTCCTCCAGGAAGTCTTCACGAAGGCCATAAAGTATAGCGTGCTCATCGCGATATCGGAAAGCAGTCTCTGTGACTGCCAGAAACAGCTCACTGGCCGCCAGGATCTTCTCTGACAATGCACGCGCAGGGTGGGAAGTATTGCCCCGGCCTGTCTTGATTGCGTTCTTGATCCATGGGATGATATGCTCCACGCGGTAAGAATCTCTCAAAAACCATTGTCGCACCGGATCTGTCTCTCCATGTTGGGGGTTGATTGGAGTCTTGAATTTATCGTGCATGGATCCTATGACATGACTGAGGAAAGGCTCCTCGTCACCATTTTTGATCTTGCAGGCCTCTTGAATCTTCCACATGGCTCTTTGTGCCGCAATTTTTTCCGCAGCCCACAGCAACTCCCACTTTGCCGGTCGACTCAAAGGATTACCTTGGCGTGACAGCAATGAGGCAAGGTCATCCAGTGCCTTTGCCCTCAACCGAAGATTTTGCTCTAGTGAAATAGCGGTTGTGGGAATGAAGCGAGTGTTGGATTGGAGTAGCTCCCTGCAGATTTCCAAAGAAGCTTGCTCCATTTCCGATGGAGGAAAATTCAAGTCGCCTTCGCTGGATAGATTCAACGGATTTTTTGCCATGGCGCCAAAGAAAACCGCTTGCTCAAGCTTGTGCTTCGCTGTGACTTGAGGTTCCTCGACATCTTGTTCTGTTCCAGGACGAGGAAGAGTCGTCACGCGAATAACACCGAAATTCCGAAGCATGAGCACACATGCTGCGCCAGGTGTATCGTTCGACTGGTCCTCTGAGACAGACCCCAATATTTCGTGGCCTGTGCCAGAGCGCAAGTGGATGATGTCTTGGAAAGGTAGAGGCAACTTGTTGGAATCGAGAAGCAGTTGTGAGGATGGACTCTCTTCGACACTTGTCAACGACAAGATTACAAGAGATTGACCAATGAGAATGAATGCGGTCTCTTCTGGCTTCGGCACAAATATCTTGGGTTTTGAGGTTTCGAGCAGGGAGGCAGAAATATGGCGAAGATCCACGGCATGTGTTGACATAACACGAGATTCGTTTCCTGACAAGTGCACTTGAACCACGAATAGCTCCCTAGTTTCTAACCATTGAGGAGACCTAACAACCAGAAAGAGGCGCCAGGATCCATCGGAAAGTTGAACAGCGTCGTTGAAAGACTGCAGAGTAGAGAACGCAAAATCCACGACTTTGAGCTCTGGGTCATTTGCCGAATTCGTATGGTTTTCGGGGAGGGCCGCCAGAATTTCGTCCTTAAGATCGTATCGTTTTTTTAGCGTATTCCCGTGGTTCCAATGCGTGTCCCATATTTCAACTAGTCCGGTCGAAGTAGCAATAATGACATCTCGTTGCCCGCGTTGGTGGGAGCCACCGGCTCGAACGGCAGTGACCTCTTTTCTCCAGGACCCGCCTGCAAATACATTCTTGATGCCCCCGAAAATTCCACCGCCTCCACTCCCTGCATTGCTTCTGAGGAAATTCACGAGCACTGAAGGCTTTCCCTGGGGGTCCCTCAAAGTGATGTGTGCTACTCGCCCGGACGAGAATATAGCAATAATTCCCGAAGGCTCCGCATTGAGTATTTCCGTGGCATACTCGCCGGAAAGCATGCCAGGAGTGGATCCTTGGATGCCATTCTGCTTTTGTCTGGATAAGCCCAACGACGCGGCACTGGACACAGTTTCCCAATAAATGACTTTCCCTGTGGAAGGAATGATCACTAAGAGCCCGGGGTGGTCTCCTGTAGCCGGGGATAACAGAACTCCGAGTGGAACGGCGCCTTGGGGGTCTCGGCAAGACTCCGGAATTGACACGGTGAACGTCTCCGACGGAGATGGGGAGGAAGCTGGTGTAGAGTAAGGCCAAACGATAGCATGCGAGCGAGTCAAAGCTAGTGCGTGAGCATGACCAGATCCGAAAAAGCACTTGAGTGGTTCTGCTTTTAAAGGGTAAGTGTCAACAAACCGCAACTCAAGGTGAGAAAACGCTATGGAATCCAAGATACCTGATTGTAAGCCACGGATTTGATCTGGCAAAGACGGAAGTTGCTCAACGGTATAAAAATCGGTGCTTGACTTTGAAATCAGAAAGTTAGCACTTTGGACTTCGTGATTTAAAGGAACGCGCAAAGATAAGAGCAACCCACCAGAACTATTGTCCCCTCATTATTGTTTCCAGGCACATCGCCTTGTTTCACAACACGGGTTGATAGATGCGATTCGGTGTTGATCTGATCCGCAGGGGTAGTGTCACCATTTGGCGCAGTGGGGGTTGGTAATTTTGCGAGCTCACGCCCAAGGTTGGTATCGGAAGGGGATTCGTCTGGGCGTCGCAGGACGGAGCGCTGTCTCTTGGCCTTTGGTGGGTTGACAGAGTCATCTGAGCTTGTTCGCTGGCGTCGACGAGTATTGCGACCACCAGCTTTAGGGACGAACATTTTCAATATGTATGCAACCTGTAGTCGCGCACACGCTAGCCGGCGAAAGCTTCAAAATTGTTGACCCTTGGGGGTCCGATGTACCCTTCAAGATTGGTACAACGTCGGGGAGGATAGAAAAATGAAGATAATGGGAGAAGAAAGCTCTCCCAAGAAGATGGATTTGAATTGGAGCACGGTGATAGCAGCCGATAGGGTTGGTCAATAACAATCGAGGATGTTTGTCCGAAGGCGGTGAGACAATGCCCTGTTGTACAGGTCGTTACAATGCTTGTATAAGTTACGTGTACTCATTGTACGTTAGGTTTTATGTTATATATTTTTCATGTACGTGTGTGCTTCATAGAGGGTACCCAGGATCCAAATCTATCCTATAATCATATTTCAAATGATGTTCTATATGAGTTGAGCCTAATCTGCTTATTGAAATATGTGCTCTGTATACTTAGGCAATCGTCGGGTATTGAACAAATACCAATAGCATACAATAGTACACCAATCTCAATTAGGTATTTAGCTATACTATATGAGGTGCAAGTCCGTAGGCAAGCATATGCGTATTGATTGTTCTGGAATATGAACAGAATCGATATATAAGACCTATTCAAGCTACATTGTAGATCTATAGTTGAGTCTAGGTGTACAGTTGATGGTTATAGGTGGAAATCTTTGCATAGCCGATTACCCCGAAAAAAGAGCTCACGTGAATTCCACATCTAACCCCACGCGGAGTTCACTGCTCCCTTTTATAACATCAGCATGGACTGAAGAACAACACCCACTCGCTCTATGGGATAGCGTATCTCACCCTCGCGACTAAGACTTAGCCACAATGCTCATATGTTGTGTTGATAAAGTCAAGATCAAGGCCCCCAAGGGTTGCTTAGGGCTGCAACTATAGAGATGATGCTCCCACACTTGTCGCACCCCAGATGTCGCCTCCGACTAAGATCCATTGTGCATGTCGCATCAAAAGTTTCAGCTACACCTTCGAGATCAACAAACATTAATGCCCTACCCTTAAGACGAGACCTGCACACTGCCCTCTTTTTCCCGGGTTCGTGCCGACCCCAATCCTGATTTACCTCCGAGGCTCAAAAGACCGCTAATACACAACAGGGCATGGAGTCCAAAGGGTTGGCATGGCCAACGCCTGGATAGAAAGTTTCCCTCATACCGCGGCTAAGGTTTTGGACGAGATGGATAGCACCCTCGGCTTCAAACTATCCAGTATCATATCCGATGGCCCCAACTCGAAGCTCAACAAGACAGAAAATTCGCAGCCTGCAGTTATGGCAATATCAGTTCTGATACTTCGTGTTCTGGAGCAGGAGTTCGGATTTGACACTAAATCTCGGGTCGATGTTACGCTTGGACATAGCCTCGGGGAATTCTCCGCATTGGTTGCCGGAGGCTATCTTGAATTCGGGGACGCTTTACAATTAGTTCGTGGTCGAGCTGAAATGATGGCCCAGTGTACGCGCCACTTGACCAAACAATCAGGTGAAACATATGGCATGGTTGCACTTCTCTGTGAACCCGAGCACCTGGAGGGTCTGCTTCGAACTGTTCAGGAATTCATTGGCCTCGAATCACCAGGTATTGAAATCGATAGGGACAATCGGGTCCCACCAATTCAACAAGTGGCGGTCGCAAACATCAACTCGAAAAATCAAATCGTGCTAAGCGGTAGTCTTGACCGAATCAAAATCCTTCTGGTTCAAATGCGCCAATTTGGAGGTCACGACCCACGGGCTGTCAGACTTAAAAGTGACAGCCCGTTTCATAGCCCTGCTATGGCGCTAGCTGCGGATTATATGAGAGATGCTGTCGAAAAAATCAACATCACATTCCCGGCATCAATTCCATGCATATCAAATGTTTCCGCCTTGCCCTTCCAGTCCAAGGAAGATATCAAAGATCTACTTTCAAGACAGTGCACTGATACAGTGAGATGGTGGGATAGCATCCGCTACCTTCATCAGGAGCGAGGTGTGAGGCGTTGGATCGGAATTGGACCAGGAAAGGTCGGCAGGAATCTGGTTGGCAAAGAGGTTGGGAGAGTTGACACCAAAGGTGGCGGCGTATGGGCTGTTTGCGACCCTCGTGAAATGTCAGAGATCATGGTTGCCCTGGAGCAGACTGAGGTCGAAACTGAGGATCCCAACCCGAACTAGCATGATGACCATTCAATCATATTTTTAATGTCTGTTGTTTTAAAATCAAAATTGTCATGATTTTTACACCATACAAGCTGGAAGCCCATAGTTTTATTGGCTAAAGAAATATAGCTATTGTCCGAGCAGTCTGGTGCGAATGTGCTGTCCAATACGAATATAAGTTAGGGAAACTGGTCGACTTAGGTTTTATCTGTATCCTCAATGCTGTCATTGGCACTCTCCTTACAGAGAAATACCTGGAGCCCACAAATCCCCAATACGTTTAACATCCGCAAGGAACTTTAGGTTAGAGATTGGCTGGCAAGCTGACAAAGAAGAAGCCGTGTTCCCAGGAATCGGTACGTGGTCATCAGGGGAATAGAATGGATTCTGCAAAAGCTGAATATACGCACTCTGTAAAGCGCGGAATGCCTGTATTCAGTGGTTAGATTAGAGGCTTTTCAAGAGATGAACCATTCGCCGAGCGTAGAGGAAGAACATACCGGCTTAACGTCGGAATCTCTCAGACCATTGATCGCAGCACCTGCTTGCTTTCCAGCACTGGCCTCTTCTTGGCCGAATAAATCCACAATGATCAATAGTTTTACTCCCGTGGTTGTCAACCATCCATAAGCTGCAAGCCGTTCGTCAATTGCATGTAACAAGCCTAGGTCTTGATCAATGGATGTTTGTTTGCAGCGGATGTCGAAGATGTCGAGGCAGGAGTTCAGTAGGAAGGAGAATTCGATAGTTGAATCTGAATACGGGGGAAATAGGGAGATGTGAAGAGGATTATCCTGCAATGGAGTTAGTATGAGCAATTTCGGAACGACAAGCTGACATAGTGATACATACTGCCTTCCCAATCACGCCAATGCAGGCAATTTTGGGACCCGACATCACTGAGATAGCTCTTGAAGCAACGATTTATCCGAAATGGGCGCAATCACTTGAGCTCTTGTAGTCTAGGGACTGATTCCCTTGTCTCGACACTGTGATCGGGTGAAATATCTAATCTGGGTAGGTATTATCGCTCCATATCACTTGCACAGTGCTCTAAGATCGAGCAGCCCTTTCAAAGGACGGGGTTGCAATCAAGTGTAAACAGTAGTGGAGTGGTCGTCTCCAATCCCCCGCGGCCTAACGTATGGAGGAGACGCGTTCAGGCATCCAGGCAGCAAAAGGCGCTTAGAGCCAATGACCACACAGGCAATTGGATTTACGAGCATCTCACCGCTTTTACCATACCACGTTCTGTGACCGAGAAATACAGCCACTGAGCCAATAAACTGTGAGGCAATAGCTTACATCATCTCTCTCAAACCGTCCGTGTACATCATCTTCTTCCACTTTGGAATCGGAACCTTTTTGGGGTTCTCCTTGTCTTGCAGTTACCCGGAGCCCGCCACCTCTGACCTCTTGTGATTCCTTATTACCTGTCGCCACCGGCCGCGGTAATTACTTTGTCTCTTACACCTCCGGGATCACGACCTATTATTCTAGTTATTCCTCCTCCACCGGAGAGACTTTTCTCAAGATGCTTCCGATGGCGAGGCCCGCCATCTCTGGCGCCCTGTCCGGTAGGGATCTTCTTCACCTCGATGGTAATATCAATTCACTAATAGAAAACAGCTGCGCGACCCCGTTTCGTTGCTGCTCTTCCCCGTGCCCAACCCTTGGCGGCCCTCTCGACTTCGTCAATCAAATCAGCGACAGCAGTCGAGCGTCAACCTTCAGCGGGCGCCCAGCAATTGACCGCGTCAGGCAAGGTTCGCCGCGAGGTGCCTCTGCCCAGTCAGGAGAAGAAGGAGGGTGCTATGCAATATGCCTTGTTCGTTCGCCCTCTATGACTTTCATCTTGCATGCGCCTTGAACTTCCGCTGACCTTATATTTCCCAGGACCACCCTTGATCAGGTTGCCAATTGGGCTCGTCAAAGCTCTTTGTGGCCCATGACCTTCGGTCTTGCATGCTGCGCCGTAGAGATGATGCATCTTTCCACTCCCCGTTACGATCAGGATCGTCTTGGAATCATTTTCCGTGCTTCTCCGCGTCAGTCCGATGTTATGATTGTGGCCGGTACATTGACGAACAAGATGGCCCCTGCTCTCCGCCAGGTTTATGATCAAATGCCCGACCCCCGGTGGGTTATCAGTATGGGCAGTTGTGCCAACGGTGGTGGCTACTACCACTACAGTTACTCAGTCGTTCGCGGCTGTGATCGGGTTGTGCCGGTTGATATCTACGTGCCTGGATGTAAGCATTTCCTCTCCCCTCACGCTTGTGCTGTTGCAATTGATTAACAAAACCAAAGGCCCACCCACTTCCGAGGCATTGATGTACGGTATCTTCCAGCTGCAGAAGAAGATGAGACACACCAGAATCACACGCATGTGGTACCGCCGTTAATCTATAAAACCAATGATATGGTGGACTGTTTTGTTTTTTGCCTCTTCGGTCACAGTGCATGGTAAACTTAAGTGATTCAACCTGACCGCCGTGGAGTTTTGTGTCTTTTTTTACTTTGTATATCAATATCAAGCTTCAAGGTCTGATATTTTGTTTTTACTCTCACTTTGATTGGTCTGTTCCTTTTTTTTTGCCTGTCAGAATATCCATTCAAAAGAATTGAGATAAATGTCTCATATACTGGTTTCAATAAACCTACACATGTCCCTCTGTATCCTACCTGCCAAGAAGACCTCAGGTTTGCGATACGATGATCCAACAAGACATCTCACGACATTGGATGTTTCTGGTATATGCTGTAAGATCCAATGTTACAAATGAAACAATTGGTTTGCACATTCAGAGATGTTTTACGGCCTATATCTAAGTACTAAGATGGGAAGAAGAATCTATCAAAAAAGACACCTCAACCTTGAAGAAGACTTACTAAAGCTACATAAGCGGCCAGCTGTTTTTGTAATAGTTGGTTTGATAAATCAAATTACTTCCGAATCCGAATGTAATTTCAAGTATCCTTCGTCTTATACTTCTTGTACCTTGTCGCATGACACACCAACAAGTACTTAGCGAAGAAATCTTCGGCAAAGTCATCAAACGGCTCATACTCAGCACCAAGCTGATAAGCTGCTGCAATTCCGGAGATACATGCAATCTCGTGCATATTCTGGGCAGAATGTGAGCCTCGTTGATTATAACGGGAACGAACAACTCACCACCATCGTCCAACTCCCAGCGTACAATGTTCGGTTGGTACCGTTAATGAACATCATTCCTGGAACAACTCGAAGATAGTGTTGCCACCTATGACCGAACTGGTGCCACCATTTGCGACTAGAAATTGTCAAAACATGTCATGTGTAGTGATTTGGGAAGAGCCAGTTGAACATACGATATAACTTTCGATGGATCAATGTCGTTCCATGTCCAGAGATCCTTTTCTTGGTCATTCTGATAAAAGGAGCATCAGTCAAAGCCCTTTAGGTTTTTGCAGGAGTATTAACATACCAAGAAGATTGTCTGAAAGACATGCTGGTCTTGCGGTAGTGGCGCTTTGTTCTCGCCTAGGTTTTCACGAAATTGGTGTTGGTAATGGCTACAGTTAAACCCCATTTCAATCTTGCCCGGGTCAGATGCGTAGGAGCGTGTGAAGTACATTGGGCGGAACCCTAGCCAGCCATCCTTCTGGCTCACAGGCTGCTGCTCGGCAAACGCTATTTGCTCTTTTCGTGTTTCAGAAGATGGCTCTGCCGATAGCTCTGGGTCATATTGCATCTCAAAGATTTTTTGGAAATATGCTGAGTCCGAGTGAGTTATGGTGATGTCGTTATAGAACTTGACGCCACCCAAAACATATTTCTCACGCCATGTAGCGTGGTGATCCAGTAATCTCTTTGCTTCATCTGCAGGGCAACACATGACCAAGTCATCGAACTTCTCAATCGATGGATTCCCTTTTGCTTGGCCATCATCGTACTCTTGCAGTTGGAGCACAACTCCTTGCTTTCCGCGCTCGAGGATGCTTGAGCGACAATTGAGCCGAATATCAACTCCCTTCTTGCGCAGATCTGATGTCCAGTCACGATAAAAGTTGCTTAGATTTGGGAATGTATACATAGTAGGAAGATTGGGCAAGAGTGTATCCGGATCATACTCCCAGAGCTTCATCTGGGGGTCGTTGAAGAGTCGTTCTAGCAGAACACTCGACACATTGGGGGTTTGGTTCCCCGTGCCCAAGAACAAAGCTAGAAGAGGCAAGACCATCTTGTTGCTGAAGTCACTGCTAAAGCGAAATAGTCGTAAGATTATCTTGACTGGCATGATACCCAGAACAGGCATCAAGTATTTGATGCAAGAAAGGACTCGCGAAAGCTTCTTGATCTCTGATGAATGTTCGTCGACTAGGTGACTGGGAAAGACATTGGTCCAAAAGTCTTTTCCCTTTCCGAAGGCCACTTGAAGCTTCACCGGCTGAGGCTCGTAGCCATATCGACGAAAGAATTGAAACGTATGCCGGAAAATCTGTGACCCCCTTGAACGCCATCATTCAACCAACTGGCACCATGTGTTGACTCATCTATATCAATAGAAGTCGCTTGACCACCAGTGTAGCTCTCTGTGTCGATAAGAGTGACTGCAAATTCCGGATGTTTAGCTAGAGTAGAAGCGCATGACATTCCGGCAGCACCCGCGCCTATAATGGCGACTCTCTTCTTTGGGGCCATGTTTGAGGTGCTTGATTCGATGTCAAGAGGATAATTCCAAGGACATGGTCACAGATTCACCCCTTGGAATGATCACTACAGTGATGTCAGATATAGATATGTCTGATCAACGATGGGCCAATCATAGGGGAGGATTTCCCGATCGGAAGCCCTAGGGAGAAGCCAATTCCAGAGTTTCATATAATATACAACATATTTTGTAGACTAAGTTGATCAATCTCTAGTTGTGTCTTTTGTGTGTTCATCCATAGGGCTTGTTCGGCAATAGTGCCCACAAAAGCTTACCAGACGCAGCTCATCAATTCCACGGTAGTTGCATGGATCGTGTTATTGTTAGTTTCTTTCCATCTGTTTCCACTGAGCTGCTCATAATTTATGATCATTCGTACTCATAGCAAGTTCCAAAAGTACAGACACTGGTATGCTATAACCTGAATGCAATAAAGAATATAGGTATGACATTATACTGCGAAGCCACCAGTGTTTGAATATATCGGCTCCTCGGCCGTATCAAAAGTTTCATTCTATGAAACCCTGTGGAGTTGTGACAATAATACCCAAAGAGTATATGGTTCGGCACTAGCTGATCATACGGACGGGGACGAGCAAGGACCTCCGCCGCAGAAAGCCCTTCGTCAACCGTCTGCATAATTCTGGATAGTAGTTGCGGTAATCCGGCTTTCTCACGCTTCGTCACTGCGAAAAAGTAGCCTTAAATTAGGACTGGTCATAATGGTGCGTGTGATAGATGACGATGGCTGCTTTCTAGGTCGAATGTGGTTGGAGGGTGAGGGACATTACCAAAGGAGTCAGAAAAGCCGGTAATGGAGAAGTCTGAGATACGAGTATCAGCAGTATCAGCCCGATATAGAGTAGAGAGAACTATTCAGAGGCCTGTTATCCGTCTAGTTGTTCATTATGGTTCCCGTTTCTGGAACCGTCAACTGGCTTCCACAGAGTAAATTAATCGTAGCGGGTGGTGAGGGAGATAGTCAACCCTCGATGATCAGCTGGAGCCATGTGGGATGGTCAAGTTCTGTGGAAATCCGAGATCTTCCCACGCATTATATCTACGGTGAACTGCTTCAGCATTTTTTGGAAGGTATTGATGTGGCTCTTTGATAACAAAAGAATGATAGCTAGACATATATTGTGATTAAACAACCTGATCCACTCGACCACGCTGCTTTGCAATCCTCATTTTTCACATATCCTCCCACATGAAACTGACAGCTCTATACAAACTTACACTGTCATCCAAAAATTATATCCTTTTCGCGCACATTAGCCTTGCGGCTTTCATCCTTATTACTCATACGAAGGGTTGACATTCAATCCGTTCATTTTTATGGCATGAGACAATATAAACCCAATTCAACTGAACTTCGTCTAATTCTTGATAAGATAGCTCTCGGGACCAGTCATTGGCCCGAGTTGTTTTGTATATATGGAAGATCGGCGTGGTATACAAGCCAAAACTCGGTGATATCTTGAAAATCTCTAACTACTTCAGGAAGGTTACATCGACAAGGAACCTTCAAGCCTGGCTAGAAAAAGAAGTCAGCTAAGATTTGTACCCCTGAGCGACTTGATAGGAGAAATCCCATTAAAAGCTTATTGCTTGAGGCAGGAACTTAGAAAGCTTAAATTCAAGACTAATTACCCTAAACGAGAATTTTTGAGATGACCAGGTACAGCCCAAAGCTATAGAATATGTACTTCACATTGTTTGTCGTTTTTGCGGGCATATTTATAAATCTCCGAGAGAAGACGGAACAAGAACGAGATCTCTATATTGGTCTACATGCTCAGGCTCATGTTTCATCTTCGGTGAGAGTATTTACAAGCTAAATAAATATTAATAATAGCAAACTGGAGCCCAAGTCTGCTAGTGTCTCTGCGATAAGCTTAAGTAAAAAGGTTTTCTCAGGTATTTGATAATAGATATCACCAAGCGGACCAAGATAAGTCAAAACAAAAGTCTTGGCTAAGTATGCGCAAGGTGGATTTGCAAATCTGAATTCTCTGTGCGATTTATAGTAAAGAGTACCAGGGAAAAGGCTGGCTTAGTGAACTGCATAAAAAGAGACTAGTTGGGCGAGGCAGGGAGTGCCATGGTACGGACAGGTCGTTCTCAAAGCGGATTCGCAGCTTTTTACGGCTAAAAAGACAGTTAACGTTCTAGAAGCATCCTTGTTTGAGCCAAAATTTGTCTCTTGAAAGGCAACCACTGGGTCGAAGACCAAAATTCACTCCGGTGAAAGTTTGGTATGTATGCCAAGCACTCAACACTATATCCGGATGTGCGGGCTTGGCAAGATTATCTGCATAGTTTACGCCTCGTAGGATGCGGAATGCACGGACGGGTAGATCTGAAATTTGTTAGCGTATTCCTGCGAAACGTTAAATCTACAATTTTCCAAAAGAACTGGTGGTTTTGAGGGTTCGTAAAATCCCGAGTCGTCAATTGGAATTCTGAGGCCACACATGACTCGATAACATTTGCCTCCCATTTAAGCGTATTTTTCCCCCCAAAGTTTGGGTCCGCGGAGGGCCCGAGGGTAGCCGTGCCAAGCGCACCGATAGCACTGCCAAGCGTGCCAACACCGCCACCCAGTGTTGGTGTACTTGGCACCCCTAAGTCCCGAGGTCGGGCTTTGAACCTAGAAGCGGCAACAATTAGCGTTTATGAGACGGTATCAATTGCTATAGAGATAAAAGGTTTATCAATTTCTATCATGCATATAAGAAGACTTAATCTCTACGATTGTAGATCCTCTGAGATAATGGCTTTAGTTGTCCAAGGGTCCACCTGGGTGGTTGTATATAGAGTTTTGTACACGGGCTACGGGATGCAGCCCTCCAGGCCGTGGGCGGCCCTCCGTATGGCCGGGAGCCTCGGGACTATATAGGACTTTGTAAGCGGGCCTGATCTCTCAGGGCTTGGGATACGAACACATCAATGTGTTTGAATCTGTGGAGAAACATATTGCGGGGGACAAATGAGAAAGCATAAGACTTACAAGAGATAGACAAGTCAAAAGCTCCGGCCGGCCCCGAAGTGTACCGTGACAGTTTGCCTCCACCATGGGGAAAAACTGTTACGTTAAAACAAAACAATCATGGCCCGGGGGTCGTTGAACGTGGCATACCCCACATGTAGAATCTTAGTCACTAGGCCTCTCCAGGATTTCGGTCTCCACAAGGGGCGAAAGAGAAAGAGAGGGGAGAGAGACTGTGGTAAATTATGGTAAAATTAGACCCCAGGATTCGCTTAAAAAAATGTGCGTTGGGGGATATAATCCGTGGCTTGCCCTCGGAGTCTGATCATTTCTTCTCTCTTTTGTGTTGTACTTCTCTCCGGCTTACATCAAGATGGGTCACCCCGATGAGATCAACACTGTCGAGTCACAGCCTACATACATTGACAACTCGGGAGATTTCAAAGAAGATGGTCAGGATGAGCCCGTTGGCCTCAAGAGAGAGCTCAAGGCTCGCCACATTTCTATGATTGCCATTGGTGGTGCCATTGGTACTGGATTGGTTGTTGGTACTGGCAGCGCTTTGACGTGAGTTTTCTGCTGATCGTTTTGAGAAACACTACTGACTGAGACCTTTTAGAGCCGGAGTATGTTACTGCATTCGCCCTCATCTTTCCTGTCAACTAGAACTAACCATGCCTAGCCTGGATCTTTGCTTATTGCTTACTGCTTCATGGGTTTCGTCGTTTGGACGGTCATGTGTGGACTGGGTGAAATGGCTGCTTGGCTACCATTGTCCTCCGGTTTCACTGGTTACGCTGGCCGTTTCTGTGACCCTGCTCTCGGATTCACCCTCGGATGGTGGTGAGTAAACTCTTCGATCTAATGTGGGGGAAAAAAAACCTAACCATCTCGCAAGCTACTATCTCAAATATATCATTCTACCACCCACGCAACTCACCGCTGCAGCTCTAGTCATTACCTTTTGGCCGAAGACTTCAGCAGAGAATGTCAATCCTGGTGTTTGGATTGCCATCTTTATGGTGGCAATCATCACGATCAACTACTTTGGCGTGAAGATTTTCGGTGAATTGGAGTTTTGGCTCTCGTCTTTCAAGGTGATTGTCATCCTGGGACTCATTTTGTGCTCTTTCATCTTCGCACTAGGCGGCGGTCCCGACCACGACAGAAGAGGTTTCCGCTACTGGAGTGAGCCCGGCGCCTTCGCCACGAAATATGTCGATGGTAGCCTTGGAAAATTCCTTGCCTTTTGGTCGACAATGGTGCAGGCCACCTTTGCATTCCTCGGTATGAACATTCTACGCTTCAAATTTCCCCTTTCACTTTCTAATATTTCTTTTTTTTTTTAAACAGGCACCGAATTGATTGGCGTGACTGTCGGAGAGGCCCAGAACCCCCGGAAGACCATCCCCAAAGCCATCAAGCTCACTTTCTGGCGAATTATCGTCTTCTACATTCTCAGCGTGCTCTTCCTCGGCATGCTGGTCCCATACAATTCCCCAGATCTGGTTTTCGCCACTAAGGCTAAGAGCTCTGCTGCTGCCTCACCTTTTGTGGTGGCAATGAAGCAAGTCGCTGCTCTTCCTCACATCATCAACGGATGTATCCTGGTGTTTGTCTTCTCTGCGGCTAACTCTGATCTGTACATTGCCACTCGAACTCTGTACGGTCTTGCCCGTGAGAAGAAGGCCCCTCAAATCTTCGCTCGCACTAACCGAGCTGGCGTCCCAATTTATGCTCTGGCACTCTCGGCTTCTTTCTGCTTGCTCGCCTTTATGAGTGTCTCCAATGGCTCCAAGGAGGTCTTTGGATATTTTACCGATATGGTCTCAATCTTCGGATGTATGTTTCCTTCTTTCAACTCCCCTAAAAATGACTTGAAGTTTTCCCGTATTCTGACTTGATACCACAGTGTTGACATGGATCTCCCTCTTGATCACTCACATCTTCTTCGTTCGCGCCCGACGTGCACAGGGCGTTGACCAGACAACACTGGCCTATAAAGCTCCACTGGGAATCATCGGTTCCTGCGTTGCGCTCTTTTTCTGCATCTTGGTGGTCTTCACTCGCAGCTTCGGTGTGTTTATTCACAACCCGAAAACCTACGGCAATTTCGACTACAAGACCTTTATCACTTCTTACATCGGTATTCCCCTTTATGTGATTGCATTTGCTGGGTGGAAGATCTGGAACCGGACCGAATTTGTCAAGCCCCACAATGCTGATATCTGGACCGGAAAGGCTGAAATTGACCGCGAAGAGGCCGAGTATGTGGCTCAGCTGCTCATCGACAACCAGAACTTGTCTGGTTGGAAGAAAATCTACGCCAAAGGTCTGGCGTGGCTTTTCTAGTCTTGATAAGAGTTTATGATGGATGGAAAATTCGACGTTTATTGAAATTGTTTAGTTGCGGGACTCATCACGGTCAATTTAAGGTTCCAACTTCCCGGACTTTACCCTACAGGCGTTTTTAGTCTTCTTTGCATGCGTTTGTATATCTAGGACACCAGGATTACTGTACATACTCAATCACGCAATAATGAAGCCATAAGTTACTATATACGAACCTCGGAATCATCGCTAGATCTCTAATTCCCTTATTATTTACCCCCTATGTCTCACCTCTACCTAGCCAGTCTAAGGAAATGTGTCGTAACTTTTGACCATCTGAATCGCCTTGTAGCCCGGGCTGAAATCTCTAACTAGTTACCCTAAATCTTTGAAACTCTTCACTATCCTCAGTAAAGCCCTACTAAATCGTATGTAACCAGAAAGTAGCAAGGGGTATTATACACATAAAAACTGAGAGGGAACCCAGCTCATCTGGCATTTACTTCGTCCTTGGTCATGTGAATACGTTCATACATTCAATATATATGTACACCATCTTCCAATGCTTGATTGACGCCTGAGGTGTCCACGGTTCAGTACCGCTCTGTCTGCACATGTCTTGCTCGTTCGCCTATGTATTATCTCCCTGAATCCCTGGTTCAGGATTTCCTTAGTAGAAGACACAGACTATTGATAGACCTATACATGAAAGTTGACCACGGGAAGAGCCGTCCACGGGGGGTGGAGTGGACCATCAGTATAATTACTAATGCAAGAATTTGTGTGGTGGTGCGGTGACAAGTTAATCCGTGCCCGGCCATCGCACCTCCGGAGTTACCTTGACGGCTCAATCTAAAGGCTTGCTACGGACTCTTGACGGATTTCAAGGATTTCAGGCAGTAAGTCAAATAACTGGGGGGCACAGAGCTGATGCTGGCTCTTACAACCTCATAGACTTCGTGTGTCAATGGGCTGATATTAAATCATAGGTCAGAGTCTTCTCACCATGGCTCGCGGTATCGTCAATGCCGCCAAGTCGGCATCCAATGTCGTCTCTATCAATCAGGTAGGTCATATTGACAGGAATGAGGGGACCAAACTGTATTGCCTGTGCGCTGAGTGCTGATCCTCTTTGCGCTCTAGAAATACACAGTCCAGTCCACCGGCATCTGGGAGCGCATTCGTCGCCTTCTCGCGGTCGACCCCAACCGCTCCACGGGTGTCCCTCTGAACTCTCAATTCCGTATTCCCACCCCGGGCTCTGTGCCCCCTCTTGCCTATGATGACCCCGTTACCATCCCCGCGGGCGATATTGCCGACAACCCCTACTGGAAGCGGGACGTCCGGAGGAGCTACGCTCAGCTGAGCACCGTGGGCCAGGCCGACGCTGTTGCTCTCCTCACAGTCGGAAGCCAGGCGGCTCCTAAGGATGACGTTCTCAAAATTGGACAGGCTGGAGAGCAGCAATTGATCGCTGTCAAGGAGCAGGGCGGAGAACGCGGCCTAGCGGCTCTCTTTGAGCAAGATAAGAAGAGCATTCAGGGTGTGTTGGGTGCCAATGGCTTGCCCCCCAATCCCTGCAACATCAATACTGCCGCGAAGCCTTCACAATCTAAGTACCAGATTGATACAGAGAACGGCTACCCCGAGAAGTATGCATATCCAAATTCCCGTGCTATTGATCCAAACTAATTGTTGTTACACAGATATACCTGCCGCACCTTTGTTTGATTAGACCAGCACATTCTGCAAGGAAATACATTTTCATTTTAGTCTCCATGACCTTCCAGAGGCAATCACAAGCTCAGCAAGTAGTAGCTATAAACGAATACCCGAGGTGCCCACTGGATATTTTTTTTTCACAATCGGCATCAATCAATATCCCTTATGCCCAAATCACCTGCTTATGACCGTTAGGTGGTAGAAAAGACTATCTTGTACTCTGTAATCAGGCTTGAATTCGACCCAGCTTTTTGTCCCTTTTGTCCCCGCAATGGAAATCCCCGGATGGTGCAATCAAGTTTTGGGGCTAGATGCAGGACCGAAATAGAAAGGTGAAATTGAAACTAGCCCCTTTGGTATATATTGCACCGTATGTTTCATATACTGCCAGCCTCCAAGCTTGCTCCTTGATCTACGTCCATGCCCGGATCTGGCATGGATGGTGTCGATGGTACCTTGGCGGTGAACAAATCATACAGCGCGGTATTTTCTAGACGATCGAAGCTAGTTCCAAAAGCGAGGTTCATTTACCTAATGAGAAGAATTCTGGAATGTAAATTAGATGGCGTGTTGATCTATAGTGCGCCTTGATTGCCAACCAGGATTGCCAACCAAGATTATGTATCAACCAAGATTTCCAACCGGGATATTTAAATTAATTCCAGGCTCCAGTGCTTATAGCTCATCTTGTTCACTTATGGAAGATCTTGATTTTCCCCAATACTTCAAAATCTTGACCCATGCGAGTTGACGTCATGGCCCTCCGCATCCAACAGTCTCTCACGAATCATGACGACGTCACCTTCAAACCAAGGTTGCATGAATGCCTCAGTACTTAAAGTACTTGGACTCTTCTGTCCTTTTTTTCTCTCTTTACACTCACTCATAACTTCAAAATGACTACCTTGCATTGTGAGTATCTTCATCCCCGGAGTACCATATGAAAACTAACAACATAGACCTTCCCCCGTCAAGCCCTCCGCCATTGCGCTGGGTACAATTTTCACCCACACTGCCTCCCTAGGTATCTTGGCCCCCGTCTTCGGTGATACCTACCACCGCGCCCAAGCCGCCAACTCCAAGGAGGAATTCATCAAGTCGAAGGAGGCCGCCGGCGCAGCCGCAGCCTGGGGAAGCTCCCTCGCTGGAAGTGCCGTTCAGACCTACGGTGTCGCTGCACTTATCAATGCCACCGGAACACTGAGTTACAAGGGTGCTGCATACTTGGGTACACTTATCTTCTTCGCCAGCTCAGCCCCAGGAGTACGTTTCACAAACCCACTTTCAATGCCCAAGCAAATTTCTAACACAAATATACACAGGTTGTGAGCCAGGTCTTCTCCGAGAAGCGACCCCTTGACACTATCGCTGTTGGTGCTGTCGCGAGAGTGTTCGAGACTGTTGGACTCAGTTTGTTCCTCACATGGTGGGGAACACGCACTCACCCCTTCGACTAAAGGATATGAGATTGTGAGATGAAACACGCAAGATTTTCTAGCCGGCTATGATCGGATATGTTCAAGCTTGCGCTTAAATGGTTAATGGATGTAAATGTACACGAATATGACACCGATGTGTTCCAATTGTCTTTTTACTTCACGTAGCATGTGGTCTTGATCATGTGTGTCCTATCTCTAGGTTTTGTATCAAAGTAACATTAGTGCATGAGAGACCAGTGTCTAATAGTCTCGTCTTCTAGTATATGGTACATAGTTCCATATTTCAAGGTTATCGAGCAATTAGGTAAAATGAACCCACATGGATCGTCCAGTCCCAGACGATAAAAAGTCCCCACGTAAGCTTAGTATTGTATATTGCCATATATAGTAACATATAGTAACATAACATATATTAGAAGTTATTCTCAACTTATAACGCTCTGCCCTACCATAAGAACAGGGTATCGATCTACATTCGCACGGGCCCAAGCTTGTCTTGGCTTGTCTATATAACGTTCAGGGTTATCCAAGGCACTTGATAGATGTCAGATATAGACTTGTACCAAATAATAAGAGAAATCTTTACAATTCTCTCCATTGGATTTTCGACTCTTACATTTGAGCCATCTAATAGACACATCGCCACCCAGCCAATCATGTGATTATTCTGGGTCGAACTTGCGATAAGCTACAGATCCCCCACTAAAAACTTTCTCCGATTAACAATCCACAAACATCAACATTTCACAAATATCCCACAATGATAGATATACCGATGGCAAACCTTCCGGGTCCAGAATTGAGCCCTCCATCCAGTCCAGATGGACTCACAATCAGCGAATCCCTGGCCCCTACGCGCGTACCCAAAGCCGCGATGACCACAGAGGTCTCATTCGATGGACTCCTGAAAGAACCATTGCTATTAAAGGAAGATCTGAAAGATGGATGTGGTGGCCAATTGTGGCCAGCAGGCATGGCACTGGCCAAATACATCCTCAGTCGTCACGCCACCGATCTATCTGATAAAACGATGTGAGTGCTCATTCAGCTGGGCATCTGTTCCTCCTTTCGTCCTAATCCAATATACAATAGCGTGGAACTCGGAGCCGGAGGTGGCCTGGTTGGGCTCGCAATGGCACGCGGGTGTCATTTCCAACAGCCGATTTATATCACCGACCAAGAACCTATGTTTTCCCTAATGAAGTCCAACATTCAATTAAACAATCTCGGCTCGAAAGCGACTGCTGCGATACTAAATTGGGGAGAACCGATCCCAAATCAGATTCCTTCGAAACCAGATGTCATCATCGCTGCGGACTGCGTCTATTTTGAGCCGGCATTCCCTCTCTTGATCACTACGCTCCAGGACCTCCTGGGACCCGACTCGGTCTGTTACTTTTGTTACAAGCGTCGCAGACGTGCCGACATGCGGTTCATGAAGATGGCGAAAAAGGCTTTCGAAATGGAGCCGGTCCTTGATGATCCTGGTGCTGATGCGTATAATAGAGAGAGCATATTCCTCTACACGATACGTGCCAAACGCCTTGATCAGAAAAAATGAACCCAAGATGATGATATGTGCAATGCTAGAAAATAGATTTTATGTAGTAGAAATATGACTCCTGAATAGTACATACTGGCCCTTTAAACTTCACCTATCACAATTTGAGATTGTCTCCTCTGTTTTTGGCGCCCTCACGGACAGAGCCACCGTCGATATTGGTCATACGACCCTCCTTGTCAATGACCTTGACTCCTCCCTTCTTCAGGTCTGAAATCATCTGCTGCTTCTCGGCCGCCTTGCCGGATTTTTGCTCAGTAGACTTGGATGCATCGGCCTTCTTTTGCGTTTGCTTATTCTGGCGTCTGTTCTTGGCCTTCTGCTCACGGGTCATCTCTTCCTTGGAGATAGACGCGCCAGTCTTAAGGATCACCTCTCCCTTAACTCGGCCACTATCACCGGGTGTGTAGATCTCCTGTGGCGCAAGTCCAACAGGACCACCGGCAGCACCGCCAGCCGTTGGGCGGGCCTCTTCCATCATGATAGTTGGCGCATCGGTAACAACATTGATGCTTGCCTGGGCGATCTTGGGCTTGTAGTGCCAGTTGCATAGCGTATCCAATTGAGAGCTGAGCTCGTTCCAAAGACTGGTGATCTCGGCATGTTCGCGCATCAACTTGCGGTCCTTAGTATCCACAAAGTTGGGATCATTAGCGCGAAGATGATCGGTTTCATACATCTCAGCCAGACCTTGTTCCGCCTTGGTATCAGACAGTTCAAAGCGGGGTTTTCTTCCGGCTTGCTGGCCCTCGGCGCCTGGCCGACGGCGGATGACTTCGTCGAACTCCATGGCGAGAATTCGGCGCTTGATCAGTTCTTCGATATCCTCGGTGGTCTCGTTGGTGTTGACGGGAACGGGTTTTCCAATTCGTTCAAACTCAAGGTCCTCTTCAATGAGAGAATTGATAGGTCGCTCGACAGCTCTGGCTTCACCAGTATACATCCATTCTTTCTTGGCCACATTGGCCGCCTCCAGACGACGAATTTCATCTGCGATTCGTGCCCTCTGCTTCTCATGTGTTGAGCGAGTAGCAGTAGGATCTCCAGATTCGTCAAGATCATTGTCCTCTTCTTCGGCGGAGTCTGCATCGACATCATCGAACAAGTCCCGCCGAACGTCGTCCATAGCGCGTTTGACATCGCTCTCATCGACTGCCGGTGCATCAGGTTGGGTTTTCGGGAGGGCGCGATGTTTCTTGTTGGAGGCTTTGCGGGGTGGAGGAGCGAAGAAATCGGCGTATTTGATATCACTGGTGTTAACCCACGCGGCGGTTTCACCGTCGTCCATGTCCGCGACATCTTCATCATCAGAATCGGAGTCGCCGTTGAGATCGGCATTGCCGAAAGTCGGCCCTTCCTCCTCACTATCATCCATGTCTTCGTCTTCCTGTTCTGTTGGGCGTGAATTCTTTGATTGAGTGCTACTGCGGATGGTCGCAGCATTTCCGGCCACCAACGGGTTCGAATGCCAGTCGAGATCCTCCTCGTCACTGTCTTCCTGCTCGGGTCCTCCTGCGGCATCCTGTCTCTCCAAAGCCTCGGACTGCTTGTTGAAGTCGTCAATGGAGAAGAATCCATCGTTCAGTCCAAATTTATCCTCGACATATTCTTCAGGCTCCCCTTCGGCGGATCCAATTGAGGAATTATCATCGTCCATATCTTCAATGTCTTCCATGTCCTCGTCAGATCCCATGTCGACCTCTTGATCAGACCCTTCGTCAAGATCATCTTCAGCGCCTGAGCCTCCGGAAAAGTCTTCAAGCATGCTCTCGTGGCTGTCGCTGTCGCTTTGTGCACCCTCGGGGTCAGACATATCCTCGAGCTGCTCGGAGTCAGCCGACTCCATGTAGCCGCTATGTTGGGTAATCAAAGTGATATCACGCTCAATCTCGTCGCCAGTCGACTCGAGAATCCGTGTTGCTTGCTCCCATATTTGATTCGAGGTGAAACCGTCCACATAGAGGTTCTTCAATTGGAGCTGGGTGACTGAATCCGATTCGAGGGCTGACCTTTTGCGCTTTTTGTTGAGTTGTCGGCGAGTTGTCTGGGCGTCTACGACAGAGCCAGCGAGGGAGTCGAGGATGTGCTTTGCAGAATCAACGACGGTGGTATGTAAATCGTTCGTGGGACGGAGGAACGCCCATGGCGAGGACAAGGCGGACGACAGAGCCATCTGCTCGGAGGGTTTGGCGGTATTACCCGACACAGACTTGGATTTCGACTGCCCTTTCGCCATTGTGATAAGAGCCTGGCAAATTGTTCGAATACCAAGAGTCTCGAGAAGCCGAAAGCGCGATAGAAAAAATTATCGCCGGGCGGACGGTCAAGAGCCAATCACGTTGCTGGTTGATAAGATAAGGATCGCCAGTATCTCTCCAGCGCTCGATGCTAGGTACAACATCAAATTACCTGCTGCACTCTCTATATTGATTTATCATGGCTTCCTTTTGATGGGGTCACTTCATATGGTAATAAATAAGGTTGAGCCTGTGAACTCAAGCCATTGAAAACCACTCAAATATACTGGATCCAAGGATTATACGTGTGTATAGCACTATATCAATGTTTTCCAATTCTCTATCTTTGCCCTCTTCTAACAAACAACGAGAAGAATATATGTGCTATTACCACAGAGACTGCACAGAAGAAAGCACAGTTTGGATCGATGTACCTTCGAACTGCCTGGGTGAAGAACGCCACCAACTAAGGCGGGCAAATGACGCCAAACGTCTGTCACCATACATTGATAATATCGACGGCAAACGTGAAACAGAGGCAGTCTCGATATGGACATCGAAACCAAAGAAAAAGAAGTGCCATCAGGGCATCCAGCACCTCGTCTGATTGGACATACAGGTTGTCCTTAAAATGACCAACTTGTGGCTACAACAATGCAGTATCGGAAAGAGTTGAACGTGATAGATCAAACACCGCCACCAAAAAAAGTCTAGAACAGAGATGCTCTAGGTGGCTCATAACTATAGATTGTCTATTGCCTCAATATAGGCAAAGCTTGGCAGTAATAGAATGTAAGCAGACATCATTGTGACATTGACGGGCCCAGCTTTGGATATTGGTGGCCATATACCTCTTTCCTTACTTATATGGTGGTTTTCTGCATGGGAATTTGCACCATATTTGCGAATTTACACCCAATTCATCTATATACACCACTCTTGTCCATATTCACGCCCTAAACCTATCAAGATGCCTGTTGGACAGTATATCGAGCGAGAGGCCAGTGGGTCTAAATCCCAATTTGCGCCAGGTGAGTAAGTGTTGATGATCAAATATTAGTATCTAACATAAGATACTTCATCATATAGGCCACAAGATTCCTATTCAACACTTGACAAAACCGGGCCTGCAGTCCGATATGGGAGATCCCAAGCCTGTTTCTACTCATATCCCCACCGAAGATTATGGGTATCAGCTTTACAAAGCCGCTGGAAAGCTCGAAGGAAAGAACGCAATCATCACGGGAGGTGATTCTGGAATTGGCCGGGCTATTGCAATCTTGTATGCGATGGAGGGTGCGTCAAGTCTAATTGTTTACTTGCCAGAAGAGGAGTCGGATGCCCAAGTGACAAAGAAGAGAGTCGAAGAATATGGCCAGCAATGCCACACTCTCGCTATCGACATTCGTAAGAAGGAAAATTGCCAAAAGATCGTCAATATGGCCCTGGAAAAGATGGGTAGCATTGACATTCTTGTGAACAACGCGGCGTTCCAAGACATGCTGAGCGATATCAGCGAGCTCGATGAGTGAGTTGCCCTGTATTGTCAATGTGCCTCGGCCAGTCATCCTACTAATGCACCACAAGATCCCAGTGGGAGAAATCATTTGAAACCAACATTCACTCATTCTTTTACCTTGCCAAGTATTCTCTTGTTCACATGAAGCAAGGAGCTACCATCATCAATTGCGCATCTGTCAATCCTTATATTGGCCGAGGTGATCTCCTGGACTACACCTCGACTAAAGGAGCAATCGTTGCATTTACGCGTGCCTTGTCAAATCAGCAGATAAAGAAAGGCATTCGGGTCAATTGTGTCTGCCCGGGTCCAAGTATGCCCTTCATACCTTTATTCCAAGTCAAATGCTAATGAGACAAGTCTGGACGCCCCTGATTCCCGCAACGATGCAAACCGGTCCCATGGAACAGTTCCATGCAGTGCCAATTGGTCGACCGGGTCAGCCTAGCGAGGTTGCAACATGTTTTGTTTTCCTCGCGAGCCAGGACAGCAGCTATATCTCCGGACAGTGTTTGCATCCCAACGGAGGTATGATGGTCAATGGATAGGGGGAAGCTGCAAGTAATCAATTGCTGTTCCAGTATTTCTTAAATCTGTATAGGTTGGAATCCACAGCATTGAAAACAACCTGACGGTCCCCGACACATGTCGCTAATAATCTACGCCAAACACGTACACCGGGACAAATAACCACCGTAGACGGTGCCATGCATGCAATAACTGGTATCTCAGTGTCGCTTGTCGTGGTTGTGCCTATACACTACCACTGAAGTAAAATTACTTTGCTTCATCATCTTCCTCCTTGGTATCTTTCACACTAGGCGCGTTGGCAACAATCTTTTGGACGGCGTCCACAGTCGCATCTGGGCCACCGGCCTCGCGAAGCAAGACCTTACCCTTCTTATCCACAGCAAAGACACCCCGCGTAGTACCCTTGGGGGACTTCTTGAACCCAATAGCGGCAATAAGGGTGGCTTTGGGGTCACACATAAGAGGATAAGGTAGGTTTTGTCGTGTCTTGAACGTAGTATTCGCCTTAGGGGAGTCGCCTGAAAGACCGTAGATGGAAAGACCAGTAGAAGTCAGGTGGGTGTAGTTGTCACGGAACAAGCAAGCTTGCTTGGTACCTAGATGAAGCGGCGTGAGCGGTCTGCTAGAGTAGGATGGTTGCAAAGTATGCAAAGAACACGGCCCAATCCTCTCAAGAGAAGTAGTGAGCAGGATACAGCGACTTACAGCCAGGTGTTGAGGCTTTGGGGTAAGTAAAGAAAACCACGCCCGACTTGCTCTCCTCGAGGAGCTTCTTCAAAGTTGTTTTTTCACCCTCATTGGTTTCAAACTCGCCACCGAATGTTTCTATGTCGATTATATCATCCACCTCAGGGACATTTGGCGCGGGGCTTTTTTCGGTATCATTATTGGTAATATCTGCAACTTGTTGGGGCTTGGGAGCTTGTTTGGTCTTCTTCTCTGTGACGGGGAGTGGGACTGGCGCCTTGCGTTTCCTGAGTTCGACCATCGTGTGGAGAAAAGAAGAATGGTAGAATAGGAGAAAAGATAAAAGACCCGGATAGAGAGATATGTATTGAATTGAGTTAATTGGACGTTCTGGAACATGTCAGCTGCATATCTGCCCGGTGCAGCTGCCCTGTTGATTAGATAAGCAGGAACCGGGAAAACCCGGTGGCGCTGTGGCAAGTGCTGTGGCGCTCCGATCGCGCCCTGGTCCTGACCCGAAGGGAAAAAAAAGGATTTTCCCCTCAGAAAGGTCGATCGTTAAAATCCACTCTTCTCCATTTTCCTCTGACTTACTCATATTTGCCTCCCAACTTCTTCATAGATTTAGACTTAATTCACTTTCTGCCTTATTCTCTCTCTCAACTTGAATCAGTCTTACTTTCACTATCTCTGGTTCTACCAAAGCACTACCAATCTATTCTATTCGTCTTTCGTCCAAATATCACGCTATCCCAACGGCATCGTTGAGGTCAACTGCGACTCGCCACTATGAAGGTCTTTTCGTCTGAATGCACATTCGACTACTCGTGGGACGAAGTATCAACCGCCAACTGGCGCAAGTACTGTCCTTGGAATGATAAGTCTACACACGTCGTGGGCGTAGACACGCTCTCTCGAACCGTTGACCCAAGCACTGGCATCGTGAGTCATCCGACCTCCAAGCAGAACTCTCAAAATATCCTGAGATTATTGTACTGACTTTTGCTTCTAGTTGCGAACTGAGCGTCTAATCACGTGCAACCAGTCTGTACCACAATGGGTTCTCTCGATTCTCGGTGGCACCAATACCTCTCACGTCTATGAAGTATCTTATGTCGACCCGATTGCAAAGAAGGTGACCATGTGCTCCACCAATCTGACATGGTCGAACGTCCTCAGCGTCCGCGAGACCGTTACCTACCGGCAATCCTCCCTTAGCCCAGCTACCACGACCGAATTTAGCCAAGAAGCAAAAATCACTGCGCTCTGCGGTGGATGGCAAAAGATCAAGAACAAGGTTGAAGAGGCAAGCGTGGATCGGTTCCGTGAGAATGCCAAGATCGGCCGTGAAGGATTCGAAACCGTCCTCGAGATGAGCCGCCGCGTCTTCGGCGAACAACGCGAACTTGAAAAGCAAAGCCTCCGATCATGAGCGTTTCATACCATGGACATGCTTCCCGCGATCTCTTCTCAACACGACATCTCTTGTTTTTATACCCTCAGCATTCAACATCAAGCGATTGCATATTCCGGCGTCTGTTTTGCATATTGAGCATGTGGTAGCCAGTGGAGTTCTTAGTCTCACACTGATTTTTTTTCCGATTCTCGACTCTTTCAACCTGCTCATGAATATCACCTTTTGCCTCACGAAGCTGCATGGCCAAGAAAAGTTTTCGATTCAGTTATTTGAAGCGAATTGTCCTTTATGTCCTTTTTGCACTGAGTAGCCCCGATCAAAAAAGCGGCTCAGATGTATCATTAGAAGCATTCGATCTTAGATCTGAAATTCCATTATCGTACAACATCCATGTTGATAAATTCATATCTCATAATAAACCCAATCATATATCCTGTCAAAATTGACCATGAACACCAGACTCAAATATACAGCAGCAAAATCTTGCTACGCTGCTATCCCAATAAGCCGCCAAGCACGACCCGACTGACCCCAGCAAGTTCGTTCTTGACATTATTTCGGCTCGCATCTTCAAACTCACGCACTGCGCCGGCCACCATGATTTTTCGTAATCTGGCATCTGCTTTGGAAAACATCTCGCCCAAGGCCACTGTGCAGAGAGCTGGTGATGCTACAAGGGAGATGAGCCGGCTATAAGTGTCGATCAAGACGTCACACAAGGTTGCGAAGGTTTCGAAGAAGTCCGGCTCAAATGGCAACGATGGCGTGAGAAGATAAGTGTATTCTTCGCCAGGAAGAAGATCCGAAGACTCTGTGAGTGGGAAGGAGGTGACCGAGGCCGCCGCAGAGGAAGCCGACCCGAGATTCCCTGCCGTGCTCTTCAAGTCTGATGGGTCGCTGGATTGCATTGGGAGCCCAATCTCGTTTGCGGAGCTCGCGCGTCGAGTCTTAGTACCTGCATGCGCCGCCCTCTTGAACATTTGGGGTATACGGGCCCTTGCAAGACTTGACGAGGAGCTGCCATCTGGGGGATGCACTTGCTGGAATGTTTCGAATTCTAGTAATAAAGCATTCAGGGCACGCACATACTCTAACGGCGTGGAATTGACATCGAGAATTGTTGGCAGTGACAAGCCTAGAAGCAAATAATTGATTGCGCGGCGAGAAAGTTTCCGAGCTTCAAAGTATGGCAGACGGGCGATGTCAGCCCGGGAAAAATGCACAGTATTAAACCAATATACTCGTCCTTCGTGACTATATGTAGCACCGTATGAATTAGTAGTGTTCAAGCTTGGCTGGATTGCAATTCACTTACGCCTTTCTCAAATAGTCGAGAGTCGCTATCCGTTTCGTTGCCATTTCATGGATGTGTTGATAGATTGCGCCTGCACTTTGGGGGCCGAGAAGACCTCCTCCACTGATAACCGGGGGTGGGATGCCATATGTTCCTTCAAATCCACCACCGGATTTCGCCGTATCCCGCCGCGAGATGCTTGGGCCAAACGTAGAGGGGATCATTGAGGTGCAATTTCGGCGCAAAATAAAATGATGCGAGACGGACGGAAGTGGACACGGGTCGAGAGTCAGATAAAGCAGAGGTGTCAGAAAAGACGAGAGATCAATAGATCGAAATAGATCAGACCGTGTGTGAATATTTTAAGGCGCCACTATGTAGGTATGTTCAAATATGAGACTTCAGGAGATCCGGAGAAAGTTCCCCGCAAGGGTGCGGAAGATTACTGTAACCGTACATTTCCATGTAATTTACCTTGTCGATCACATCCCCTCCCCCTCTACAATCCAGGGTCTTTTTTTTAAAAAACAATCCTGGATTTGCTACTACTGTGAAAATGGACTCAACCCCCTCGAGGAGCAGGTTCCTCTGCCCGGCCAATGGCCTGCTGATCCTCAAGAAGATCTACCAATATCGGAGGACCGAATTTGGGTCGATGGGTGCTTCGACTTTAGCCACCACGGTAGGTTTGCGATTTAGACCTGGTCAATTGCTGTGAACTAATTTAGGAATCGGTCTACAGGTCATGCCGGTGCTATGCTTCAAGCCCGTCAGCTCGGAAAGGCGCTTTACGTGGGAATACACTCCGATCAAGCTATCCTCGAGAACAAGGGTCCGACAGTGATGTCACTGGAAGAACGGTTGGTTTATTCGCATATTGGTCCAGCTTTTAGGCTTCAATTCTAATGTTGCTGTTGTCTAGTGTTGCAGCTGTTGATGCGTGTCGATGGGCAACCCAGAGTGTTCCATATGCCCCCTACGTGACTTACCTACCCTGGGTATCTCACTACGGATGCAAATACGTTGTTCATGGAGACGATATCACTTCCGACAGTGACGGAAATGACTGCTACCGCTTCGTCAAAGCCGCTGGACGCTTCCGTGTCGTCAAACGTACTCCGGGCATATCGACAACCGATCTTGTCGGGCGCATGCTGTTGTGCACCAGGAACCATTTTGTTAAATCTGTAAAGGGTACTCTCGCTGGGCTGGAAGGGTATGGAAGCCCCGAGGAGCGTAAGGCTTCTGCTACAGATCTTTTACAGAGAATCAAGGACTATGCGACGGACGAGAGTGGTCTTCAGCCTGGGCCTCAGGTGTGGACATGGACTGGATCTGGCACCGCAAAGATGGACCATCTTGTCGAGGAGGCTGGCCTGTTCGAGAAGTTGGTCGATGGAAAGGGACCCAAACCTGGGCAAAGGGTTGTTTATGTTGATGGAGGTTTCGACCTCTTTTCCTCCGGTCACATTGCATTCCTGCGCAAAGTCACAGAGCTTGAGGAGTCCGAGGGCCGGAAAGGTGGCTGGTATGAGCCAGATCAAGTTGCAAAGAGGTTGAAGGACCACGGAGAGGACTACGCCCCGGCCTATATTGTCGCCGGTATCCATGATGACGATGTGATCAACCATTGGAAGGGGTTGAACTACCCGATCATGAATATCTTCGAACGTGGTCTCTGTGTTCTCCAATGCCGCGTCAGTCTTCCTTGGTTTCCTTTCATCTGTTCAATTTGCTAACTCTTCGCCACAGTACATCAATGCTGTTATATTTTCTGCGCCATTTACCCCAAGCGAGCCTTATCTGAAGGCAATTCCGTGGGGCACTCCGGATGCTGTCTACCACGGACCCACGACCTTCATCCCACTAACTTATGATCCATACACTGCTCCCAAGAAGATGGGAATCTTCCGGGAAGCCGAACAGCACGCCTTCCAACACGTGAACGCTGGCGAAATTGTTGGTCGGATCCTGAAAAGCCGTGAAGCTTATGAAGCTAGGCAACGTGCGAAGCTGGACAAGGCCATTGCCGAGGATCTGGTGAAGTCGAAAGAGGCAGCTCAACCACCTCAGTAGGCTGGCTGTGGAGATTTGTGAGAAATACTAATTATGTAATGAGGATCAACTGTACATATGATGTTAAACTTCATCAACTGGGGTTTCTTCTTGAACAAGTGTCTACCTAATTCCTTTGCATGGCGGCTTGTGACAATTTGGTATACTAGAGCAGGTAGATCGGAGCTCGGGAGATTACCTTTTATTTGACAACTTTTAAAAGAAAACAACTATCTGACCAGCAGGATATTAGGACCAGGATACATTAGAGATAAATAATTTTACAGAGACAGCCATCTATCAAATTGATAAGCTGACATCTTCCACTCGGGCTCGACTGCTATTATTTATTCATCCGCCGCAACCAGAACACCCTTGGTCTCCAGAAGCTTCGCAAGCTCACCATTTTGGTGCATGGACATCAAAATATCACAACCACCAATGAATTCCTTGTCGAGGTATAGTTGGGGAATAGTGGGCCACTCAGAGTATTCCTTGACACCTGTAAACGCAGCACGATTAGCAATCCAAATCCGGCAAGTTCACTCGAGATTATCTTAACATACCTGAACGCAGCTCCGCATCCTCCAGCACGTTGAAAGCAACGAACTTCTTAGGATCAACGCCCTGCAGACCCAGGATTTGAATGGTGGCACGGGAGAAACCACATTGCGGAGTCTCGGGTGTACCCTTCATGAAGAGAACGACGGGGGCGGAAGAGACCGCCTTATCGATCGCCGTCCGGGTCTCGTTGGACAGAAGACGTGCATGGAGGACGGAAGGAATAGAAGGGCCCGAAGGGAACTGGATGGCCGAGCGGACGGGGCGCAAAAAGGTTGGCCGTGAGACCGGGCGGAAAGCCTGCGGAATTCATGTGAGTCGGAGGAATTTCACGGAGAATATACTATACGTACCGATGCAACTGCTCTGGAAAACATTTTGAAAGTGATGGTAGTTTACAAAAGAAGAGATAAAGTTGCCTCGGGGAAAGTCCTGGAGGTTTAGTATTATTTAATCAGCGGTTGGTCCGGTCGATCCCCACACTTGTAAGCTCTCTAGGGCTCTATGAACTCATCTTCTTTTCGGTGGCATCTCTTTTCTCCCTCCTAAGCCTTTGAATCTGTGTATTGCAATGGATCCTCAAATATCGCCTTTTACTGCCCAGCAATATACAAATGATAATAAGGTCCATGTGCTACTGGCAGCCGCCACCATTAAGCTGCCCGATTGCAGAGGCCTTATGTCGCAACATAAATATATCGGTTCGCATTCTAGTCACCGAGCCAGCAGAGAAGTTGATTATCGGACAGAGCTCGAAGCAGCCGGTCCTCGATAAACTACTTCAAATAGATGGAGTGGACGCTATCTACCAGGATGAAGATGAATGGTCTCCGTCGTGGACACGCGGGGGACCAGTCCTGCATATTGAGTTGCGCAAATGTTAGTGGCTATATAGATACATAATACATGATACAGTGAACCAACTGACAATTCAAGGGGCGCATATTCTACTGGTTGCCCCAATGTCTGCAAATACTATGGCGAAAATGACCAATGGGATCGCCGACAACCTGCTTCTTTCGGTCATTAGAGCCTGGGACACCACTGGAGTAGTGGATATGGGATTCAAATCCCAGAAAACTATGGTGTTTACAGCATTGGATATGGACTCTTGTACGTATCGACATCCAGTGACCGAGAAGCAGCTTAAAGTCCTACGTGATGAGTGGGGATGGAGTGAATCAAACCCAAAAGGCTGGGTGACTGTGTTGCCCCCCATAGAGAAAAATCTGCACAGTGGGGATAATGACATCGGAAACATGATGGACTGGAGAGATATCGTCACTGTCATCCAAAACTACGTGGCGGGATTGGCACAGAAGCCGTGAATAAAAAAGGAACCAAGCATTGAACGCCTATTTAGATTGTTATAATACATGTCTATTGTGTCAACTCGGCCACAGGCTCCGGCTCCATCGTATTATACAGACCAAGGTACTGCGTCGCATACTCGGCGAGCAAGCCCAAGGAGATTCCTCCACCGGTCAGCAGGCATCCGTTCTTGAACCACCACCAGCAGTTCCGAACGTTTTTCAATTGAACCTTCCATATCATGAGACCAAGTGACAAGACGGCACTGCCGCAGCTGCCGACGAAGAAAACAGGTCCGCAACCGGCAGCAACTCCCGCGGCCGCGAGGAGCGAGACTTGAGTCACAGCCAGACCACTCAGGATAGCCTTGGTGTTGTGCTCATGGCGGAGGGCAATTGACTTGATTCCGGCCTTGACATCGTCTTTAATGTCCATGTGTGCATAAATCATATCGTACAGAACAGTCCAAGCAATACAACTGGAGTAAAGGGCACCTGCAGCCATCATGGCATCATGATTATCAAGCAGATCCACCCCCAATGCTGGGAATCCCATGATCGCTCCCCATGAAAAGGCAAGACCCAAGACAGCTTGCGGGTAATTGGTCACGCGCTTAGCAAGCGGGTAAGCCACTACGATAGGCATGCTAGGAAGCGCATACCAAAGACACTGATTCGGGAATGAAAGAAGCACGCCCAATCCAGCCACCAACTGTGAACCAGTGAAAAGGACCGCCTTTTTCGGCGAGAGTGCACCCCTGGCAATGGGCCGGAACTTGGTGCGCTCGACGTGAGGATCCAAGTTTCGATCCCATAGGTCATTGATCGCACAGCCTGCGCCGCGCATGATCAGCGCCCCCGAAAAGAACAGTGCTGCTGTACCCAGGACGTGGAGCGGTGCCACACCAGCCATTGGCGCAGCGAGAAGGGTAGAAAACAGAGTTGGGAAGAATAGGTAGTATGTGCCCGTGGGCTTGTCCAGCCGCACCAATTCCGCATACGGTATCCATGAGCTCGGCAGGGAGGCAATCAAGCCTGTCTTCGGTGGGGTGTAGTGGGTGGCTGGGTTCTTCTCCGAACTATCCGTCTCGATTGTTTGTGCTGCGGGTGATTGCAACTGCGAGCTGCGTCGGACTTGGATTTGTGTTGTTCGCAAGGCATTGTATGAGGTGCCAGCGATAGATCGGCTGCCGTTCAATTGCGTTGAGTAACAGGCGCTGTGAGTGAGGGTGGAAAGACGCCCATTGTACAGACCAGTGAAGTTGACCTTCGGCCTGTATGAGGATAGCCGAGCGCGGAACAGGCGGGAGCTGTTAGAAAGCATGTTGGGCAGACGATCTAGAGAACGAACGTGGATAAAGGTAATTGGTAATTGGCAATATTCATGATCTTCCCAGAGGCCTTAGAGGTCTGGCCATCTAAAGATCTAGAGATGTCGGAACTTACATCGTCATGCAGGAAAAAGCGGCCTGGTTCCTCCCCCTAAGCCTATTTGGGGCATCAGATCTATATGGAGCTCACATTATGCTGTGACTACTAATTATACACTGAGCTGTCTATTATCACAGTACCTTAATCTAAAGAAAAATGCTACATCACGTTCTAGGCCCTCAAGGAAATATAAATATATAGATGCAATGGTGAAATAAGAGTGTATGACAGTTCACGTGTATGCTTATGCCTGAGGCTCTCAGACGCGGCATCCCGCGTTCCCCCCCAGAAGTTGATGATCGCGCTAATTGAAGGGAATGCGGCATCACTTTCTTTCACGTCCCTCTGTTTGATACTTTATACCTCTCGACTTCCGAGCTTAAATTAAAATTTCCTACGCTTTGATTCCATCGACTGTGTACCCGCCCATCCCTCTGTGCCTTCCCATTCTCAATCATCTCATCCCAACCACACGCCCACACAACAGTAACAGCAATGAACAGCACAATCCACCTAGCTAGTCAACAATTCTGAGTCTCATACAGCCTCAACTTTTTCCCTGACTATCAACCGTCTTCCTAAACCATGAACTTCAATCCTGCGATCTTCACGCCGATCACAATCAACTAAGCATCGATATCTTACTCTCTCTGGGGCTCTACGCTCGCAATGCCGGCGCATCGAACTCGCCTGGCTTTCGAGCCACTCTCGCCTCTTCTCAACATCAAGGAGGTTGTTGAATCAACTCCCAATTTTGATTTTGCGATGGAAATCACATGCGACTCAATTGACAAATTTCCGCTTGAGGACTTTGAGAAGCTAGTTCTGTACCAAGTTGTTCTGAGTGGGAGACCTTTGGTTATCAGAGGTCTCAAAGATTGTCTTGACAAGGATCTCTTTTCGGAGAAATGGCTCCGAGAAAACTACGGAAAGAAAGGTGAGCTCGCGCTATTGGGTCGTCTCACTCATCCTTGATGCTAACTGCAACCTCAATTTATAGTCGAGGAAGTTCGAGACCTAGGGAAAAAGAAGTCGTTTAATTTCAGTATGGGCCACTATCTGGAAAGCCTATCGCTACTCACTCGACAGGTGACTGTGCACAACTACACAAACAAGAACGTCCAGCGACTCTACCTCAAGGATATCGACTGCCCTCCCGAGTGGCGGGCTTATCTCGAGAAACTGTTACCGCCTTCCTTGTTCTACCTTAATGAAACACCCAGATCCTTTGAAGGGCCTGCGTCACAAAACACGAACCTGACTGAAATCCCCAAAACCACAGAAGGTGAATTCATCGCCCCAGCGGGCGATTTGATGAGTAGTCTGCCTGTAGAGATGCGGGCGGAGAATCTTATGTGCTACATCGGTCATGAGGGCACTTACACACCAGCACACCAAGAAATGTGTGCTAGTCTCGGTCACAACATAATGGTCGAAGCGTCCAATGGGATATCAGAAAACGGGAAGCCAACGGAGCCGGGCTCTTCAGTCTGGCTCATGACAGAAACCAATGATCGGCGGATTGTTTCTGAGTACTGGATGTCTGTCCTTGGACATGATATTGACATTGAGGATTTCTTTGCTCCCTTACACGCATGGGAGATTGCACCATTTAAGACATGGGTAGTCGAACAGCGACCCGGTGACCTGATTCTTGTACCCCCTCTTGCTGCACACCAGGTTTGGAACCGCGGCACTCGGACGATGAAAGTCGCTTGGAATCGCACTACCGTGGACACGCTCGAGCTGGCTCTGCGTGAAGCCTTGCCGCATGCGCGGATGGTCTGCCGCGATGAGCAATATAAAAACAAAGCCATTGTTTACTACACTCTTGAACGGTATTCGAAATTGTTGCGGCAAGCAAAAACGATCGACCATCCGGTGGTGAATCAGCTGTGGGACGATTTCAAACGACTTTTCAACATGTACAAGGACATTCTGTTGTCTGAATCCTTCTCACAGAAGAACCCGGAAAAGAGCGTTGAATATCATAAGTTTCAAAGCAACGTTACTTGCTCATTTTGTCGGTGCAACATCTTCAACAGGTTTCTTACCTGTCCTGGTTGTGCGGATTCTCTTGGCAGCGACGATGACCCTTATGATGTATGTATGGATTGCTACGTCATGGGTAGAAGCTGTGGCTGCGTTTCTAACCTGAAGTGGATGGAACAATTTCCATGGAAGCACTTGACAGAACGCTATGAAACATGGCGACGGCTGATCATTTCCTCTAATGATGACAACAAGGATTTGAGGCTCCAGTTCCCTACTTTTGTTGTCGCCCGCGGTCAGGCGGGCAAAAAGTCAGTAGCGGAAATCTGCCAAGAGCAATTGAAGCGTCGCCCCTGGAATGACCCAAAAAATCCCAGGCCCGTAGTAGACGATGCGATCGAAGACCCTGGTAGCGAATCCGATGGCAACAATCGGTCTAAAAAGCGCCGCAAAAAGCGGCAGTCCCTCATAACCAAATCAGAGAATGTCCACCGCTGTCACGTTTGTCTTCATTTCGAAGTCGACTGGAAGCTCGCATCATGTTCAAACTGTGACCAACGTTACTGTTATGGCAGTCTATTCCGTGCCTTCGAGATCTCCCCCAAGAGGCCATGGAGAAGCACCACTGGCTCTGTCCCAAATGTCGCAAGGAATGTAGTTGCGGCGCTTGCCAGCGTGACCCGTCTATGAAGCCATACGAGCCCAATTGCACCATTCTGGGGCATGATACTAGCAAGGTAGCCGACCCGCGCAGCATCGAGACCTTGGTGGATTTTCGGAAATCGAACCTGTGGTGGCTGAAGAAGTTTGGTGATGATGTTCATGGACGCATTCAAAAACGTCAGAAGGAAGCCGAAGAAGCCGAATTAGAGCGACAAAAGACCCTTGAAAACCAGGGCTTCAGCTTCGAGTCCAGCCCATTCGACCAGCCGGTTCAGAATGGAAATGGGAACGATGAAAATCCACTGGTCTTTGATGAGGACTATGGGGGCATACCCGTTGATCCATCATTGATGATTTAGACCTCTATTACGCGTAATTGAATCAGCCCATTCACTTTGCCAGATTCGAGCATACGATCTGGATTCTTCGCGAAAGGTGATTCAAAAAGAGACAAAAAAGATGAAAGTTTCTCGTGGGATAAGCGTGTTCCCGCGAAATACAATGAGCGCTGAATATTTGTGAATCGGTACCTGATTCAGGAAATCGGAAGGATGTATGATTTGTGATTCCCCGAAGGGTTTATCTCTTCTGCGACACCATGGTTTAAAAGAATCTGGCTGTACTTTAATAATGAACATATGTATTCATGTTGAAAACAAGTCGAATTGGTGAAACATTATTGGTTAGGCACCTTTGTACTGGTATTGTAGATCCTTGAGGGATGCAAGGTCAACAGAGAGCATGACCTTTTGAGCAAGTAGGATCACTACAAGCATGACTGCACATGGTCAGAATTGATATCGTCCAACCGGGAAATTAGCGACTCACCTCCAGGAATCAAGTATAGCACTGGCCGGATCTCATAAGATGATCCTGTAGAAAGATAGACCAAAGCCAACAACAAGCAAACTGCACTGGTGCCAGGTACTAGAGCCGCATGGATCCGAGCAATACGTTCGGTATGGAAAGTCACAGGCTTCTTGCCTTTGTGGTCAGGCTGGAGAGGAGAGCATTTCATGATATAGGCTGTTGTCAACAACGAGACAAGGCTAAGAAGCGAGAACAATCGTTCAGACTGACTGGAGGCTGACAGCACCGAAGGCACAAATAATGTTGCAGCCAGCAGTGGAATAGCAGTAAAAATCATCTGGAAACACAATTTAGCATGGATTCTCGACTATCAAAGAAAGAAAGATATGTACACTGTACTGAGCATTGCGGGCATCGTTCTGGCTCTGCAACTGCTCGATGACCCGTTCTTGTTCTTCTTCATCCAACTCCTCTCGCTCCCCATCTGATTCCTCGGGGTATCGAAAAGCCTTTCGTAATCTTACTGCAGCCATTTTTGGACAGCTCAATATCAAGAAACAAAGTGTTGTATCCTCAGCCGTTGGTGGTGCAGTGACGTCGAAAGGTCAAATCTGTTTGTCTTGTTTGGCACTCTTTTCTTCCGCAACCTCTCCCCAAATCCAAGCACCAGCCCGCAAAACACCAATTAACCCCCCAAAACACAGCTATGTCCTTCTTCAGAGTTTTCACACGGCGCGCCGCGCTCGCCCGGAAATCCACACAACCAAACACAGTCAGTCGACGGACAATGATGCCAGCCCCGGCCCCGAACGCGGGACCGGTAATGGAACGACGTGCGAACCGCGAGCTACCAAACCCAAAGCCAGGCCGAAAGTGGCTTCTCACATTCCCAATTTTTGCTCTCGCAACAGGCGCAGGCATGCTTGGAATCTTCAATTACCAGAAGTCGTCGTCGAGCATCGTGAGCAGCACCCTTTATGCGTTGCGGACGTCGCCGCGGGCTCGCGAGATCTTGGGCGATGAGATCTACTTTGCGCAGCAGATTCCGTGGATCAGTGGCGAGATGAATCAATTGCATGGTCGCATTGATATCTCGTTTTGGGTCAAGGGGACGAAGTCTCAGGGCAAGATGAGGTTCCGAAGCATTCGGCCGGATCGTATGAGCTATGTGAGTTTTTGGTCTATCTGGTTCATGACGTCTTCTGTCATAATTTGCTGACTTGTTATTCCTTTTTCTAGTTCCGCACTGAGGAATGGAGTCTGGAGAAGGAGGATGGAACGGTGGTTCAATTGCTCGATGGTGATATCGATCCCTTCAGGAAGAACTGAATATTGGGGGGAGAAGTGTACAGATACAGCAGTGCATTGGCTCGGGCGTTTGGGGACATTCTTTATAGGACCATTTGTTGCGTTATCAACTTGGCGAAGCCATTGTTTTCTTTTTCTCAATGGCTAAGAGAAAAGAAAGGAAGAAGGATATCATTTTTTGTATCATATACAAACGCCGCTCAAGTCAAACAATATCGCGCGTATGGTGTAATAGTACATGGTCAGAACTTAAAAAAGAAATCTGCAATTAAGCAGTGGCAGGTTCCGCCGACTCTGCCTGTGGCACTTCGGGCCATGGCTTCTTGATCGCATCCTGGATTCTCACAACACAGCCCTTGGGACCACTGACGGCACCTGAAGCAAAGATACGTTAGCAAATGAGAATTCGAGACTCAAAGCAGCTCGAGATCAAACCACATACCACTGACAACCACAATACCGTTCTCAGAATCCACCTTGAGAATCTTCAAGTTCTGAACAGTATTCTGATTATTTCCCATGTTTCCAGCCATCTTCTTGCCGGGATAAACACGGGAACCACCACCCTGACCAGGGCCAGAAGAACCCATCGAACGATGTGTCAAACTAACACCGTGACTGCGATCCTGACCATGGAAACCGTGTCTCTTCATAACACCAGCAAAGCCCTTACCCTTAGTGTTGGACCGAGCATCAACAAACTGGCCCTCCTGGAACCAGCTTGCCTCAATGCTCTGTCCAATTGGCTTGAGGCCCGTCTCGTCCTTAACACGGAACTCAAAGATATGGCGCTTAGGTGAGACCCCATTAACCGAGAAATGACCCAGCATCGACTTGTTCACATTATTCGGGTGTTTCCAGCCCGCGCCAACCTGCACAGCATAGTAACCGTGTCTCTCACGAGTCTTGTGGGAGATAACCTCAACACGATCCAGCTGGAGGACAGTGCAGGGGATGCGCTTTCCAGATTCGGGATCATAGACAGCAGTCATTCCCTTCTTGATACCGATAGCACCAGTGCGGAGCGGGAGGGAATTGGCTTTGCGGCGGAGAGCCGCTGTCGACGTCGACTCGAGGACTGGCAGACCGGGCCCGATATTGAATCGACTGGGTTTGGGCGGGTTGAGGGCTCGGATTCCGAATGAGCGCACGGGGATCCGGGGAGTGATCAATGGGGCACCCCATACGGGTGAGAGCTGAAGTAGCCCTCCTAAGCGCGGCGACATGGTGGGTTGATATTGGGAGGGAGATTGGGGTGCTCGTCGTGGCTGAGAACTCGGGAAGTTTTTGGTGTTGGGGCTTAGTCAGCGCATATGCCGGTCGAAGTATACAAAACCAGAGCCGCCATATGTGACGCTTTTACCGGATATAACTAAGGTTGATTGGACATGTAAGAGGGGGAAAAGCTATACACATCATCTAAGTAGCTTATCTACCATCTGCCATATACGATCCCCGTCCAAGATCAGCACCAAGACAACCCGCATTAATCCCTAACTCCGACAAAGACACGCCAGCCCGATCGGACCGGAAGCCGAAAGCGCCGAGAAACTAAAAAAAAGCGAAGAATTCCATGTCCTCAACACCTATCACTCATTGAATCACACAACCCGCTCAATCCAGAACACCAGGGGAGAAGCAAACCACCATGTCCCTCCGCCCAACCATCCTCACAAAATGGATCTCGCGCCCTAGCGAGATCCTCAAAACACCAAGCTTGACCTCATACCTCCACCCCTCGACCCGCCTATCGCTTCCACGCCGCAGTCCAATCTTCTCTCCGGGACCTCAAGCATCACGACGAAGCTTCGGGACAACGCGCTTCTCGACGCGCACCCGGCCGGGACCGAGCTCGTTCCAGTTCAAGCAGCGCCGGTTCAATTCCGGGTCTACTGGCGGCAGTAAGGGATCCGGGTCCGGAGCTGAGGAGAAGGGCTCGCTATCGCAGCGATTGAAGAAGCTCTCGCGGGAGTATGGATGGGCTGCGCTAGGCGTGTACCTTGGATTATCTGCGCTGGATTTCCCATTCTGTTTTGCGGCTGTGCGGTTGCTTGGTGTTGAGCGCATTGGATACTATGAGCATGTTGTTGTTGGGTTTGTTAAGGATAAGTTCAAGTCTGTGTGGCCGCAGACTAAGGGTTCTGAGGTGGAGGATGGGCAAGGACAACTTGCTCAAGCTGAGGAGCGGAATCAGGAAGAAGCTAGTAAGTTCTGGTTTTGATGTTTTTTGAGGATTTGAGGATTTGAGGATTTGAGGATCTGACTGGGATTTGCAGGTATCTGGACACAATTGGTTTTCGCCTATGCTATCCACAAGAGCTTTGTGTTTATTCGAGTGCCGTTGACTGCGGCTGTGACACCAAAGGTTGTGAAGACGTTGCGTGGATGGGGATGGGATATTGGGAAGAGGAAGCCCAAGAGTACGTGAAGGTGATGTGATTATATAGCATAGCGGGAGATACAGGATTTGGGATTTGGATCATTGTACATTATTAGCCATTCAACTCTCTAATACGGCAATCTTTTTTTTTCTTTTGCCTTCTCTCAAGACGCTCTCCAGACGATCTACATATAATCGATAACAGGCCAACCCAGACAACCCAGCCCCGCTCTATCTCCAGCGCCCAAAATGAGATGGGAAATGATCAAAAAGAAAGCAAGGAAGAGAATGTGCGCTGGAGGACTATCTCTGCCTGAAATAACTAACCAAGAGCAAGATAGAGAACACGAAAATAAAGCAATATGGCGTGGCAAAGGCTATCAAAGCCCGTAGCCCTCGTCGAAGGTAAAAGAATTGAGATTGCGACGTATGTAAAGGGTGTGTGTTCCCAAAGGAAAAGTGAGGGTGAATCGGATCACATGTCGATCATATCGTTAAATCTCAGAATACCGTTGGCTTTCATCACACCGTTGACACCCTCGGGCATACGGTATGCCCATTCGGCAACCCCCATGGTATCAGTGGCGGGTAACTCTTCGAATCGATCCGACTGGCCAGGCTCATCAGAGGTGTCGGCCACAAGCACAAGGCCAAGCTCCTTGATAGTCTCAACGAGTGCAGGAACGACATTCTACACAGTGGTTAGCAAGCGAACTAGAAAGAGAAAAAAGAGCGTGCAGATATAGGACCACACATACCAAAAGGCTAGATCTGCAGATCAGACCCATAAAGTTATTGCTCTGGGCAATACGAGCAGACTCTTTGATCGACATCGAGGCCCGGCCACTGCTATTGACATGGGGCATCGAGTCGACGTTCCCAGCCAGGTCTCGAATTTGACCAAGATCGTTGCAAAGAAGAACAGGATCTAGCCACAGAGTTAGCACCATAGACAAGTTGGACTGTATTTTCAGGGAACTCACAATTGGGTTGCTTCCAGTTGAGGGCACTGCAGATGTTGGGGTTATAGGAGGTAAACACCACAGAGCGCATGAGTTCTGGGTTCTTTTCACGGGCCACACGGGCGTGGTCGAAGACATCGGTCAGGATAACATCGGCAAAGGTATTAACGTCTGCCAAAGAAGTCATATCAAGTTTCTTCTCTTCCACGGCGGATGGGTAGATGAGGGAGATGTTGACATTCATTTCAATAGGGAGTCGGCGCAAGACATCGCGTAACGACAAGAAGGACGCCGCCAGGAGTCGATGAGTCTGCGGCATGTCATTCGTCGCTTCTGTTTCCAAGAACTGGAGGATCTGGGTATTGTTGGCACCGCGGTCTGCGCCAATAGCCTGGAATTGAGCATATGTCAAATGAGACACTGGGATGTCGATTCCGTGGTAACTGATCATAAATTGTGGGTAAAGGACTGCGACACGGTCCCGGGTCAGTTGTACAAAGAGCTGAACATAATCTCCCGACAAACTGGAACCAGTCACTAATCCATTGTGCTCCGAGTCAAGAGCACTAGTAGCCTTCCAATATGTGGCAAAGTGTGTGATCTCCAGAGGATCACCATGGTATGGCTTAATGACTTGGAAGTTAAAGCGCAGTTGACCGATTGACCGGAGCCGGGGGTCAAATAGAGGCAGACAGCACGAGCCAGTGCTGGACGACTCGGCGCGGAAGATGTCTGGCAGCGCCACGCTCTTTGCAATCACCTTTGAACCGAAGGTAGGGAAGATCTCAAAATCCACAGCAAAGGTGTCTAGGTTATCCACATGGAACGATATTGTGCGTGTCTCATCCTGGATGGGTAGCATGATAGTACGAGGAATGAGATCTGACAGCTTGGAAGAGATAGTCATGCGAGCAGCAGGATGGCGACCCGCCTGATCAAAGGCGATGGACCCGACCTTTTCTTGATCGAACAGAAGCTGGACGAAAACTTTCTTGTCGAGGAAGTTGTGACCATAGCGGCGGAGAGGGATGATAGGGGGAGGCAATTCAAGTTCCGGAATGCCATCGGCCATTTCCAATTCAGAGACGCTCGTATCCATGGACATCGGATCGCCCATCGGGCCGGGTTCTTGCATCCGCACGCCATTGAGAATGTCAAGCGGTCCAAGTGCAGGCTTTCTACCGGAGGGCTGAGCCCAGAGAAGGAGCATACACTCCAGATGGCCTTCCCAGGCAGCATAGTACATAGACGAGAGCCCCTTCTCGTCTACGACCTGAGCGTCAACCCCGCACTCGAGGAGGGTACGTAGGCAGGGAACGCAGCCTTCGCTGGCTGCATGGAACAGTGGAGTCCACTGGTAAAGCTTGTCCTTTTGATCAAGATCAGCACCGTGCTCCTTGAGCAGTAATAGTAGCTCTGGCGATTGTGAGGCGCGTGCAACCATATGCTGGGGGTAGAGACCTTCTGCATCCGGCAGCAACTTCGCATTTCGCTCAAGAAGCATCTTCGCGATAGGGAGAGAGCCGTGTTGACAGGCGAGGTTCAAAGGAATATGATCTGGGCCCTTCAAGGGACGATGGTCCATTCCCTTCAGATGGGGCGACTCTGGCTCCGGGTCGACACGAGCATTGCTACACAGAACCTGCTCGGCGCATGCCAGCTGGCCCTTTACAATACTGTGGATTAGAGGGGTGAAGTTGTCATGGTCCATGATATCGACTGTGTGGGGGCCAGCTGCGAGCAGATGTCGCACCATATCCACGCGGCCGTGCATGCACGCGTAGTGGAGAGGAATCCGGCCATATACATCGGCACGGGCGAAATCAACGCCTGCCTTGAGACCTGCGTGGAAGACAAATGATCGGCCCGAGATGGCTGCCTCGTGAAGACAATTCCGTTCATTGATATCGTCCTCGGCGTGGATGTCAACCAATTGACTCTCCAATAGCAAAGCGAGCACTTCATCCGAGAACCCGTTGATGGCAGTCAGGAATGTGCGGGTAGCGCGTTCACGGGCATCCGGCAACTGCTGCAACCTGGCCAGCCATTCACGTAGGTTTTGCAAATTTCCGGTGGAGGCTGACTGCAAGATCTGGTTGTCCATTTCATCCTCTTCTGACCCCAAGGGTGCGGTGCGCTCCAGTGGACGTGAGGCATCATATTGAATATTCTCGCCCTCGGCCCAGGCCTCCAATTCAAGTCGTGCGGTGGTCGCTCTATCCGCAAGATCTCGAAGAACTTCACGATTGAAGCATGGTTGCACTTCAACGGCCCGATGCAGGTACAACTCTTTCATGCGAGACTTGGAGGTTTTATCCCATTTCTTCAGAATTTTGGACATGGCAGTTTCATTGATTTCAACGAATTGCTGCAATTTGTTCAAGTCGCCATCAAATTGTTGGAAACCTTCAAACATAGCCGCAAAATTCGACGGTGCTTTGGAATTTGAGGTCGCGCGGGACTGGGTTACCCGCTTCTTGTCGACCAACGTCCTCAGGCGCAGAGAAAACTAGAGCAGTTCGATTAGCCTCCGGATATGTTTATGACTGTGTGTTGGATCAATGGCCATACCTCTGATTCTTTCTGGAGGTAGAAAGTGTTGACTTTCTCAATCTCTCGTTCCTATACATCACGATAAGCACATCCACCTCGGCATACGCAGCAAATCATTCGGACAACCTACCAAACGGAAGAAGAACACCTCCTTATTTGCGCGCAAAGCGCCTTGGGGGTCTGCATCAGCTTTCGCGATTTCCTCGGCCGTTCTCTGTGCCGGGATAGTCGGGGTGGCGCTGAGTTGCTTGATCAGCTGTGAAGGAATTAGTCATGCACAGATTCCCTCGCAAGCTCGCGCATGTTAGACCAACCTTCTTCAGCGCCTTGTAGTTAACAAAGCTGGCGGCATATTCAGGAAGATCTAGCTGCCTGCGCTGGATCTGTTTGCCGAACTTCCTATCGACGACATATTAGCAGCAGCTCGAGTAATGGATTGGCATAGCCGGAGCTGCAGGGCATACGTACATGTTTGCACACTCTCGGAGAGAGCTTTAGCTCTCCCGAGCTCTGTAAACCGAGGTCGCAACCGTAGCGCACGCTTAGCAAAACGGAAAAGAGTGAGGAGAATGAGAGGGCTGTACGAGGTAGGGTGGAAGGGTGTCAATGGGAGAGAGAAAAAAGATAGGGTGGGATGACAAGGACACGTTTAGGACGAGAGTTGGTACGCTGGCAAGAGGGGCCCGTGAATGCGCACAGTGGGGAAAGATAATAGTGGGACAGGGTCGACGGAGTAACACAGGTAAATAGAATGTGTGACGTTGCGTTGAGATGAGATGTTCTCATAGATTGGAGGGGGGTTAGATCTTAAGAATTGGAGGGATAGAGAGGGATAGAGGGATAGAAGGATAACAGATAGAGGGGTAGAAGCGGTGATGATAGAGAGATAGGGCAAAATATCAAGAAACACCCGAATTAGAGAGGGTTGTATAGTTCGTGTCTAGAAGGAAAAGCTGCGAGGTGCAGTTAAGGGAGTGGGGAGCTGGGTGAATCATCTATCGCCAATCACCGCGAACAGCGGACGCACGTTTTTAACTTACTGGTAGACACATGTACTATAGATGTATTTGGTGCATTTGGATTTTGGCTAATTTAGTCAATTTAGTGCCATATTTTTGTACAATTCTGATCTCGAGGCCCTCATTTCGAGGTCTTTCTAAGGCTATTCTACCTATTCTGCCGGCATTCTCCGGGGAACTGTAAAGTCAAGATCATTCAATATACCACGGACAAAGACTTCAAGGGAATAAATCCACCAAGGTATCATTGTAAATCTCGAGTATGTCCACGCGCAGGAAAAACTCCATGCTCAACAGGAAATGTACAAGATGCAGCTCCTTACAAGTCCATGTAGACAACAAACACAAGAAACATAAACAAGAGGTGTAAACAAAAAGGCAGCAATAACAAGCTATGCAGCTGAGACCAGATGCGCGGGATATATCAAACACAAAGAGGACCAAACCAAATCAAAGCCCGATAGGCCGATGAAGCAAAGTGAGAGAGGGGGAAGGGGAAATTGGAAAAAAAAAGTGTAGAAGACAATAGAGACATGACGAAGTGAAGGTCCATCGCGCCGGGAATTGGAACATGAGAGACCCGAAAAGAAGGAATGAAGTCGGCGGTGGTCGAGATAGAAAGAGCGTGTGGTATTGTGCAAGATTCAAAACAAAAGGGAAATGCCGAGCTTTTGGTGGTCAAAGATTATAAGACATTCGAACCAGGCCATTAGAAGTTCTGTGCGATACCGGCATTCCCCTGTCGTGGATAAACGCCGGGATTCTCAATGCGGGTGTTGCGGCGCGCCTGGACATCGCGGATCACAGGCTGGTAATCTTCGCCGCCGTATGCGCCGTGGGTGTTAATGTCGCCGTAGTACGGATTCTCACCATAGTAGCCACCCGAGGGGTGAACGGCGGACATGTGACTTTCCTCCGACGCCTCCGAACGGTTGGCCGCGGAGTAAGCGGAGGATGCGTTGGAGGGGCCACGGTGGATGTCGCCGTTGCGATTATTTGCGGCCACTGGGGCCGCACCCAGCACGCCAATGGGTTCAACAATCTCGCCCGAGTCGGGCCGAGTACCATCGGAATATTGAACGGTACCCTCGCTGGGTGTTGCGCCGTGGTGATAGCCGGGGCCGCTTCCTTCCGACATGGCTAGGCCACCCATTCCACTAGAGAGGTTGGTGGAGGCCTTGCGCCCGGCAGAGGTGGTTCCCCAGCCGCGGTAGCCGGAGGATTCATTGTCCTTGGGAATCACAACGCCTCCCATGCCTGGAAGGGTTGGGTCATTGTTTGGATTAAATCCATATTCCTCCACTTCCTTACGGCGCTCCTCCTCGGCGGCCTTCTTGGCCTTGCGCTTACGCCAGAAGAAGAGCAGTGCCAAGATGATCAATGCCACCGAGGCAACTGGGACAACGACGGCAACAGCGATTGTGCCGCTAGGAGAAAGACCACCAGAGGAGGCTGCAGCTTCGGTGGAGGTTGAGAGCGCGGCTGAATCGGTTGCGCTGATAGAGGCGGCACCCGTGTTAGATGGCGGTGTTTGAATGGAGGTGACGATAACCACGGTGGTTCCTTGACTGTTACTGGACGTCGATGAGAACGTCGTTGTTTCCGGGGCTGCAGTAGTTGGAGCACTTGTAGTGGAAGAAGTGGATGTGGACGAAGTGGAAGTAGACGGAGTGGACGTAGACTCGGAGATCGATGTAGGCTCGGTTTTCTGCGTGCTACTAGTGCTGCTCTTGGTGGTACTAGTGGTGGTCGGTTCAGTAGTCGGTTCAGTAGTCGGTTCAGTTGGAGTGGATGTGGTAGGAGCAGGCGCAGGCGAAGAGCTCGTTTCGGAAGTGGTGGAAGGTTGAGTGGCAGTTGGTGCACCGGTCTCAGCGGACGCCGAAGTCTGTGCAGCGGTGTCCGCGGGAGCAGGCTGACTGGACCCCTGAGCAGTGGCAGCGGCAGCTGCACCGGCTCTGGATTGTGAAGCCATTATCGATAGCAATGTTGGTCAATGTTAAGAATAGGTGATCGGTAAGATTGGCGGTTGTTAGGATCAAAGGTGATCCTGAACCCCAACACCGTTCGGCGAGTTATGAGGGATTAGGGATGCTTCTGGGTACGGAAATATTGGTCGGACTGAATTAGACTGCAAGTCACAATTTCGAACCCAAGTTAATAGATAGATTAAACGAGAGACTGCGATTTGAACGCGTAAGGAGAGATGGGGGTCGGAACTTCAGGGGAAACTCGATGATATCTCAAAAAGGAGAGAAGAGAAGAAGGGAAAAGAAAAGAGGAAAATGAGGATGAAAGAGAGATGAATACTCACAACCTCTCGCCGAATCTGGTAGCCATGGGATGAGAGAAGTGTGTGAGAGAGAGAGATGGAAGTGGGAAAGTGGAGATTTCTTACGATTGCGGCGTATCCGCATTCCTAGTTGTATTAATAGGCTCATTTTACTTGTGTTCTGCTTATATCGTCAAAAGCACCCACCCAAAACATGGATAGTTCCTCTAATGTATGCTACGCTTGAGTTGCAGTTGCATCGCTTGCAACATACTGTTTCTGGCAATCCCTAGATCCGGTCCGATATATATCTATAAGGTGATATCTTCTAGTCTTGTACAATCCTTGATACACCCTACTCTAGAAGGTCTGCAAACAATTTGATGAAAATATTTACCAGTTCGGTACCGAATAGAAAAGCCGAGTGTTCCATGGGAGGCCTCTTCAGGGCTGTGAGAAACCTTGGAAGTGCCAAGGCGGATTTCCAAGGATACCAATTATACCGTACATAGTGCCTATTATTCTCGAGTCAATGATGCAAGATGTACTCAGTTGCCTCTTCTGATTCTGCTCGGGGGTTATTTTTTCTGTATTCAAAAATACGATCGGCATGATAATCTGATTTTCTGCGTCTAGCCCATTGAAATTGGTATAGCCCCTGACTGTTTGGACGTCCACATAGCCCCCGACTCTCAATTTTCCGTTAAACGTTTAATTGTGGAGTCTATTCCGTATGTTATGTACACCAAATCTGAGAAATGTCAGATTAAGACTATTTTCGATCCAAACAACATCTACCAAACCGAATATATACAGCCCGGAGACTGGGCAGAAGAAATGAAATTTCAAAATGGTCACAGGAAGGAATCCAACCATCATCTATTTACGCCGTAGCAGATTTCCAAAAAAAAAAAGGGGAGCACAAATATAAAAAAGGGGGCGATGGCCATCACCTCCCCACAAAAGCTCAAGCACCGGGGAACCCAGATGAGAAACAACAAAAAACAGATCAGATCATCACGTGCTCTTATACAAGGTACCAAAACAACAAAGTCATGACATTGGAAAGGCGCCAAGGCCACTTCCTTAAGTGTTGTTCATATCCCACTTCGGATGCAAACTAGCCATCATGGCGTCCTTAGTGCCTACCGCCTCGGCTGGCAGACGACTGACACGGTAGTTACCCATACGGATATTATTTTGGTGATGAGCAGAGACGACCGTTCGAGCACTGCGGATACTACCCGCATCGCTGCCAGTACCACCCTCGTTCTTGAACCGCGGTGGGGGCACAAAGTCCAGGTTGGTGAACGTGCCGGACTTGCGCAGGGCGTGGGGGCTGGGCATCACGGCGAGTTCGTCAAAGGAAGAGACCAGCGGTGTGTGGGCACGCACAGCAGGCATGTAAGGGCGAGTGCCACCGGTGGGTGTCTCAGGGCGACCCGCGCGGCGGTCCTTGAATCCATGTGCCGGGGCAAAGTCCATGGCGGTCATGAGGGAGTCTTCCGTCAACATGTGAGGAGTAGGAAGGACGTGCAGAGGCGATGGAGGTGGAATCGGTTTCTTGGGACCGCGTGGCCCAGGCATACGGCCAGAGGCAGATGAGAAGGCGCGCGGCCCGGGCATGCCCCCTCCAGCGGAGTTGGTGGCCATGTGGCGGGCAGCTCCCTGGAAGCGTGGAGGTGCGCGAGGTGGCGGGGTCATCGCGCGACGGGTGACCGGCTCGGCGAATGGAGCAGCACCATGACTAGCATCATAATACTCACCGGTGGTTGGGTCGTAGATGAAACCAGCTGAGTTACCACCATTCTCATAGAACTCGGGCCCGAAGTCCTCGTAGTATGTGGGCTCCTGGCCGCCCTTGCTCTCATCGAAGTACTCCTTGTAGAAGGAGCGAATCCGATTGGCACGCTGTTCTGGGTTGTCGGCGGGGTCTTCTGGGGGCAACGGGCGCAATCCGAGAGTCATCCGGCGGGTATCGCGGCGGTTATCATATGCCGCATCCAGCTTGTTGGGTTCCTCTGGAAGTTCTGCATGCTTCTGTTCGTGGCTTGGGGCATTATGTTGCTGTACATCTTCTGTGCCATGGACGTTGGTCGCAGGGACAGTGTATTGCGACTTGCGGTCATCCCCATAGTCACTACTGGTGATATCGCTGGCCGGCAGGGAAATACGAGGAAGCTCTGATGCAGGAGCCTGACTGTGGTTCAAGTCTCGTGAATGCGAGGGCTCAGGCAGCGGGAAGTTGAGGCGCTCTTCACTCTGGTTACTATACGTGTTGCCATGTGTATCACCCAGTCCAAAGTTCAAGCCAGATGAAGAATCCAGATGGGGCAGGGGCTCTGGTGAGGGAATTCTGTGGCCATTAGGACTTCCGATAGCTATGCCGGGTTGCTGTGCGGCAGGTGGGTGCGTCACCCCGGGAACTTGCCCAAGGTAGTCATTTTGTCGGTTTGGACTGCGTCCACGAGATTCGGTCGGGGAGGAGTACAGCGGTGGGTCAGATCGAGACATCCTCTGCGCATTCTGGAGGAGACCCGAACTGCCATCATCCCCAAATCGGGAACCCGCGAAGCTCGATGCATCATCCCGTTGTCCCCTGGGGTATGACCGAATGGAGGCAGTGGCCGGGCGGTATTTGTCATCATCTATTGACATGGAGCGCAGAGAATCCGGGGAATCTTGTAGGCTCGGGGGCATCAGATATGGACCGACGTCAAGAGACAACCCTTTGGTATGGTTGGGTTCGGACATCGGGGGCATTCCGTGGGGGCCTTTTCTCTTAGTTGCCGGCCCCACGGTATCCATTCCGAAATCGAGAGATTTATGTTTATCCATTGCATCTTCCCGCATAAGTTTCTTAACATGCCTTCGGTGAAGCACAATGAGGATGACAATAGCGCACAGAATGGGAAGACCTGCACCGAGCACGACGGGCAAAACCGTCGTTGTCAGATTACTAGTGGGCTTTTCTCCCGTAATCGCTGTGGATGCTTCGGCTCTCGCCACGAGGGATGGAAGCTTGGTAGCTATAGAGGAGGTTGTGGGTACCAAAAATGGCAATCGATTCGGGGGGATTACATCCCGACGAAGGTGGTTTCGCATCACCAAGCCGGCGTGGTGAGCATGAGGCATAGTCGAGGTAGTCTGGTCTATGGGGATAGACCCGACTTGTCTGGAACGTGGAGACCGGTCAACACGTTTAAATTGGCGAAAGCCGCTCGAGGTTGATGCTCGTCATCTAAGTTCAGGGTCACACAATTCCAAAAAAATCAGGAGTATGTCGATGAAAAAAAAAAAGAGTGACTGTAACAAGCAATATAAAGGAGTGAACAGGACTAGGTCCCTAAAAAGAGCGTCGGCCAGCCAAAAGAGAATGAATAGTCTGGATAAAGAGAAAAGGAAAAGAGGAGAAGGAGAGAAGACTTGAGTTCTAGAATAGTGGACTAGCGTGAATATTATACAGAGACTTCGTATTGTACAGGTACTATCTCCCCTGAGTCTTAATTTAGAACATGTACGGAGTATATCTTGTACGGAATACAGTAGGAGATTACTATTTTTTCTTTGTTATTGTTATTTTCATTGTTATTGTCATTGTATTTTTCTATTTTTCCGTGTTTGGATCTCCTGATGCTCTTCTCTCTATAGTTCAAATGCAAGGCGTGAGGGTAAGACACCCAAGGTTCCAAGGTTGACCTCGACGGGTAGCGTCAGGAACCCGCTCCACCAATCGTTGAACGGCTGCCCCTGAATCGGTGGGCACACAAAAGGTGGCTGTATCTCGTATGTTTGTGTATGCTGTACGCTGTACTCCGTACTGTATGTAAGGGCACAAGGGAGACCATTTCCTTTTATTTTTTGATTCTATCTCCAAGCCTCCAGGCCTATGCCAAGTCCTGACTCTTCACATTGGCTAATGCTTATCTTCAGAATCACATACCGATTTACAATATACTTGAAGATAATCATGTCTAGTGGACTCCCTATGTTGTAGTCCGTACGCAGGAAAGACATTCAATACATGTATTTGAGGCTGTGATTCCTGATTTCAACATGAGACACCGGTGTAGCCCCCTCATTTCCAGATCCCCGGATAATACTCGGATTAACTACATATGTATACTACATGTTGATCTAGTTGTACTCCTTGAAGAGCACATATTATATCGGCCTCATATATTCTGACATGTCTTCTACACCTGAAAGAAATAGAAGACTGTTAGCATCTTGCTCTTATCTACTCCTTGAGAGCGGTCCAGGTGGGTTGTCAGGTATGAGGTCAATTCCTTGAGAGAGACCTTTATGTACCTACGTAGATCTGCAGGCACAAGGAAGAGTCTACATCAGCATTGATAATTGATTAATCGGGTTATGTCGACTTAAGTGTACAATAATGTAGGTTATTCAAATACTCGTGGAAGATGTGTAATAAAACAGGCTTGTCTTGTCTTAGTGGCTCCGGGGTATGTACAGCCACGAAACGCCTCTATTGAAGTTGAACTCATCAGGTATATGATATGAAAGACTTCAACAAATTTGGAGTTAGGCAAATACCTTAATCTTATCTGGCACAACAAAATGATTGCTGCTATTGTTCCAGCGCCTACGGGCTACCTAGGTATCACTAGCATCATGGTGTTCTTATATATATTGAACCCAACCAAGTCAAGCAACATGAAATTTCGAGCAGATATTCAGTGTTGTACATCTAGTTTATGCTCTCACCCCAATTAATATCTTCCCAGGTTATAGACCTGGCTCTCCGTATATTGACAGTCAATATATATATATATATATTGTCGAGGTTAATGGCAGGGTTTAACTGCCCTAGGACGAGAATCTCCGCTTTATCTGACTCATGCAGGTATATATCACTAAACCCATACTCGAAAGCGTTCAGGCTCGCCAGAAAACCAATGTCCCAGGATGTGTCCAGGATGAGAAGCAGTTCTTGGACTTCCAGATGAGACCGTTAACAGCATCATGCGAGAATGGGCTGGACACTGCTTAGCTGTATAGCAATATTGGCATTGGTATTGTCCATGAAAACATGTTCTCATGTATCCGCGTTTACAAAGGTGAGGATTGATATTCTTTTAACCGGATTACAAGTTGGGTTCATTTGTATTAGACCTAGACACAGGATGGCAAGTTCATAGAATTGCAGGGCTGGTCCCCGGGTTAATCGTCACATCTGGGTTCATTGCTTTTCATCTTGCCTGGTATGGGGGCCTTCGTTTGAAAACATCATCAGAGTACAGGTCATCCCGTTTGGAAGGAATCCTCCATGATTAGTACAGCGCAATTAGGAAATATGAGCTGCGCAAATATGAAACATGAATGAAAGGAATGGGAAGACGACACAAGAGGAAATGGAAGGTCATGAGCCCCATGGGCACTCATATGTGTGGGATACACACATGAAAAGGGAAGGAAAAGACTGGATGGGTGGAAATGTACATTGGGGGTAGAGTTGTACACGAGAATGAAAAAAAAAGGTAAGAGCAGCGTCTTCGGTCAGATCGCAGCGTGAAAGAAATAGACGGGATTCTCCGAGATCGCGCAGGGAGCAAACATTAGGTAAGGATGGAGAAGATGGTCATGCAAATGATCAAGTGTTTTTCGGTCTCATGGGCTGTGATGGCGGATGAAAGATAATGAGAGGGAGTGAGGATTGAATGTGAAAAGGGCAATTAGGACATGTCAGCCAGTGCTGCTTCAAAACTGGCAATATCATCATGGGATGGTTTGTCAAAAATACGTCGGAATGGCGGGTCTTGAGGGAAGTCCTGCGGGCTGGTTGCCACCCCGTCTGCTTTGCGAATCACTTCCTTCAACGCACGCGTCACCACACCCGCACGGGAAACCAAATTCTTCAACGAGGAAGTATCAAATGGAAGTTTCTTTGCACGTGACGCTAATTCTAACTGATCGAGAGCCGAAGGCTTTTGTTGATCACGACCGGGCTGGAGGATATCAAGTACAGATTTGGACTTTGGGGAATTCCCTGCAAGCTGAGCGAGGGGCAAAGTGGGTTCGACTTTTTCACGGGGCACTTCCCATGAAACTTCACTGTTGCGCTTTGAGGCATTGAGACAGTCATCATCGGATTCATCAAAACTGAAAGTGAGAGATGATGGAGATCCTGGAGGCGAGCGACGCTCCTCTTCATCGTCAATGGTAGCAAGGTTTACGATCTGCTCTGCTTCTGCCCACAGTTCACTGGAGGGTCCGTTGACAACATCTAGAACATTTGCCTGATGCCGAAGACGTTTCAGCTCCTCCACAAGGAGAGTTAGTTCTTGAACCTGTCCAAACTGACCACGAAGACTTGCTTGGCGCTCTAGAATGGCCTTGGGAACAGTCATACTCTGGCGATTGAGATCGGGCTCCATAAGTGGTTTGTTTTCGGCGACAGGTGTGTCCTCGGACTCGTCAAAGTCAAAATCACTGTCCCAATCTTCACTGACACCCTTACTGCCCAAGCCCCAAGTACCGAACTTGCCAGATGTTTGACGTGATTCATTGATAGGATGGTCGGTGGCAACTGGCACGCTCTGGCTCCTGAGATGGACGGTGGATGGTGCTTTCCGGCAAACAGCCCGACTGTTTCTATCAACAACACCCTCTTGTTTCCCATGCATGGTCCTAGGACGCGCCTCAGAGTCCGAGGATTCGCGGTTAGGGTGTGCTTGTTCGGACCAGTCGAAGATGTTTGTCTTCTTGTTGACATCCCAATCCAACTCGCCCACAAACGATCCGGACATCTCCTTAGGTGAGTTGAGACGTGACTCGGGCTGCTCAGCAAACTTAGCCAACGAATGCGTCAAAGAAGATGAAAAAAACTCGCGATCATCCCCAGGAAGGGCGCCGATCATGCTGAGAGCATCGTCGTCCACCACATCAGCATGGAACGGATTTTGAAGTTTAGACGTTTGAACCGAAGGAAAGGAAGACAGAAGCGGATCAGAAAATAATTGGGGATCCTTGTTCAAAGACCGAGCGGCGAAGGAACCTCGCGGGAGGAGAGATTCTAAGGTCGTGGCTTCTTCATTCACCAAACTCGCACCTGCTTTGTCAAACATCGTCTCAATCCGCAGTCCCTTGAGTCCACTGCGATTAGTCTCACGTGTGCGGATAGAGTCCCAATAGTCCGAAATCACGTCCGTCTCATATCCATCGCACGACGTAAAGACCCGTGTGTCATCGGAACCAATGACGGTGGAAGCTGGATCGGAACCTGAAATCGAAAATCCCTTGGGGCAACGACGTAGAGAACCATGAGCTCGACCACCAGGACGAGACGCTTCCTGCCAAGCCGACAGGGCGACCGCATCCGAGGTCATTTGACGTGAACCAGCCCGAGATCCCAAGCCAACATTATAGTCCTGCGATACCGATCGGGGACCGACTTGAGATCGTCGTTCCAAAGCCGAATCAGCCCAACCAGACTGGGAAATGGGGTATGGAGCGCGAAACACGCTCGGATCAGTAATATTGCGCCGTGACTCAGGCTCCGGAGAACTTGGAATAACGACATTCTGTTCTTCGCTCGAGAGTTCGGAAGGAGGGACTGCGAAGGTCCTCCCCTTCACTCGCTTCAGCGAGCCCCCGCGAACGAGCCCCATAATCGGTGTCCCGTGTGCGGTAACGGTGTTTGCCATGACAACTTTCGGCTCAACATCATTGACTGAGTATGACTGTCTATGGCCAGGGTTCACTGTCTGCTGTTCCGCGGCATGTGCCTGCTCGGAGGCAGGCTCAGAGAAGGCCGTTTGGAATGGATTGCGGAATTCGATTGGGGTATGAGGTACTGATCTGTCTTCTCGGGGCGCGGAAGTTGTGGGTGAGATCTCACTAGCCATAACTAACGCAGGCAGAGCGCGCTGGTCAGACCCAACTTGGCGTGCGCTTTGAACCTTTGCGCCGGTGGCGGTCGAGAATTTGCGCGAAAGCCTCTCTGCTAATTTGCCAACCTTGGGAAAAAAGAATGGCGTCCAGTGCGTCTGTTTTTCGAGCTCGAATTCCTCGATCGCAGGATTTTCGACGGAAGACTTTGGAAAATATGCATCGAAGTCCGGTGTCAAAGGAGTCCGGAGGATCATCGACTCTGACCTCTGGTGACTAGTAGC